TGTATAATAATATACTTCATACTGTATATTTTTATATGATGAAATGTAACAGGTACTTCGAGCAGCCGAACAAGCACATTTATGGGCAGAGCTTGTATTTTTGTATGACAAATACGAAGAATACGACAACGCAGTACTTGCAATGATGCAACATCCTACAGAAGCATGGCGAGAAGGTCACTTCAAAGATGTGATCACTAAAGTTGCGAATGTTGAACTTTATTACAAAGCTATACAATTTTACGTCGAATATAAACCCCTACTACTGAACGATATACTGCTAGTGCTCGCTCCGCGTATGGATCATACAAGAGCAGTTGCATATTTCAAAAGGACGGGTCATTTACAACTTGTCAAACCGTATCTAAGGTCAGTTCAAGCGTTGAACAATAAAGCGATAAACGAGGCATTGAATGGCCTACTTATCGACGAGGAGGATTATCAAGGACTCAGAACGTCAATCGATGCGTTCGACAATTTTGATAACATCGCGTTAGCACAACAATTAGAAAAACATGAATTAATTGAATTTAGAAGAATCGCTGCATATTTGTATAAAGGAAATAACAGGTGGAAACAATCAGTGGAACTTTGTAAAAAGGATCGGTTGTTTAGGTAATTAATTTTTTTTTATTTTCAAAGTTAGCAGTTAATTTTAATTGCTGTGTTTATTCGTTTAAACAGAGATGCTATGGAATACGCAGCAGAATCTCGAAATCCTGAAGTTGCCCAAGAATTATTAGAATGGTTCTTAGAGAGAGGATCGAAAGATTGTTTTGCCGCATGTCTGTTCCATTGTTATGATTTGCTTCACCCGGATGTAATTTTAGAACTTGCGTGGAGACATCGTATTTTACATTTTGCCATGCCATACCTTATACAAGTTGCACGTGAATATATTACCAAGGTAATAATAACGCTTATAAAATAATATTTAGAGTATTCTGTTAGCCATAAAAATATTTTCCATTTGTTTTGTGTTATAGGTCGATAAACTGGAAGAAGCCGAAAGCAGACGCTTGGAAGAAACTGATCATCAAGAACATAAGCCTATGATTATGCGTATGTATTATCATATTATGCTTACTTTTATGATACACATATATTTTATAATTATTATGTATGTGTTTATAGCGGAGCCTCAGCTGATGTTAACAGCAGGACCAGGTATGATGGCACCTGGTTACGCACCCCAAGGCGTTTACGGTGCACCTCCACAAAGTGTATATGCACCGACGGCTGCAGCGTACCAGGGTTATGGTATGTGAAACACAATGAGCAGCACATTCAATGACAGAGATCAGCAAAATCTACTTTTCTATAATATCTAGGTAGAACAAATTATTTCAATAGTTCACAATTATTATCAAACGCTGAAAAACAATATCATTAAAAAAGAAAAGAAAAGTATTGCCGCAAAATAACTGTAACATATTAAATATAATGAATTCAAGGTAAACAACAAAGAGTTTACACGCGAGATTCTAGATTATGGGTAACGTTTATAAAATAATTAATTTACTGTTAAAGTAATACATATTGATCATTGTTTATTTAAAGAAAAAAAAGATATTTACGTATTTTAGAAATATATATTTCAAATGCGGTCTCTGAGAGCAAAATACGCAGTAGTTAATTTTATGTTGAACTCTTTTTTAAATTGAATTTTCTTATTTTAGATTTATTTTATGAAGTACCTATGGTATAGTTTCATTGATATATTAATGTATTGTGTACGTATGTGCCTTTGTTTAAGTATTGAAAAAAGTTTTAGTTGTAAGATGACATAAAATGAATGATCTTTAAAAAAAAAAAATACTTGTTGTAAGTTTCACATTAATAAATATGTCACGAAATTACTAAGTGCTTCCTTTCTGGTAAAAAGAGGTTTTGGCTAAAGAAATATGTAAATGAATATTAAGAGAAACATAAATGTCCAAAATTGATATTTGTTCTTCAATCATGAAAGATAGAAAGTGGCAAAGATACTATTCTGATATGTAATTTGTAGTAATAAAAAAAATGAATCTATTTATCTAGATTCATTAAAAATGTTGTTGTCACAGTCAAATATATAAGCCTCAAAAGATCTAGTTAAAATGAAAATAAGCTGCATATATCAGTACATCAGTATAACAAAGCTGAAAAGGTTTGTAAACAATATGTAATCTAGGCACATTAAATACCTATTGAAACACGTACATATGAAATACGTTTGTATGTCTATCAGTGTATAAGTTTAGTATCTATGTGTGTTATTGCTGTGGCATGAATAAATACAAAACTTAGCATTTGCCCACAAAAATGTAAAATATAGATTAGTAGCGTTATATACTCTGCTAAAAAGAAAATAATCAAGATAGTTTTCTGATATAATCTTTTAGACAGAAAACGTATTTAATCTATCAAAAAGAATTTTTAAGAATTTCGTGATATTGATGTATGGATATATGTATTCAAAATTGTTTATGCTGGCTTGAAACATTATGATCTTACATTTTTTTTTTGTACGCATTAAATTGAAAAGTGTTAATCTAATTAATAATTCCGTTTACATTGATTAACTTGTTTAATTTTTAGGAATATAATTTCAAATTTTTTTTTTTACTCATTATATAAAATACGCATAGTATCCTGTTTGGATGGATTGTTCGTTGTATTAATGTATAATGAAGTTATATGATGCAAGTATTAATACAAAATTGGGAGATCAGATTCCAATGTATATGTAGAAATTGAGAGAATCGTGTTGTTGACGTTTCTGCTCGTTAAATGATCTACATTGTCTGTATAAAATGCTCTGCTAATGAATCAGGATCAATGTACAAGATATGTTGGAAAAATAATTTTTTTTTTTCTGACATATCTTACATTCAATGTTCCTAAAAGAGCTAAATTATTGCATAATATGTTTCAAGTGACATTTTCTTGTCACATGATCTTAAATTGAATGAGAGGTATGCACTTATAAATTGTTCCCATTATTTATAAGTATAAAACGAAAGTTGGGAGTTGTACTATAATAATATTAATGCGTTGAAACATTTTCAATGTTCGTCGCAATAATGTTGTGATTATTACATGTAACTTTCGTTTAGTATTTAACGATCGCAGTAATTTTAGCTGCATAATAAAAAAATGTTAAAATTAGATTATATAAACAAGAATCTGTAACATTCCCAGTAATCACTTCACTTTCATTAAAATTATGTAACGAATAAAATTGTAGATTAAAAAATTGTGTATTTAACGCTGTTCTGCAAGCTAATAGTAATATAATTGTATCATTGTTTGGATATTGTGGATTAAAATAAAATATTAGTAAATTTGGAATGAAATATATGTTTAGATCGATCATTAATTATATGAACATACATATATGTATAGTGAAAATTACGTTTGCAATGTTGAAAGTCAGTATAAAATAATTGTTGCTATTAAAAATTATTTCAATAAGTATTACATAATTTCAATACATACATTATATTAATTTTGCATTATTTTGTATTGAAACTGTACCCAATTTAATCGTGAAATTGTAACGCTTTATAAATCTCCACCTTTTTAGTATATTCATGTTTCATTATCAAAGTACAAAATTAAGTTAATAAATGAAATATAAATAATCTTGAACAACCTTTTTAAAATAAATTTACGTTCGTTACAAGAAAAAGTTACTTGGCTATAATTATGATAATTATAATAATACACTATAATTCATACAAACGTCCGCATTTGAATTTTTTCATGGTTCTTTCCGTAGGTCTTATGGAAAGATCTTTCCCAAAAAATTCTAATTTTACTTCCTTTAAATAAATATTCATAATAACTACATCCTTGGGTATTGCTGAAAGGATATAAAAATTTTATAATATTTGAACATGTTTAGCATTAAGATATGAAATATAAATTACATACTTCTTATGATATTATCTTTTCCACAAATTCTAAAGGTATTTTTGGTATCTTGAATAACTATACCACTTAATCCAACTAAACTGGGACATTTTGATGCAAGAACAGAAATTTCAGCACCATGGAAATCTGCCTTGATTAATTGTTGATTAACTGTTTCCCAATTTGGGTCAATTGGATCTTTTGGTATATTAGAAAAAAATTTAGTGCCAAGTACTTGTTGCATGTACTTCAACCATAATTCATTTAATGGTAGTAAATCAACATATTTCATATCATTTTTGCAACCAATTTTACGTAAACCTAATTGCATTCGTTTCCTACTACTTAACAGTTTCCCTTTACATCTTCTCTTCTTGTTTAGTTTATTTTTATGTTTAGCAAGAAGAAATGACTGCAAAATAATTGATAAAACTATGGTAAAAAAATATTATGTTCTAAAAGAATTTTAGTATACCTTTCTTAATTCTTCTGCTATAGAACTGCTATCATTAAGTGGTAACGTGTTTTGTAAAAAATTTGTAATGTATTGTTCACTATTCTCACATGTACGAATTTGTTTTGTTATACTTTTAGGTAACGTTGAGAATATATTTTCTACAATTATTAATATTAATTGTTAATAAAATAATATTGTAATATTTTTAATGTATTGATTTTTAAATACGTACGATTAGATTCTGTCATTATTATTGATAATGGATCGTTAGAAATCAAATAATTCAAGACTTTCAGTCAATATGAATATAAAGTATTAGTAACAATAATTTGCATTATCTATTTAAAAATCTCCTCAAGTCGGCCAAGTATTTTGATGTTTAAAATAATTATTTTTATAGGTTAGTAAAAATTACTGTCATCGCCATCTAATAATGTGGTACTGAACTTTAATACAGCATTGGGTTCCACGCTTTACCGCTAGATCGCGCATGCGCTAGGTAACGTAGAGGGAGAGGGGAGAAGACCGGTTAGTTTTATTAAATATTACAAATTAATTTAACACTGGAATAACTTTTTTTTGGCGTATACCACTATATCAGTGACACTCTATATAATTTGAGGGAATAAATCTATCAATGTATCTGTTTACGGTGATTCTTCTAGCATGTATTTAATATTCTATATATAATTGTATTTACATTAGCATCGTTTAGATACCTATTTTCTTCCTTGTTTATAATTTATTTATATAATTTAATTTTTCTTTGTTATTAATATATGATACGATACATGATACATGATATACGAAGTATATGAAACGTGATTGCTTCATTTTTGTGTATTAGGTATATAAATTAATTTGGTGCTTTAAAAGATAAATTAAACATTTATTTGTACAAAAATGATAGTAATTTTAATTATTAAAATATATGTCATTGTTATCGATGGTCTTGCTTCATTCAAATTAAAATTCCCGTGTGGAAGTACGTTTAAATTTGAATTGAGCAAAAGGCACCGAATTAATTTGTACTTTTAGTACATTGACGATTAACTTGTAATTAAAGTAGCAAAAAATAACTAGATTAATGATAATTAATAATTAAAGTAACCAAATACACTCATCATCGTACAATTATTTGCAAAATATTTTTCAGATGGTGTATGATTATTTTATCATTCACATAAATTATGTAACCTTAAGTTTCGATATTTTTCATGATTTACGAACAGAATCTTACAAAGTATTGTCACTAAAGTATAATATTAATACCATGTAGGATATCGTAACTATACAATGCTAAATAGCAAATATTCCTAAAAAATAGCATTCCTATGATAGTAACCAAAGATTCAATGAGAAAATTATAAATAAAAATAAACGTACAGTAGATTGTTTACAGAATTAATATACTTAGCTTATTTACCACCTTAAGAATCATTTATTTATTATTTATAATCTAACTGATGAATTAGATATGAATTATTGCACTGTCATAAATTAAAATTATAAATATATTTTTTAAAGTTTCCTTCCTAAAGACTGTTAGGAGATAAAAATAATTAATGAAAGAAATTACTGATTACTGTGTTAAAAAAAGAAGGAATTATATATTCGATCACTACAATTGAAGTAATATATAATAGATGTATACTTAATATAATTTTACATGGCACAATAATTAAAGTTATTTCCTTGCTCATGTGTCTATGTACAAGCTTTGTTAAATATTCAACAGATTTATACATGCACCCATATCCTATTCGTTGCATCACATTTGCATATTTTATGCACCATTATTTATAAGAACATTAATTTTCAACTGCGTTTTTTTTTCTTCTAAAATTGCATCGAGCTTTTCTTTGGTCGTCTATACATAAAGACTGTGATTAATTCATCCCACGAGTCAATTACAAATCTACGATTAGTTTTTCTGTATCAACGAATACCGTTTATACAAGGAATGAGAACGCAGTAGAAAGGCATAAATAATTAATAATATAAGAATTCATATCATGATTTTTAAAATGAACTCAAATATTTCAATCTTAGAGCTTTTCTTTTTACTGACTGCTAATCCTAAGATCAAGTACTACGAATCTACAAATATTTACGCAAATAAGTTTACTGCAATTCCAATTCTATTAGTCATCTACGTGGTTCAGACGCGTATGCTGTAATAGTACTGTCAACACATCCAGCTGCTAGAATCACTCGATAGGGATGAAAACTTAAACAACTTACAGGGCTAATACGGGTAGCCATGAATCCTTCGTGAAATTTGATCGTGTTTAAATGATGACCCATAGTATTGTAAATACTTATACAATGATTTGTTGACCCGCTAAAATATAAATAATATTACCTATGTATTCAATTAATGCTCAACTTATAGTACGACACGTGTAATAATTAAATTCATATAGAATTATTTAAAATATAATGATACTAATAAAAAAAAAAAAAAAAAAAAAAAAAAAAAATGAAACTTACCAAGCAAAGATATCAGCCATTTCATGCGCTGCCAGTGCTGTAATACCTTGTGTTATTTGTACAGTGCTTACAGACGAATTTTTTCTAAGATCAAATATCCTAATGTCCCCTGAGGACGAACCGGTAAACAATTGTGGTGCAGATCTATCAAATTTTCTCAGGGATGTACTTAATACCCATGCGGTATGTTCTCTCCAAATCATAACTCTTGATTCTAACGGAGGTAACCTTCTGTCAAATAAGCGAACAGAACCGTCTCCGCAACCTAGTGCCATCATTACACCTATACGTATCATTAAATACATTTAAGTTTGTATGAATTTAGTTGGGTATCAGTTGTATTCACTATAAACTCTCTAAGTGTAAAGTAGTTCAGGTAGCAACACTTACTGTAGACTAGCTCAATATAGAATCACTGAAAAACATAGAAATAACTAACCTGCGCCATCAACATCAATACACGTAGCGCAACAATCAGCACCGGTCGGTATATCTTGCTTTTTCAATTCAGTCTCCGCGTCCCATAGTCTAACAAACCGAACATCACCTGTCACTGCTAATGTAAGGGACCTTTGTTCCCATTTTGTGACTAACCCAGCTGTTATCGGTAACAATTTCAATTAATTCATAGAACATAATTTCTCCGTGCATGCCTAAACTATAAACTCACCAGTTGAGGTTTTTGTCGTAGGCTGTATATCAGCTAGCGCTTGCCAAGCGGTAAGTAAGACCGGGTCACGATTTAACATACTGCTATAATTCTTCCACACTCTGACCGAACCATCATCAGATCCGGTCATTAATAAACTTACATCGTGAGCGTTGATAAATTCTAAAGCCGTAATACGCGACATTTTATTTCCACGACTCGCACAGTAAGTCAACTTCGCACCAGTTTGACAATCCCATACTCTGTAAAGAATTTAATCATGTTAAATTACTGTTTTGTTATAATAATCGGGATATCGTGTATTATGTGAAATACCCAAAGAAATCTTTCAACGCCACAACCAAATGAGGTTCGAAAGGGTGAAACATTAAAACTTCCGGAGAATGTGGACACCTTGCATGGAACACTTGCGATTCTACTTTACTTTGTACCGCTCGCAATTGTTCTTCTCTTGCTTCGCGTCTTTGCTTTTTATTCCTTAGATATCTGAGTGTTATTATTTCAGAGAATTAATATATAACTTTCACGTGTAGATTATTGTTACATCGATTCGTTCTTACCGCCATTCTCTTTCATAATGAATTCTACTTTCCAAATCACTCAGTGATTCTATTTCGCTTTCTAAGCTAACCGAAGGCTGAGCAAATTGAGCGCAACTCCACTCGACAAATTGCGAAGTTATCAATGGAGTTTTGATTCCAGCTACTTCGTCAGCTTCTTCTGATATCTATAATGTTCAAGTGATAATGATTTAGAAAATTAGAAGATATTAAGCGTACAAATTAATTAGGTGCTTCGATAGTAAATAATCACTCTTACAGTATTAGGAATCGGTTTTCTTGAACGATTACTATGCGATGGTATTCTCGACGAACGTAATAAATCAGATCCAGAATTTACCGTAGGCGGTGATTCTCCTTTGCTGTTGCTGCAAAGAAAGAAGTAATCACATAAAATACTTTATAAACGTCGTAGATTGAAATAAATAAACATTAATTCACCTTAAATATGTAGTGCGATTTGATGGAGACGGTGGAAGAGATAACGATGAAGATATTTTTGTTTCAATTACTTCTTTAGGGGCTGATGATTCCTTGACCTATAATAAGAAAATATTACATGTCCAGCATTAGGCATAAAACGAAAGTATTGAAATATTATCAACAAGTTACATTTACCTGATTACGAATATGATTGGTGACCTTCTGAGACATGGCAGCAACAGCAGGATGAGGATCGCTGTCAAGATTGCATAATCCATGCCACAATTTCATATATATGCTACCATAAGAAAGACTTGGTAGATTTCCAAGAGAACTGTGTCCTATGAATAATAAAGCAGAGTTTATTATATTTTCCATTTAATATAAAAAACATCTGGTTTGTACGATAATGTGCTTGTAGGTGATAGAACAGTGATTTTGCTATATACAAAAAAAAAAAAAAAAAAAAAAAAAAAAAAAATGAAGGATAAACTATGTACGAACATGCAATGGAATTTCCAATCATTATTACCAAGTGACTCGCAAGGTTTCCTCACGAACTCCCAATTATTTCCTGGCACACGAATGAAACAATACAAGGAGCTGTTATCGAAAATCCGGCAGGAAACCTAAACTCTAACTGGATCCAACATAATTTTATTACTTACCTAAACTACTAATGGACGACGAGGATGAGACTCTCTTGATGCGATCTTGGCTGAATCCATCCGTACTGTCTGCACTGTACGCGTTGTTAGGAGAAAGCATTTTTAATCTGTCTCTAGAACTAATACGTCTCATTCCACTAAACGGAGATAATGTTTCCACTACAAGATCTTTTCGACTATTTTCTTCAGCCAAAGCTAAAGTAACGAATGAATTTTCAAAATGCAAAACCATCCATTGAAGCGCTACTACTAATTCCTGTAAAATAAATCATATTTTCCTCGTGTTAAAATAATTATATATGTATAATATTTAGTATAAGTATATTATTTTGTAATTAACTTACATACTTTTCTAACTAAAGGACTCATGTCATGCGAGACAGTATTAATTAGTGTCATCGCGATAATTTGATCAATGTTATTTGCATGTTCACTGCGGGTTGTTACGCTGTTTATAAATGTGCCCAAAGCGTAAACGCTAGCTGCTCGAACCTGTGCAATTATTATTACTTATTATAAATAACAACGGATGAATAAAATCGGTTCGTACCTCGGGAACTGGATCTTGTAATAACGTGAATAGTTTCTCGTGAGCAATATCTCTGACTCCGCACCACCTTGCTTTATCATAATTGTGCCAAAGTCTCGCGAGACATAAACACAACCACTGTCTTAATAAAGCGTTCGAATCCCCAAGCTGCTCCAAACAAATCGAAACGAGACTACCATGATTTGCAGCTATCTGACCTGGTCTATAATCATTTACAATACTGGCTAGAACAAATGCCGCCAATGTTCTTTGTTCGCTCTAAAATAAAAATAAACTAAAATAATAAAATAAAAGAAAATCACATTGAAAACAATGAAATTTTAAACCCTTTAAATTTACTACCGGTATGGAGGTATCCTGAAGAACAGATAAAAAATATTTGTGTCCGCCATCTCTTACAAGATCTGCTTGGCAAGTCTGTAATCGTAATATATAAAATATTGTAATTGAAAATAATAGATATCTCTTGAATACCGAACGTTACAACTCACACTGTCAACAGCAAGAATTTTTGCCCAAATAAAAACAAGTAACGGGCGTAATTCTCTAGCGTTGCTTTGAAGCAATTTTAAAACGTACGGGAAAATGCCCACGCTGAGAGCCAAGTTCACCGCCCATGGACCAAGATCAAGGAAACATCCTAATAATTCTAACGCTCTTAATCTATGAACTTGACTTAGCAATACTTGAAGTACTATTGGCAGCTGTTCTGGAGGGTTACGATTTTTAGAACCTAGCGTAAGCCATACTTGAAAGGCTGTAAGCTGTTCTTCGAAGAAAGGCGAATGCGCAAATTGATCTTCGTTTTCAAGAATAGATGGTAATTGCGCTAAACAGAGATCAAGTGCCAAATCCCATGCTTGCCACATAGGATGCTAAATTGATAGAATAAATTAATATATTATTGGCAAACTAATAATAAATATATTAATAAAATATTCACCTGATAAGTAGGTGGTAATTTTGGGCAAGAAACAGGGGTACAGTCGTACGAACGAAGTATCCTTTCAGCAAGTAGAAAATTTCTAAACAAACTAGCGACTAATAAATCTTGTCTAAATAATCTTTGGAATAAATCTGGAAATCAAATAAATTTATTTTACATCATTTAAAAAGAAAAACAATCGCAATGCAAAAATTTACCTCTTGGCAAAGTGTTCCATGCAATTGTGTCGGTAATTGCTGTAAATATCCAATTAAGTTCCCCTAACATTGTTCTTCTATCGGTTAACTGTCCCGGGATTCTGAAATTTATTTACCGTAAATCCAATAGTTTATTTGTTTTACTAGAGAAAACAATGAATATGTATTTATTGTAAATACAAGGTTAGTCATAAGAAATAGTACACCTAAATATTTTTAATAGACCATTGAACACTGTTACACTTTCTTTTTTTTATTTTTAAATTTAACAAAGATACTTAAGTGTCCTGTTTTTCATGACTCGCTCTGTATACGTCAAATATTCTTACTTGTCTATTAAATCTAGTGAAATTTTTGGTACCAGTTTGGATGTATTTTGCATCACAAACCTAGAAACGATGAAGTTTGTATTATTATAATCGAATAAATTACTTTTAACGAATTCGTACCATCGTAACGCAATCTTAATTGGAGTTGTAAGACACGACGTAAATATATCCGCCGGTAGATCTGGATTCATAGGTAAAATCTGATTAGCTGCGCACGCGGCCAATTGAATACAATTTTTATAAGACGGTGCCGTTGCACCAACCACTCCAGTGGCACGATTCTGCTGAACTGCTTGTTTTTCCATCTGCAAAGTGATATTTCCAATGTGCTTATACATGTAACTTTCTATCTTTCATCAATACCAGTGCAGAATTTTTCTACCTCATATTCCTTTTCGTGTTGATCTGCAAATTGTTGAAAAGACTCCACTATAATACCTGCATTAGAACAATCATATACATAGATGCTAGGTGCACCCATCCATGTTTGCAAATCATATACAGACAAAGGAATATATTGTGTATATGTCTGTAACAATAATTTAATGTTAAAAAATATTCACAAAACCATTATTTATGGTATTTAAAATATTCAATTCAACTAACCCTATTAAATACCCATATTTCACCATTACTAGTAGGCTTAGGAACACCATGACCATTATAATGAAACAAAACTCTTTCTTCTTTTGCATTTCTCCTTAAAGAGGTGCATAATTTTTTTACCTCCTCCACTGTAGGATCTAAACTTTGTTTATAACGAGCTCTTGGCTGCCATCTTTCATACTGTTTTTGTAAATTAGATCCTATAGTTTCTAAAGCTTTCTGTGGACTCACTGATAAAGGATCTGTGAAAAAATATTTATAACAATGTAATAAGGCTATTCTTATTTGTCATTTGGAAAAACTATATTTTAAATATCAATCATCTCATACTGAAGATGATACACGAAAAAAGAAAAATAAGTATTTGTAATATTTAAATTAATAACAAATATAGCGCCACCTAGTAGTTACCTACAAACATATTTACTTAGAAATTATTGTCATGCTCATAACCTAAAAATTGATTATATAATAATGGCAATAAAAAATTATAAAAATATAGATGAACTGGAATAAATACCGATCCAACATTCGAGGCGCGCACATGGTTGTGTCTTGACAATGTCAGGTGGATCGACGCCAACATTTAAACATAAAACTAGAGCCACGCTCACGGTTTTCATCTAAATAAAAAAGCAATATAAATTTAAGACATTTATATGCAGAATTAAATACGTAATTATTAAAGAATTTATTAGTTAAATGAAAAAACAACAACAAACCCTTTCTTTCATTCTCCATGTTTGTGTAATACAATTTACACCTTCGATTGACGCTGTATGCCTAAGCTTACAGAATGCCATCTGCATTCTCCAATCATCCTCCTCCGTCAATTTCGAATTTTCTTCCTCGTGGCATGGTTTTGAGGCAATTACTGACATTGTACGCCCGTGACTAAGATAAACTTTCTATTATACTTTTATAACACACACGTTTCGGTTGTTAACAGTTGCAAACGAAGGTTCAACAAACGTAAATACAAACTGTGAACTGACAATATTCAGCAAACTGCTAACGCGCAAATGTTTTTTAACAGAACACAATTTTGTAAATTTATTTCATCGGCCGCCATTTTACACTTCTAACGACTTACCCAACCTTTAGCGAATGCGTACACCAGTGACTACAGATAGAAAAAGACTGGAAACGCCTTTGTTCTCGAGGGATCATAATTTTGGGGATATCAGATACCCCCAGGTGAAGTTAGGTCTGATTGTAAGGAACATTGTTAGTATAATGTCGTACCTGTTTTAACAGTCTCTTTTTTATTACACCTCGCACTCACAATTTCAAAGAAACAATTTTGACTCGTTTCCTCCTGTATTTTAGAAATCAATCAAAATCAGGGCCAAACTTGTATTTTAAAAAACCCGCCATAAGTCAAGTATTTTTTAATGCGATTCTAGCGCCATCTATACGAAAACGGCGGAAACTATTCAACAAGTAGTTTCCGCGATTATTTGATAGATGGCGCTGGTATTCTCCTGTCCCAAATTATACCCCCTCCCTTTTAGCGGGAAATTTAATTTTGCAATTTACGACACCGAAGGTTTTATTACGAGCCTTCATTTGGAAAGGGTAATATATCGCAGCAATGTGCTGTTAATCCCCGTCATTTTTCTTTCTTTTGAGTACATTGAAACAGATAGAAATTTAATAACATTTCTACAAGTTTTACAAGAACATTTTATTCATTAAATACTACACAAGATTATTAATTTATGATTAAATCTTTAAAATTATAATTCGCTTTCGTCACTTTTAGCTACTTATTTTGCTTGAATACTGTATTTTACAGATCTCAAAAAAAACCTAATCATATTTAATACAATAGAGGCTGAGTTATCTGACTCAATCACTTTAATTATCTTTATCATAAGATGTACAAATTAACTTTGTGCTTCAAAGAAAAAGAAATTAAAAAGTTATGTGTAAAGAATTAAAAATAGTCAAGTTAAATGACTCATCCTGCATATGTGTATATGCATACATTTAAACGCATATATGAATAGAATTGTTTTAGACATATATTGTTCAAAGTACGTTTACACATTTTTTTTACCAAATTTCTCACTTGAGAGATCTATACTTATAACTTATACTTACACAACTGCGTGTTAATTTAGCACTTTGCTTACAACAGAAAAGTTAAGTAGTTTAGAAATCTACTAATGAAAGATTAAACGTATCAAGCTGAAAATTAAACTAAAAATGTAAAACGTGCAGAAAATAGATTAGAATTCATAAAACTGATATTAAAAATTTTTACCTCTACAAAACCTCACAAGCAATATTCCCGTTGCATACTATATTCACAGCCTATGTATACAAACTTTATTTGTTCTATATACAATCTTAATTTTAATGATGAATTATTTGGAATGAATTTATATCGCTAGAATATTAGCTTTTAGATTAAATTAACTGATGCTTAAAAATATATTGTAAAATACAATTCTAAAATCTTCCTTGTAATTCACTTGTGATTTTTTAAATGATTTCGGATGATTTAATTATTCTTTTTTCCGCCTTAAACGTCATTGAAGAGTTTGAGAATTATTAAGAGGCTTATAACCCTGAAATTCATTAAATCTCTATTAATTACATTTATCAAACTGTAACTTTACAAAACAAAATATCAACATAAAACATGTAGCATGCTATTGTCCAAACAATTGACTACAACACACAAAAATTACTATTCAGTTTGAAAGTGCATAGCCAGTTAAAGTATTAGTGCAAAATGATAAAGCTCAAAGAAAGGTGCACAAATTAATTTGCGAAGTATTTTAAATACATAAAAGCGTATGAAAATAAATTTGAAATCGTCATTGATAAGAGGCACTGAACTAATTTGCACACCTAATTTTTAATAAATAATAATAAATAGTTAATGTCATTTTTTACAATGTGTGATTAGCAATACAAATGTTAATCACAGACTATGTAGTTTGTACAATCTGTACTTGTTAGTGATTCATGCTGCCATAATAGGGCTGGCATACACTTATCCGTTTGCTTCCTGGTGTAATGGCATTATTGAATGAATCCCGTAATCGTTCTGTAAATGTTTTATATTCTAGTTCTGGGTTATTTTGGCCAAAGTCAAAATCTGCAACTTCCACTGTAAATCTTGCTCTGCTTTGTATATAATAAGCAATACCAAAAATAATGAGTACTACAGCGGCAAGCGAACAAGAAACAGGCACAACGATGACCGATAATTGTGGCTTTGTTGTAACTAAAAATATAATAAACATCAATTACTTGAGTTCTATCATAAAAGAAAAACTATGAGTATATATTATCAATACATACCTTTATAAATATTTATTGTCAATGGATAGATTTGTTTGCTAACATCGTTATGTAATATAATTAATATGGTATATACGCTAGGTTCCAAGAAATAATGAATAATGGAAAAATTGCAAGGGTAAATGGGAACTCCATTGTCACACGTTTCATTTCCAGTAACATTGTACTTTCCTCTATGAAAATAAAGGCACTTATAGAAAGGTCCTGAACCTTTGCACGTTACGTTAAGAGATAACATATCCCATGGTTGAATCCAATTTGTACCCTCCACTGATATATTCATTATTGGTGCTGTGATTTTTATTAAAATTATTATTATAACTTATGTTACAATTGATAATAATCATATGGCTTATTACTTACCACGAATATCAATTTTTTTAATAAAATGTCCATATGTCTTATTAGGGTCTGGAGGAATTATTGAAGAATTTGAACAGATATAAGGTAAAGAAATATTATTTACACTAGACATGCTACTATTCAATGTGTCAATGAGAGGTATTGATGTTGTTGCATCTAAAGTTGCATAACTATTAGATACAACAGTAGTTGCTAACTCTGTGGTAGTGATACTTGACACTGTAGTATTTGGCACAGTTATATTAAGTGAAATAGTTGTTGTAACTGGAACAGTTGTCGGAGGTAAAGTAGTTGTTGTCAACAAATCATATGATGCAACTACTAAAGCTTCCACAATATGTGATGTATCAGGATTTGTAAAATTATAAAGAAAATACAAATCACTTGTTTGACCATAATATTTGCAGTCTATAAACCAATAAATGAATACTGATGTGGCTTTATTCAAGTAATCCAGATCTCCTTTACGTATATTTATAGTCATATTTGTTTCAGATAAAGAAGAAACATAAGGATCCATTAATGTTTGATTAGATTGTATAATTACAATATCACCATTAAGAAATTCTAAAGAAAATACATTACATTAGAATAAAAATTGATAAACAATAAATTAAAAACATTTTAACTTACCAGTTACATAAAATGTTGTGCGGACACTGGTCAGCCTTGACCATAAAAATATATAAGGTTTACCATTAACAATTACTTCAACTTCATATATTCCAATGGTATAATTATCAGGTGAAATATTTAAACTCCAATATGTGGTTGTATTCGATGTTTCCTCTGTCTATAAAGAAAATAAAAATGAATATTAAAGAACTAACTTTATAATTGAATACAAATTAAAAACGCTTCTTTAACCTCATATTCATGTGGAGTTAATGCATTATCTTTCCATTTATATTTAAAAGTTCCTGATGGTCTTTCACCATTTTCAAACAAATCAGCTCTGAATGTGATGGTTCCACCTAATACTACAGGGCCATCATGGGATAATGTGACATTATATTCAACAGCATTAACTGAAACAGTTTTACAACAACAGTTAATAAAATGTGTAAACATAATATAGATTACAATAATGATAAAAGTAATTGGAAATGGAAGAAATATCGGGCTACATTATATATAGTGAATCAGCATACCTCGGCAAGTAAATAAAACATAACAAAGACCCCAAAATAAATGCACTATCTGCATTCTGTACATTAGCAGGAGGTCACATTTACTTCAACAAATATCTATGTTCCGTGAATTTCTTTTTGATCGATTTGCAATTAAATGCGTATCATGATGCTCCCAACTGTAACACCATTTTAGTATGTATGGATGTATGTATAAGTACATATATATGTACTAATGATTGCCAACTGTATCGTACATATACATATATGCACTTTTTTTGCAATATAATGTTTAAGAAAAAGAGCTTTAAATTTAATTTTCAGGTAGTTAAATGTTTTGTAAATAACATGTATGAAAACTAATCTGATATTTTGATTTTATTTCATTTTTATCAGTCTATTATTGAAATATTCATTATTCATCATTATTAGATAAGAATACAGACAGTAATAGATAAGAAATTTCCAAATTTATTTGTTTTCTAATTAAAGTAATTGTAAAATATTACTTATTGAATAGATATTGATATCCAATACGATGTTCACAAAACTTCATTCAAACATTTTATTTATTTATAGTAATAAACTTACGTCAATATGTAGTGTGAAACAAAAAGGTTTAAAATTTCCTTTTAGTCAAAATTTACGTCAATTATCTACACCTAACAAAAATGAAATATACCTTGAAAAACAAATAAAAGACGTTTTCAAATTTAAAAACACTAATGTTAGTAATTGGATTATCGAGGTTAGTGTCTAATTATAAATATTATTAATCATTTTTAAAATAAACACATAAAGTTTACAACAATTGTAATTATTCTTCAAATTTAAAAGCATGTACCACCTTAACAAATTCTGAAATTTAATTTCAGAATAAAGCTCACACATTATGCCTTGGATATCATGAGAGTAAACCACAAGATAAACAACATATTTTACGTTTATTAGCAACCGAATATGCTGTACAACATAATACCGTATGCAGTGTAGCAGAAAAATTAATTTCTACAGAGGTTTTTACATTATTTATCTTTTGTATCATATTTTTATGTGAATATAAATATGATTTATCAGGTATCATGTTTTTATCAATTTTAGCACATTGAAACATTTTATAATATATATATTTGTATCTTTCATTATTTTAGTATGAGAATGAAAGACGAATGATTTCTTATGAACAAAATTTAAAGAATGTTCTTACACCAGATTATCAATGGTTATTTGTCATTATTGGAAGACTTGAAAATGGTGTGAAATTCCTTGTTGATTTAAGAACAGATATCTTAGTAAGGATTATATAGTTTCTCAGTTTTCATAATAGAATTAAAAATTTTATATATAAACAAAGATATGCTATGTAAATTTATTTGCATCTTTATTTTTACATACATATTTTTGCTAGGAGTTACTGTCAGAAACTAAAGAAACAGATGATAGTATTGCAATACAACAATTAAATATTACTTTACGGGATTTATTATTGCTTTGGTTTTCAGTAGGATTTCTACATTTAGAAAGAGTAACTTGGCAAAGTGCATGTGATATATTACAAAAGGTATACATTCTTTAAATTAATTTAAAAAATTAACACGATTAATATTCATTAATATAATAATAAGATTTCAGATTATGAAGCAATACATCCTGTAAAAAATTGGTTAGACTTAAAACAAAGAGTTGGACCATATAGAAGATGTTATATTTTCACTCATCCATCTATGCCAAGAGAACCTCTTGTGGTATTGCACACAGCATTATGTGATGTTATACCAAGTATGAAATTATGATAACATTTTATGAATAATCTATGTTACATATTTCCTCAAATAATGGATATCATTAATTTATAGATAGTGTGAAAGGTATTGAAGAAGCAAAAATCAGAATTCTTGGTGATTTTAAACAAGAAATAACATTTTTAGAGGAAGATAAAAGTAAAATAAAAGCTGCAATATTTTATTCCATAACTTCTACACAAAAAGGATTACAAGTATATAAATAATATAAAAAATTAGGGTAATATATTTTGTAAAATTTATGTAATTAATTTTTACTTTTTTAGGGTATTGAACTAGGCAACTATCTAATAAAAGAAGTAGCAAAAGAAGTGATATATGAATTTCCTATGATAGACGAACTGTCTACTTTATCACCAATACCAAACTTTAGAAGTTGGGTTATTGAAAAAATAAAACAAGGTATAAAGTAAGATAAATAGAATATCTGTGTATTAAATAATGTTTGATTTATACTAAATGTTTGTGTAGACATCAATTATATTTTTACCAACGAAGAATATGAGTCTATAAAAGAAATTTTAAATAAATCAGATGTTATATTGGGCTTAAAAAAACTTTTCAATAATTCGTTGTGGACTAATGATACAACAATATGTGAAGTTTTAAAAAAGCCATTAATTCGAGCATGTGCGTGGTATTTGTACAAAGAAAAAAGACGAAATTATGCTTTAAACAGTGTTGGTATGTTAATTGCTAATTACGATTTTAATCTATTGCAAAACTTTTATATAACTAATATTTTTTTTATACTATAGCAAATTTTCATCTTCGTAATGGAGCTATTATGTGGAGGATAAACTGGTTAGCTGATCCTTCACCACGTGGTGTTGCAAATAGTTGTGGCATTATGGTAAACTATAGGTAACGTAATTATTAAATTATTAAAATATAATTTAATACATTTCATGCATACAATAGTATGTCTTTTTAAAGGTACTATTTAGATAAATGTGAAAAGAATAGTCAAAATTATATTGAGAACTATTTCGTAAACACTTCCGAGGATATAATTAATCTTGCCATGCAACAAGAAAAATTACGAAATACGATAGAGAAAAGAATATGCTAAATAATTGTATAATTACAAATAAAAATTGTACCATTCCTGTATCTATTAATCGTAATGACTTAAATAGTATTAAAAAATATAAAATAAAGCTCAATTCAAATAACAAAACTTAAGAATGTATTGAATATTTTATAGAATATATACATTATGCAAAAGTGGAATAATAAAAAAAATTATATTTACTATATAATTAAATGATTTTATTATAAAATTATATTCAAAATTGCTCATGAATGTACGTTAATGCAGTCTACAAGGTCTGTCAAACAGTAAAATCAAATTAATTCCCTGATAGGATAATGCTACAAAAAAAGGAACATTTTTCGAAGTTCTTACATAGTTCTGAAATATTAAGTAGTTTTATGGAAATATTCTATTCTTTAACTGTTAAAATTTTGTTTGGTCTTCGAATGTTTGCTATTTTTTATTACATACATTACAAAGATTCTGACACACCTTTGTAAATGATATCATCAAAAATTATCTTGATCTATACATAAGCATCTACACATTTCTGATGTATACTATATGTATAAAATTATTTCAACAAATCTCCTTTCATATATTTATATATAGCATACATACGCGTCATCCCCATTTCCTAACTCTTAGTTAATTAAAGAAATTCAATAACTTTAATTACTCTTCAAATTTTATATTTTTATTAAAGATTATTAAATTTGTTCATTTATACAATTAGCTGTTTCCTGTCCAGCTTAAAGACAATACAATAGTCTGCAAGCAGAGCTGGAATAAACATAAATTTCTTGTTATAACATTTTTCTATGTTTATGTATTGTGTAAAACTAACTGAATATATGTACCTGTAGTCAAGGCTGGGTTTGGTGAAAGTTTGTGGGAAGATGAGGTCTACTTTCTAATTTTGTATAATCCAAATGAAATTCTTTTGCTACTTTTCTCCAACTCTGTGCATCAAAATAATAATAAGTACCACGTTCGTATGTCGATGTTTTTTCTACAAGTCCTAATCCTGGTGCTTGCGTTATCCACACCTTCTCTTCCATATGATATCGCCATTCTCTACTGTACCTGTAAAATTAATATAAATGGTAACATACACGTTAACATAAAATAATAGAACGATTGGAATTTAATGTTTGATACTTACAATTCTGCTGCTGCTGCTAATTGTAGTACATCCCCAACATTAGTATAAAACATGTAAAACAATAGATCATCCTTATATCGATTTAGTTTAACTGGTGCTAATTTATCTCTGAAACAAACCCAAGTTTATAATAAAATGTATAATATGAAAAAATTAAAACACAATAAAAATTACCTGATGGCGGCATTGATAAGATATTCTGGTGGTACATGGAAATCAATATCCTGAGGTCGACATGGTGTTTCTGCCCAAGGCCCGCCAAAATTTTGATACAGATTTTCTGGTGAATTAAGATTTAATCCTAACGCAGTTAGATCTTGACCTAATGCCAATGACACTAAATTCGGGTCTGTTTCAGCTGCCCTAATAAACGTCAATAGACCAACCATTCCAAACTGATCTTTTACCATGCTTGCTGGTATATTAGTCACCTTACCTAGAAAATAATATGAAGTATTTGATTCAATATTTAATTACAATAATCCATTTGTAATTAAATCGTACGAATAAATAAAAATAGGTAATACCATCAGGAGATGTTTGTATGCCTCTTTTAGATGACTGAGATTTTTCAGATCCAGGTGCTCTGTTCGCTTGTAACACATCTTGTCCAATTTCAGGACCAAGTCCAACAGGTATATTTTTATCTCCAGAAACACTTCCACCTGGTGATGGACCTTCTCTATTTTGTGTTCCTGGTAATGCTGGGAAATCTTCTGAACTCATTGTAAATTCGCTTGATTCAGATGTTGGTTGCTTTACCATTCCAACTAGAATGAATACAAACATTTTTATAATCTATTATCTTAATTTTTTAAATGTTATTAATACAAACCATAAGGTTGTTTTCCTGGCATAGGACTAGGTTGTGGCATAGAATCACCTTGCCCTCTGTTTGTTAATGAAGGAAACTCAGACAGATCTAACAATGGAGGAGTACTTGTATCTCCACCTCCTCCACTACCAAAAACAGAATGAAAATTATTGATTTGAGATCCGTAATTACGACTTTGAGGTATTCCAAAAGTGCCCATGCTACCCATTGGATTCGAAGTTCTGAAAATTTGTAACATTCTCAGTTTTTACATAACATGTTACTATAGAATAAACATATAATATACTATACTACAATATTAATAACAAAAAAAAAATGAAAAAAACTAACCCAAGAGCAGGCATTGTACGTCTATCAGTAAAAGCTCTCTGCCCAAACAGTCCTCTACTGCCCATAGGAGAAAGCTGTTGCTGTTGAGGTTGATGACTATTTTGTCCACCTCCAGTGCTCGATGCTCCAGGATAAACGTTAGTAACTACTACCGCAGAATTAGCTGAGCTTGAGGTGCTTGCAGATGAGCCTGAGAACATGCTCGAAGTAGGTGTGACATGACCCGTCAGGGTCGATGAATTTAAGCCCCCCCCACCACCTGTGCGTGATGTAAGGCTTGCGTTCGCAATACTGCGTGGTGGCTGCTCAAAATTCAAGTTGGCCATAGCCCGGTGGCTCCACTACAAAGTACCTGCTAGGGCACACCAACACAGTTTTATGTCAGTTACCACAATCACTTGTTTTCTATTTCATCACTTCTAAATTGTTCAATTTCATGGAACTGAGGAAAATCCATGACAATAACTCCTAGTAGCAACCTGTAATGATAAAAACAAAGATAAAACTATATAATAGAGACATGAAATTATTAAAAAGTTATATGTATTCTTAAATTTTTTACCTTTTTATCGTAGCACCATAGCAATGGTCATATCAAAATTGAAGACAGGAAATGAGAATGGACCTATTGGCAAGCGAAGAATTTATTTTTGTGAAGATTCTATTCAAGCATTGATTTAAAAGAATATATTGATATATACTATTGCATGTAAACCATTTAATTATTCTTTTTGAGTAACTTATATGTACATTACATTTAACTATAGTATTAAAAAAATTGATGTTATTTGCAGTTTTTATTTAAACATTTGAAATAATGTTTTACATGTATAATGCACAACTTAATTTTTATAGAAATGTATTTTCTTACAGAAATCTAAAATACAACATTTTTCAATGACATTGTAAACAACATGATTTTTATATGATAAACTGTTTAATGTTCTATAACTTACATGTAATATATATACATTTCATAAATACTTATAACTTAATTTGAATATAACTTTTAAATAGACCCATAAAGACGTAAAATTAATTAATAAAGACAAACATTATAAAAAGTAATAATATACAGCATAAACAAGAAATAGTTCACTGATAATTTCTTTCTTGACAATAATATCGTTAGGTTCTTAAGATTACAGCTGTGCTTACATTTTACAGTAAACTTACGATTTTCGAAAGAGCATAGAACGAGAAATCGGTGATTTTGACATTGTAAAGATAAAATCAGTCACGAGTACCAAGAAAGCAAAGGTTATAGCATCTATGCAATCAGAATATTTAAGAAGAAAGTAGACTAAATTTGATTACCTATATTATTGTATCCGTCGTTAAGTTACTGCACAAGAAAACCCACCAAATTCATAATAAACAAAGTAAATGAACGTAAAAAAAAAAAAACACAAAAACGTCGATGTTGTCTTGAAAATAAGTATGATACGGAGAAGTTGTTCTCGATAAATTGGTAGTTTGTGTACAAAAAAAGGCTTTTATGTAAAAAGTTCTAAAAGTTCAAACTTTTACACACATTACAATACTTTTAATAATTAGATGTCTGTTTTGTCATTCGGTTTCACAGACTTCAATAACACTAGAGACCCGACTTTCTGCCATTATAACCATTTGCACTACAGTATTCAAATGAAATACTGTAATAAATAGAAAATAATAAAACAAATCACAATAATAATTATTAAAAATATTAATTATTTAACCATATTACCACAATCATATTAATATTTTACAGTGTATCTTAATAAATAAGAAAATTTTGATCTTGAATATGATTATTAAAGTGTAAGTAAATATAAATAATCTCTCTATATATAGAACAGTATGTTTTGAAAGTAATCAGCTTCAAATTTACTTAATTATTCGTTCATTATACGTTCAAATATTAACTTAGTTGTTTATTTTAAAATTAAAAGATTTCTTTTCAAAAAGCATTTTTGACATAAGAAGAATCTCAAAGATTGTTCCTATACCATGTAACAGCCATAGGGATTCTTAATTTATTAGGTTATACAGATTGATATTCATAACCCTAACGAAAACAAAGCGGACCTGGAACGGGCACGTAGCGGACATGGGGTGGATTGTGAGATATTTGGACCACATATTTTGTTTGTTGTACTTTTTCAGTGTACAAAAAAAGAAAAATATGCCTTTCATATGTCTAGCACTTAAGAGAAATAACAAAATTATTTCTAACAATAACGTTAGTATTCAAAATGTATATATTTTTTATATACCAATCACGTTGCTAACAATGCTATCTATTAATTTTCAATAAAAATGAAAGTTTTATCACGAAATTGAATCAGTTACAAAAACACCATTGAAGTAAAAAATAATTTCTTATATTTTTCACTATTAAAATATTTATTAAGTATTATTATGGTATTTTAATTTTATCATAATAAAATATGCAATGATATTACATAGTATGATAAAACTGTGCTCAATTTTTTAATCATTAGAATAATATATACACCTATTGTGTAATAACATTATGGATATTTTACCAATAAATCAATTAATAAAAATTAAACTTTTAATAGTAGAACTTATTCTTAATACACATCGAACCACAAATATTAAGCTCTTTAAAAGCATTATTTATATTTTAATTATAGAATCAAAACCAATTTATTATAAGTTGTAGGAAATATGTACACAAGCATTACCATAAGTATCTATTGAACTTGAACAAGCACTTTTTACTTACAATTCTCGCTTAATCTTTGCATTGTTACAATCTTTCACTTTTAAATTGATTTTGAATATTTTTAATAAAACATATTTTTGGTATATAAATATATAGAAAATTCTTTAAGTCCCCACTTAGTCATAGAAATAAATTAATAATATATATTTGCTTACTGACTTTATGTTATGTGTGCTTGTATAATTTTGGACTTACAGATTCTGTAATATTTTCTCTGAACACAGAGGAACTTCTTTTTGTGAAAAATACTGATAGTATATAAATAAAAGAATACTGTATATATTTACATAAATTTAATAATCAGGAAGTGAAGTAAATTTAATGCAAAATTAGCAAATGTTCATTTTATTTTATTAACTTTGTTTCATTTAATATTGTGTTATCATCCATAAGAAGATCCTCTGTGTAAATAATAATTATTTTTTTAAATTATCGTATTTCATATTAAATGTTATGTTCTTAAGTATTAAAGGGCATTAAATCATATGTTGCAAACTTTGTGATATAACACCGATTAATTTATAAAATAAAACAAAAATGAAGCATTCCATTTACAGTGATGAAAATTGCAAATTAAATATGTAATTTTTTTGTAAAAATATTAATGAGTTATACATTTGTTTAATGATGTATTAATTACCATTAATTCTTATAATTTGTTAGTATTTTCGAAAGACATGGCACTATATACATGTATCTAAACAATCTCATTACATTTAAAGTGCTGCTTTTAATTACGATTAAGGCTTTGATTATTGACATTATAGAAAAAATAATAAATAGGAACATAATATAAATAAACCATAAGCCCATCTAACACAATATCATAGACCATGATCGCTAATGACCGAGCTTATTTGATAAGAGTGCGTTCACACCAATTTTTAAACGAAGTTATACGATACATTTTATTCTTATATCGAGAACATGTCAGTAAAAACAACTTAATGTGAAGAAAACTTTCATTTATCGTAACATCGTGACAAAAGAAGACGCAAAAACCCTTGAATAAAAATGCTAAAGACAAAGAAGTAAGCAAAGAAACTCTGAAGAACATAACACACTAACTTCAAAAATTTAGAAAAATTGAGAGAAAATGAGAGATGAAACAAGAGCACAAGAATACAGATTAACAGATTCTCCTTATAGTATTTTTGATTAAAAAAAAAGAGGAACTAAAATAAACTAGTACAAAAATAAGAAATGATTGTAAAATCTATAATTCAGAGAACAATTCCTTCTGTTGACACTGATCTTGTTGATTTGACTCGAGAGCTAGTTAGTTGTGAGGAAATATTTTGTTCTAATAACAGTTTGTCAGGCGCGTATTTTAAAAACTTCATTTAGAATAAAAGATATTCTAGTTCTTTTTTACATTTGTTCCTTTCTTTCTTAATGGTATCTTTAAAAAGTGTAAGAAATATTTTATAATGTATTGAAAGTTGCATACATTCATCCATATTGTATCACAAATTTAGGTAATAGAAATTCTGTTGTCTAAAATGTTCATTAGATGTGTACAATTTCACATTTATATCCCTGAATAAAATCCTTTGAACAGTATTTTTACTTCAATGTTTTAATAATTTTCGTCTATTTGACATTGTACAATTTGAAAACAAAAACAAAATAAAAATTAACAAGAAGAATAATCTTTATGATTTCATTACGAAAAAAATGTCAATGATTCTGTTCAAAGGTTATATATAAGGTAATAATACCTTGTTATAATGAAAACCTCATTTGAATTAAGTCTTATTAATAGAAGCATCCTTCATGATATCATCTTTACTGATGTTTTGGTTCATTTGGTCATTTTCATACTCTACGAAATCATCGAATAAACTTGGCCATGCTTCTGCGTCATCATAAGCGCCGAGATCATCACCAATACTTTCAGCAAAATTTAAAAACATATTCCATGTATCTCTGGGTATGCCCCTAACGTGATGGCATTCAAGAAATTTCAGCCATCTTGATAAAAGTGGTGGTTCACGTATTGTAAAAACAAGCTTCCATAAAACAATTGCCATATCGGCTGGTAATATTCTCTGACCAGAATTAACATCTAAACCAAATTGGAATGTAAATCGGTAGAGATCTTTGAATAAATCACTGGTAACGGTTAACTCTTGAACAATTTCTGGTAATTTCATTTGTATAGCATGTATACTATCTACTTTCATTGCTTTCAAACCCGTCACAAACTCTTGTCGTGTAAATTGGCACATCTGTTCAGCGTTTAATTTCCAAGCGAGAACAAGTACTTTGAATTCATCTGGGGATAGTTGTAAATCGTTACAAAATCTTTCTATACCGTCAGCTAAAATTACATCTTCGTGCGAATCCTATGAACAAAAGACAAAAATATTCGTTGAGAAATAAATGTCTCCAAATAAAAATTATTTATGTGGAATATAATAAAGAAAATTTATATTTCACCTTGTATTGATCAAATAATGTATTTAATTTATTTTCTGACGGTTCCCTTTGTTGTTTCGATTCAACAGTTACGTTAAGACCAGATGACGTTCCGGATCTACCCAATGGTGGTAAACGTGCATAAAATCCTCGGGATGAACGTAAATTATTTTGTACATTAGGCATAGATCCACAATTATCAGATCCTACATTGTTGAATGCTGATAATGTGGTTAATGATTTTCTGTTGCCATTTATATGCGTTTCAGGCACTAAAGGCCCAGTTTGTTGTTGACAAGAATTTGAAAACAAACCTCTAAGTTCCATTGTTTCTATAATAATTTATATTAAGTTTTATAACAAATAATTGAGAAACATTAATGAAAAGATAAAGCACAACCAAAATAAGAAAAATAACAAAAATAATTTGTTTCTCATCATTGTGAATATTTATTTATATATAATGATACATACATAAAATTATAAGTGAGAAGCATTTTAAAGAAAGATCTTAACAAATTAGGTAAACAGTAATTATAATAATTACCGTCTTTATAATCTGATGATGCTGCTTGATTAGTGGTGGCTGGTGGAAGGGGCACCTTAAAGCACGAAAAACAGTTTCCCATTGATGCTGTCTATATTTATTATTAAAGACAATTATTCCATGCATCAGAAGTTCAGTCTTACATTGGCAGTCTTGATCAAAAGCTAAACATTCAGAACAATACAATCATATAACTGTGTACATAAGTAATATATCATTTTAAAAATTATAAAAATATTTACATTGCCTATTGTGTGCACCCATACATCGTGCCTATTGTAAGCATTATAAAATGAATATTTATCCCAGAATACTTTCTTTATAAGTTATAAATATGTTTTATAGCTACATAGTTTTATAGCAGTATCTGGTAAGATTTGGGATAAAAATACATTATCATAGAGATGTTAATAGTTTCGAATAATAAATTTTCCTAAAGAATAGTTATGAATAACTTTAAAATGTCTTCAATTTTTTATATAGCAGTGTAACTTTAAAAATTGTCCTTCACTAAAATGTTTATACCTCATATAAAGTATTTCTAAATAAATGTTAATGACTTTAGAAAGCAAATAGAATATGCTCTGTATTTATCTAAATACTAGTAGAGAAATAAATAAATAAATAAAATACATTTGTTACCTTATTGTTAAGGCGGATTTTCGGTCTACCTGGGTCAGGATAACCCCAGTAAAGACCCACCGCAAAATATCTTGCTTTATCTTCATTCATAAATTTGTATGAAATATTTACGTTCTAATTTGTGGCAGTGAAAATTGACAAGGTGCTACGGTCCCAATCTTTCTCAACATTTACATTACTTCCAATCCGAATTTCTATTTGATTAAACACTACTGTCATTTGTGGAGACGTAACCTTACCAAATGATGCACTAACAGTATCATTCCATACACGAAACATTCATTCGTTTTAATTTATTCTCTATTAATATACTATTAAAACCAATCCATGAAAACACAGTAACAAAGATATATTCTTCGTTTTTTCAATGTATAACAAAAAAGTCCCTTTACGACGAAGCAACGAGAGAAATTTTTTTTCGTAAATACAGTATTGATACTCTATAAACATAATAATCACTAGCAACAATAAAACGCATATATTATAAGGAAAATTATCATTTTTCGTTTGAAAATATATAATAATTTAGGTTACTGCATTATTTGTTTATTTACCTCAATTTACAAATATTTTATATTACTTTAGCAATTGACATAGAAGATTTTAATATCTTTATGTGAGTTGTAGCTGATTTGTACATACATACATTATATGTATGTATGTACATATAATACATGCTTACATACATCCACATATACATAAATACGTATTGAAACGTGTTTTTATGAACGACGTATATACAATTTATTAAATGTTATAATTAAAGTTTAAAGATTTATATTGATTTGGAAATTTAAAATAGATTTATTGGCGTAGTTTTGATAATGGTTTTCAAATAAAAATTATAATGAATCTTTTTAACATAGTATATTTTGTAGTTTTTCCAAATATGTAGTAAGTTGATTCGAAATTGTTTAGATATCATATATGCATATATATATGAATGTGTGTGTGGTGTAGCGGGTGGTGCGCAGTGTAGTCAAGTGTAGTGTTGTTGAGATGTAATGTAATGCAATATATGATAACAACGAAAATTATTCAAAATCCATATTGAGCGTAATATTCGTAAAATTTTTAAACATACGTTTATATGTATTAAATTTATATGTTTATTTGTGTTTTGAAACTAAAATTACAACCGTTAAAACTTTTTCGTAGTAGTAACATTTATATACTTTTGCATATTTAACTTTAACTCCAGTTTAACAGTAATAAGGAATAAAATAATGTAATAGAACATGTTTTTTAGACCAATTGGAGAACAAAAATATTCTTAGTTTTTGTACTAACTACCTAGTATAAAACTTTTTAATATTTCATGTAATCAGTTATTTTTTTAATATAAATATATATTTCAGATAACGTGTATATACATACAAATTTATTTGAAAAATGCCAGAATTACCACGTATTACAAGATCATTGCGAATGTTTACAAATCTTGGTCGCATCAAGAGTACAGTTGAATTAGAACCAAATGATCTATTTAAAAAGCAAACAGAAGAAATTAATAAATTCAGAAGGTATTATCTTGTATTTAATATTTCTTAATCTATTTTTATTATTGCATAATTTTCCTAAAATATAGTGAATCAACCTGGAAGGATTTACGCCAAACTGTACCTAAGGATGCTCTACCTTATCTTACTAAATTACGTAAAATGATTGAACAACTATTTGGTATGTATTGATTTATAATGATAAACTACAAAATTTCTTACTTATTTTTTATTATTTCAGAGGAGGGTTCTTATGAACTCATCAATGAATTTCTAATCTTTGCTTTACGCTTATTAATTGATGAAAGATTGTTAACTAATGCAAAGTTCCAAACTTTAAAAGAAAGAGCAGAAAATTTAACTTATAAAGATGCTAATATGATAATGGAGGTGAATATAACAAATTTATTATGAGTTAATAATTTCTAAAGACAATTATTAAATATTTGTTGTTTAAAATAGCCATTTCAAAATAGATATTTTAAAGTTTTTAATTTTTTGCAGATAATTGGTACGCTTAGGGAAAAACTGAATGAAGATACTATAACACTTTTGAAAAATGAAAAGAAAGACATTAATACTACTGAGATATTGGAAACTGATTTGTTTGGTTCAAAATTTACATATAATCCTCCAAGAGTATTATGGCCAGATACCGAAGCGCTTCGTAATATGTCCGTAGGAAATATAATTCAAAATGCTGACAACTTTACAATGAAATACAAGAAAGAAATTCCAAAATCGTTCAATATGAAAGTTTGTGTTAAATTTATGTATATTAATTCTTACGTTTTAAAAGTATTTTAATTGTAATTATACTTTTATTTCAGTTTGATGAAGCAACATATAAAAAGAATTTAAATTTATGTCACAAGAAGTATTCTTTGGTCATGAGTTTCGACCAGTTTGAAACAGCTATAATCAACAAATTAAAAGACTCTAAGAACCTACAAAATGAGTTATTTGATTTCTTGGGTTATGAACATATAGAATTAGTACAGTACATTATTCAGAATCAGAAAAGCATTATGGCTTTAAAGTCTAGTTCAAAAACACAAAAGCAACCTAATATAGAAAGACCTGTAATCGGTGGTCAAGTAACTGTACAATCTGAGAAAGAAAAACAAGCACTCAAACAAATGCGGAAAGAAGAAAAGAAGTTAAATAAAATATCAAATAAAGGGAAAGGAGATTTAGAAGAGAATAACTTTGAATCGCAGGAATTATATTTAAAAAAGCAGGAAGTATTGGTAGAAATGAATAAGCCTATATTTAAAAAAGATATTGTAGAGAAACCTATTTATCCGTTTGTTTTTGACTCGAATGTATCTAGTGGAAGTACGACTTGTATATCAGGAAAAAAAATAATGTTACCACAAAATGTTGTGAGAAAAGATACGCAAATGTCTGAGGAAGTTCACATACCTATTCCGGAATTACGACCAATCGATATTGACTATAAACCTATTACGATATCATCATTAGATGATATTGGGCAAATGGCTTTTAATGGTATAACATCATTGAATCGAGTACAGAGCATAGTATTTAACACAGCGTATCATACTAATGAAAATTTATTAATTTGTGCACCGACCGGAGCTGGAAAGACAAATGTTGCTATGTTAACTGTTGTACATCAGTTAAAACAACATATAGAAAATGGTCAGATAATGAAAGATCAGTTTAAAATAATTTATGTGACACCTATGAAAGCTTTAGCAGCAGAGATGACAACAAATTTTGGTAAAAGACTTAAATCTCTTGGTATATCGGTACGCGAATTGACTGGAGATATGCAATTAACTAAATCAGAAATTCAACAAACACAAATGATTGTTACAACGCCAGAAAAATGGGACGTTCTTACTAGGAAAGGCACTGGAGATATATCTCTTACTAATATTGTTAAATTATTAATTATCGATGAAGTACATTTGTTACATGGCGATAGAGGACCTGTGGTAGAAGCATTGGTGGCTCGAACTTTAAGACAAGTAGAGTCTTCCCAGAATATGATAAGAATTGTTGGACTTTCAGCAACTTTACCAAACTATGTAGATGTTGCAAGGTTTTTAAGGGTGAATCCTTTGGTAGGACTTTTTTATTTTGACTATAGATTTCGACCAGTGCCACTCAGTCAAACATTTATTGGTGTAAAAGCAGGATCTCCCTACCAACAAGCGAAATACATGGATCATATATGCTATGATAATGTGATAGAAATGGTGCGCAAAGGACATCAAGTGATGGTATTCGTACATGCACGTAACGCTACTGTTAGAGTGGCAAATGTTTTAAAAGAATTAGCTCAACAAAATGATATGCTGAAATTATTTCTATCCGAAGGTCATGCAAAATTTATAAACAAAGCTTTCGCTAAATCACGTAACAAACATTTGATTGAATTATTCAATAACGGATTGTCTATACATCATGCTGGTTTGTTACGTTCAGAGAGAAATTTAGTTGAAAAATATTTTGCTGAAGGACTGATCAAAGTATTGGTATGTACATCAACCTTGGCTTGGGGTGTAAATTTACCTGCGCATGGAGTTATTATAAGAGGAACAGAAATATATGATTCAAAGCATGGTTCATTCATTAATTTAGATATATTGGATGTTTTACAAATTTTTGGTCGTGCCGGTAGACCACAATTTGATACGTCTGGTCACGCTGTTATTATTACTTCCCATAACAACTTGTATCATTATTTATCGTTATTAACGAATCAAATACCAATTGAAAGTAATTTTATCAGATATTTAGCTGATAACCTGAATGCTGAAGTTGCATTAGGTACAATATCAAACGTGGAAGAAGCTATAAAATGGTTAAGTTATACTTATTTGTTTGTTCGAATGCAATTAAATCACCTTGAGTACGGAATTCCTGCTTCAGAAGATCTAAATTTGGAACGGAAAAGAAGGGAACTGATTAATACAGCTGCTACATCATTAGACAAAGCTAAAATGATACGATACAATGTGAATACTGGAGATCTTAGCGCGACAGAACTGGGACGTATTGCAAGCCACTTTTATCTTAAATATGATACCGTTGAAATTTTTAATGAGATGATGAAAGATATTATGAACGAGGCTGATATACTTGTAATGATATCTCATTCTCAAGAATTTCAACAATTGAAAGTTCGCGATGATGAAATTGACGAATTAGAAAAGTTATTAAACTGTTGCCAAGTTCCAATTCAAGGCGGTGTTGAAAACATCCATGGTAAAGTAAATATTCTACTGCAAACATATTTGTCACATGGTCCGGTTAATACATTTTCATTGATGTCGGATCAAGCGTATATTACACAAAATGCAGTACGTATATGCAGAGCGTTATTCAAAATTATGTTAGAAAAAAATAATGCGACAATGGCTGGTCGATTATTAGAAATGTCTAAAATGTTTGAAATACCACAATGGGATTATTTGACTCCGCTACGTCAATTTTCTTGTTTGCCATCGGAGATTATTGATAAAATAGAGCACCTAGATCTAACAATCGATAGACTGAATGATATGGACGTTAAAGAAATTGCAGATGTTTTGCATAATCAGAAAGCAGCGGCATTAGTGAAGAAATGTTGCGAAGAGTTTCCTGCATTAGAAATGGAATCAAACTTGCAACCCATTACTCGTACAATTTTGAGAATACGTTTAAAAATAATTCCTCAGTTTCGATGGAATGATAAAGTTCATGGTCAAACATCGGTACCATTTTGGATATGGATAGAAAATCCAGAAGATAATATTATTTATCATCATGAATATTTTGTTATGACAAGAAAAATGGTTTATAATAATCTTGAACAAGAACTTGTAATGACTATACCATTACAGGAACCAATACCTACTCAGTACATAGTAAAAGCAACAAGTGATCATTGGTTGAATTGTGAAAGTATGCTACCCTTAACATTTCATGATTTAATTTTACCTGAAATATATCCACCTTATACTGATTTATTAACGTTGCAACCATTACCAGTGAAAGCGCTAAAAGAAAAATCATTTGAGCAACTTTATAAATTTTCTCATTTCAATCCGATACAGACTCAGATCTTTCATTGTTTGTATCACACGGATAACAATGTGCTTTTAGGAGCTCCGACTGGTTCGGGAAAAACAGTGGCCGCAGAAATTGCAATGTTCAGAGTATTCAAACAATATCCTATGCAGAAAGTTGTATATATTGCACCGTTGAAAGCTTTAGTTAGAGAGCGTATAAAAGATTGGAAAATTAGATTGGAAGAACGGCTGGGTAAAAAGGTAGTAGAATTAACTGGAGACGTAACGCCAGATATTAAAGTTATAGCGAATGCAAATGTTATTGTGACTACACCCGAAAAATGGGATGGTATTAGTAGAAGTTGGCAGACAAGAACTTATGTGAAGAATGTTTCACTTATAATTATAGATGAAATTCATCTGTTAGGAGAAGATCGTGGTCCAGTATTGGAAGTGATTATTTCAAGAACCAATTTTATCTCTTCTCATACTTTGAGAACAGTGAGAATTGTTGGACTTTCTACAGCATTGGCTAATGCGGTAGATCTTGCGAATTGGCTTGGTATTAAAGAAATGGGTTTATATAATTTTCGTCCATCAGTACGACCTGTACCATTGGAAATTCATATTAATGGATTCCCAGGAAAACATTATTGCCCTCGAATGGCGACAATGAATAGGCCAACTTTCCAAGCGATCAGACAACATGCACCTTCTAGTCCATCTCTAGTGTTTGTCTCATCGCGTAGACAAACACGATTAACTGCATTAAATTTAATTGCATATCTTGCAGCAGAAGATAAACCTAAACAGTGGTTACATATGCCTGATGAAGAAATGGATAGTATTTTGGATCAAATAAAGGATTCAAATTTAAAACTTACGCTTGCTTTTGGAATCGGACTTCATCATGCTGGTCTTCAAGATAGAGATAGAAGAACCGTTGAAGAATTATTTGTTAATAATAGAATTCAAGTATGTATTGAAAATAATTAATGGTAATTTCATTTATTATTCGCTATCAGATGCAAGACTTTACAAATAATTTTCAGGTATTGATTACTACAGCTACTTTGGCATGGGGTGTAAATTTCCCTGCTCATTTAGTAGTAATAAAAGGAACAGAATATTATGACGGTAAAACAAAACGTTACGTAGACATGCCAATTACAGATGTACTACAAATGATGGGTCGTGCAGGTAGACCTCAATTCGATACTTCTGGGGTGGCAGTGGTATTAGTTTACAATTTAAAGAAAAATTTTTATAAAAACTTTCTGCATCAGCCGTTCCCAGTAGAATCAAGTTTATTAGCAGTTTTACCAGATCATATAAATGCTGAAATAGTGGCTGGTACAATAAAAAATAAACAAGAATTTTTAGATTATTTAACATGGACATATTTCATTAGGAGATTAATGAAAAATCCTAAATATTATAATTTAGATGTTTTAAATCATTATGCAATTAATGAATATTTATCTTCCTTGGTGAATAAAACACTAAAAGTACTAATCGATTCACAGTGTGTTGACTTTGATGAGGTACATAAAATTATTTTGTTAATTTTTGTTTTAAGTAAAAACAGATTAAAACATTTTTGTATTATTACATTGATTCTAGGAAAGACAAGTCTTGTATCCACTTCCGATGGGTAGAATAGCATCATTTTATTATTTATCGCACCAAAGTATGCTCATGTTTCAACAGTCGCTGCAAGAATCTCTTACGTTAGATCAGTGTTTACATATTTTATGTGACTCTTATGAATATAGTGAATTACCAGTAAGACATAACGAAGAATTATTAAATGAGTAAGTTCATATTTATATATCAAAATACATATATATCATATTTTATTCTAATATATGTAATTATTACACAGGGAATTAAGTAAAATGTGTCGCTATACGGTAAATAACTATACATATGATTCTCCGCATACTAAAGCATTTTTATTACTGCAAGCACATTTCTCGAGGCTTCCATTACCCTGTACAGACTATACTACAGACTTAAAGTCAGTTCTGGATCAAGCAATTAGAATTATACAGGTATACATAATTGAAAAATACAATCTACTCTATTAGATTCATGAAATATAATTATATAACATCAATTTCATGTAAACAAATGTACGAGTCGTTGTATGTTTTTTTGTAAATTTAATAGTTTATTATCAATATAATACATCTATGATTTCAGGCAATGATAGATACTGTTGCCGAACATGGGTGGTTAGCAAGTGCACTTACAATAATACAGTTACTTCAAATGATTATTCAAGCTCGATGGATTGATGAACCTGCAATTACTACATTACCATATGTAAACTCAGAACATTTAGAGTTATTCTTACCTTTATCAACAATTCTTCCAGTATTATGTGCTACTATGTACAATAAATATAATGTACTTGTAGAAGTGCTTGGTAAAGAGTTCCAAGAAGAACAGATACATCAGGTAAATATATCCTACTTAGTTAGATACTGTACATTAGTAATAGGATTTTAAAATATATTCAATAATAATTAATTTTACAGATACATCAAGTAATAAAAGAAATGCCAATGCTTTGCCTTGATTTAAGTTTAGCAGGTCATGGGCTCAATGATACTAAACAAAAGTTTATTTCATTACAATCTAATAATTCTGAGTGTATAAACATCCACAAAGATCAAGATTATATATTAAATATTGGAATGAGAAGAAAAAATAAGTCTAATAATTTAAAAGCGCATTGCTCTATGTTTCAGAAAGGAAAGGATGAAGGTTGGTTTATAGTTTTAGGTAGTATTCAGAGCAGAGAATTACTGGCTCTGAAACGAGTGAGTGGTATAAGCGGGGAACGGAAATGTCATCAATTACAATTTACAGCACCATCAGATTTAGGTAATTTTATTTTATTATAATTTATTATTATGGAATTATTTTCTTTTTTTTTTTGTTTAATAAACAAATTTACTTTTTAAGGGAAAACAACACTGACGTTTTACTTAATGTCTGATTGTTACATAGGATTAGATCAACAGTACAACGTACAAATAAATGTAATATAACATAACTTAACGTTACTAAATAAGTGAAGACTGATATGTGTGTAAGAAAACTATATTCTCTGTAAAACAGTGAATACAAATAAAATATTTTAATAATAATGATATTTTATTAAATCGATGCCGTTTATCAATTTATATGTATATATTTTGTTACTTATTATACAATTATCAGTATAACAATAATAACAGTATATCTTATATTTTTCATAAAAATACAAGTAGTATTAGCTTTATGTACAAAAATAGAAAAGTAATATTTGAAAGATCAATTTTATAAATTTCTGTAATTCACAAACAAAGAAGCATATAAAAAATGTTAAGAAAAATAAACAAAAGATGACGTATGACACGTAATAAATGTTAGTTAATTTTATTACAAAATGAGTTTTGTAGATTACACATTCATAAATCACAATACAAAAATGCTCTATTGTAACACTTAATACCTTATTAAGAGTAAAAGAATATCAGTAATAACTTGAAGTATTTTATACACATCTTTTCATGCCAATCCTTTTTCGCACTTATATCATGGCATTATAACAATATAATTTTTGTATCGTTTAATTTCTTATGCTAATTGTAAATAACAAGATGTAGGTTAGGAAGGATATGAGATCATTTCATTGCTTTGTTTTAAATAGGAGATGATTAAGTTGTATACATACTCTTATTTCTGTAATGGTATTTCATTTAATATTGTTCAATGCAGACTGTTCATACTAATAACAGAAAAGAAATAAATTTCAGTCGTAACTTTGTCATTTTAAGTCTATACATATCCCTGAGAGAAACAATGCGATCTGAGTGAAAATATTTTCTTATTATTTATTGTCGTAATAATGGGAAATATTAACTATCAATTTCCAAACATTTAAATATGCAATTTTATACTAAAACCAAATTAATGAAGTTCAATTTCATTACAATTCCTTAACAATATAATACAAACTAACAAGTTACTTGTATATTCAAAATTAGTATCAATTGCTCTAAACAATTGTAAACTTCTTTTCTATCAATAGATGAACTTTCTGCATATGTATAAATTATTCAATACGTATGAAATGCACTATATGGTACTTCTGTAACTGTAGTACTAAGCACCAAAGCAAAGAAACATTTAAGCTCCTTCCATAATGAAAATCTGGAAGTACTGATTTCTTATAAGTAATATACCGAAATATTTTTAAATAATAATATGTTTCTATTTGTCACATTCATTATAAATATCGATCTTTTTTTCAAACAATTAAGAAAAATATTCCATGCAATAAATTGCAACTTAATTTATGTCCTGTGTTTTAAGATTCTTTCATTTTACTGTAAATTATTTAAACGATAATAATAATATTAAAATTAGATATTTTATCACTCAATGACCAAGGAAGCACTGGCGTAACTGACAGAACTATCATTCATGTTATTGCACTGGTTGCTTTGAGCGTATTTAAGAAATTTTAAGCTCATTCTTTGACCATTAGTGTTTCCTTTTAAGTTATGAATTATCTGTTAACATAAAAATTATAATTTTAATTAAAAGATGTCATTTATTAGAAAGATATTTATTTATGTAAGTAAAAAGTTACCTGTAACAAAACACTGATAGGATGTCGACCACATATCGTATTACCATACTTTTTAAGGTAATCTGTAAATAATGTGGGATTTAAAGTTTCTATGATGTCCATACCCTACATAAATGGAATTTATAAGTAGGAATTATTAATTAAATAAACAGTAGTTTCATGTTCAGGTTCACATACCATTTTATCCAGATTCTGAATTGATCTATGAATCGGACCACATGATCTATCGTAATACGTATAACGAAAACGTTGTCCCCAATGACAAAAATCTGAAGAGATTACAAACAATGTCTGTGGGTCAGCCATATAGGGTGCTAATAATCTTCCATAGAGTGCTTCCCTTTCTGGACTTAATGAACCCACCAATATAGGAATTATAGTAAAAGAATCTTTAAACCTATATTAATATAGGAAAGATGTTTAAAATTTCGTAACAAATAAATATTTATTAAAAGATTTAATAATAAAACACACCCTTCCATAACTTTTGCAATAAATGGTAATTGCATTTCGATGCTGTGTTCTTCTTCATCTGTATTTAAATCCATCCATTCAAAATGTCCACTTTCTTCAAGTTCTCTGCATACTGTCACATGAATAGAAACCTATATTTGAACTAATCCTTGATAGTATATTAAGATAATAGTTTATTAAGATTTTCGTATTTTATATTATACAATCTATACCTTGCTGATCAATGTGCAGATCATATAGTGGGGTTTGATAAATTGAAGCAGAAGAAAGAGCACAGCCTGCTAATCTTACATGATGTGAAGGACCAAGAATAAAAATTCTGCGCCTATAGAATGATATGATACATGTTTAATCTTTCATTTTAATTACATATAATAAAGTTTAAGCTACTCAAAATCTACCTTAAAAGTGATCTAGACTAGAATATTTCTCAAATATTGTTGAAGAACAAGTTATATTAATATTGATTAGTATTTAATAGCATATTTAAATACTTACACAACTACAGGACTAATTTGACGGTATGCAAAACCAGCACATGCTCCACAATAGCTGTAACCTGCATGTCTGTGAAATTTTGTTTACATTTCAATAAAGATTTGTTAATCTAATCAAAATTAGTTTAATTTACTATAATTACTGACGGGGCAATAATTGCCCTAGCAGGTCCATGTGATAAGTCTGCTGCACCCAACCAACCTTCTAATTGTTTATTTAAATCCAAACCTGTATAAAAAAAATATATAATAATAATAACTACAGTATAAATTATTAATGGAAATGCCAATAAATTATAATAATATCATAGCAATTTATTTCTACTATGTTCATGAAACCATATTATGTTTTCTAACAGTACAATGCCTATAAAAGGGTTAAAAATATGTTTTATTATTAAATAACAAATCCTTTGTTTTTTGATTCCCATTTGTAGTGCTCAAAGTAATAAAAATAGATCAATTTTTAGTTCAAATTTGGTTGCAAATATAGTTTATTAAAATGTAAATTGAAACATACATTTCTTTACAAAATAAATCAAATAATATTTGTCATTTCTATTAATTAGATTTAATTGTTATTATAAATATATAAATATTAATTTACCACTGTGTTAGAAAAGCATCAAATACATAATGTTACATTTGTTACATATTTGGTTAATAACATATGCGAATATCATTGGATACCTAATTATGACACATATGCAGTCAAAAGAAAACAAATACGAACTATTAATAAACAATCATAATTATATTATACATAAATATCGTTAATACATACGAATGAAAAATATACTTTAAATATTATTTACCAGAGCCTGCGTACCAACTACCAGCATGAGTTGCTCTTCTAATTAATGCCATTTTTTATTGAATAGCACTTAGTTTTATTCTTTCTTTCTACTTTTGATAGCGAATGATTTTTTAATTTATTGATAAGTTTTACAAACGACTGATCTAAATTGTTAATATTTAATTCTATACAAGTACAAAATATTTATAAAAGTCTATCACAAAACTTTGACTAAACCACGAACCATATGCTTCTAACAATGTTATGCGAAATGTCTTAGATGGAGAGTGGATTCGCAGCGGGTAAGTGGCGTTAGCAAAGCGGATGAGGAATGGATGAGAGAAGGTCTGTCGCACTATCTCTCCTGTTTATTCTATGATATAAAACGACATATAATATATTCTATTGATTATACCATCTATAAACTTACTGTTTCATTACTACTATACACGATTGAATTATTCACTTGGACTTTTTTAGTTATACAATTGTAGTGTTTTGTTCATAATGCCTTTCTTTTATCGTAATCGGTACACGTATATGTGTAGAGGTTAGATATTTAACGGATTTGTGATTTATCAAAAGTATCCTGAAAATTGATTATTCGTTGCAACATACCAGAAGTCATGTTTGTACGTTCTCTGTAAAAATACGTTTGTTGCTTATACTATTTGAATTTACTTATTTTTGTAGTGAGTACTTATAGTCGATAAGTAATAACTTTATCTCTATTTTGATTTATATTCATTTTTAATATTAATGCTTAACCTCACTACTCTTATAACGTGTTTTTAATTAGTTGATGTTGGATATATTACGATTTCTACTTTTACTAACCAATTTTTATTGAAAATAAATTGGATTGCTGCATTGTACTATTTTAATTTTAATGTGATATAAATGTAACACATTTACATATATACATAAATATTTGCATCATGCATGAGATGTTTTCTAGCTTATATTAGAAGATTTGACAGTTGATTCTAGGTGTGATTAAGGGTTAATTACATAGACCTGTAATAAAATGGTCAATGCAAACTGCAAATTTTTATAATTTTAATGAATTTTGGTATTGCAATTAAATTTCTGTTTTTCAAGTAAAATCCATATTACGTGTATTGGTATAAGTAAGATCAGACCAGGGTGAGCCTGGCCCCTTAAAAATAATGATTAGTTCCTTCTATTAAAATTGTGCATATAATTATATCCTTTTTTTCAGGATGTATGAATAAGAAAAATGTCTGTACATTACAAATTCAAATCCACTTTGGACTACGACACTGTGTCCTTTGATGGATTACATATTTCTGTAGCAGACTTGAAGAAAGCTATTTTTCATCAAAAACGTATAGGAAAGAATACAGACTTTGATTTGCAAATAACAAATGCTCAAACTAAAGAAGGTACTTATTACCACATATTTTAATAATTACAATTTTTATGTATAATGTAAAAATTACAAAACTTCTTTTAGATTACACAGATGATAATGCATTAATTGCAAAGAATACCAGTCTTATCGTTGCTAGAGTTCCATTAACAATACAACAGAAACGATCATGGGATAGAAATGAGACTCCTTCGTTTAGTAATTTAAAGGATGAAACTAATTTAGGACGGGCTGTGGACCTAACAAGGCTTGATGGCTCAGAAGAAGATAAGATTCGAGCAATGATGACTCAGTCTACGCAAGATTATGATCCATCAAAGTATGTAAACGTGTAAATAAGATTTGTATCGTATTTCATATCGTACGTACGTACTAATATATATTTATATTTTCGTTAGTTATATGAAAATACGTGGCGCTAATCAAACTGGTGATGTACCCGCAAATTATCGTTGTTACAAATGTCATCAACCTGGTCATTGGATCAAGAATTGTCCGCTTGGAATAAATCAAGAACCCATAGAAATTAAAAAGAGTACAGGTATTCCTAGGAGTTTTATGGTTCCTGTAGAAGGGCCACGAGTTCCCGGTGCTATGATGACACCGACAGGTCAATACGCTGTACCAGCTATTGATCAGTAAGTTTTAATACTAGAAACTACGGATCTCTTAATATGAAATTAAATTTGATAAATATTTTTTGCATTTCCAGTCAAGCTTATAAAGAGGGTAAAAAGGAACGACCACCGTTTTCCCAAGATCCAGAACCCGCTGTGGAAAAGCCAGAAATTCCGGAGGACTTATTATGTAAAATTTGTAAAGATCTCTTGACAGACGCAGTGATGATACCATGCTGTGGCAATTCATTTTGTGACGAATGTAATTCTTCTTTAGTTTTTACATTTTTATAATAGTTGTAACTGAACACAGTATTCTAGAATACTTTGCATTATAGGTATTCGTACGTTCTTGTTAGAATCCGAGGAACACGAATGTCCAGATTGTAACGAAAAAGATGTATCACCAGAAACTCTTATTCCAAATCGCTTTTTAAGAAACGCTGTAATGAGTTTTAAGAATGAAACTGGGTATGCTAAACGGCAAACATACAGACAACCCTCACAAACCAATAAACAATCTGCAGCACAGTTAGATCAACAAAAAACTGAACCGGTTACATCAAGTCAAACATCAAATCAAAATAAACCTGCTCAAACTGCAGGTGCTACTGTACCTTCTCAAGAGTATACAGAATCACAATCAACAAATTTTGAGTCTACACCTCAACAATATCCAGTTACTACACAACCACAGACTGCAAGTAAGTCATACCTCTTTTATATTCTTTTTTATAAAGTAATAAATGATTTGTAATTTGCATGTAATTTCTATATTCGTTTTAACAGCTGCTACTGAATCAACAACAGAACCTGATTTGCAAACTGAGCCTGTAGCAAAAGTGGCGTTAGAAGAAGAAACAGAGGTACCACCACCTCCAGGAACAGAACCATTACTACCTATTCCTGCAATCGGCAGTTCACCAGAAAGAGATAGAGAAAGGAGTGATCCCCCAAGTCGCGATAAGAAAGAACGTGAAAATGAATATTCAGGAGAAAGACAATCGAGAGAACGTAGACGAAGTTTTAGCAGAGATAATCACCGTGATAGGTAAATGTTTTAATATTGTTTTAATCATCGGATACTACAGTAGCGTGAATATGCATCGCTGATACATTATTTCATCTGTAACATTTTATCTGGCTAACCTAATGGTTTCTTTCCACTACGTTGAATAGATCAATTGTAACTATTGTATTTTAGAAGTGGAGAACGTGGTCGTAGAATGGAGAACTTGAGACCTGTAAGTCGAAGAAAATCCTTGTCTCCTAGGCACTCACAACACAACGATTATGGTTCTCAAGGAGCACCATTATCACATTTAATGAATCCTCCGCCATCGAAAAGTTATCAGGGGTTGCCACCCGATGATGGACATTATCCACCTAGTATGCATTATGAAAGCGCCATACGTAGATCAACCGAAGATCGTCCAGGCACTCCAACAGTAAGCGCAGGAGTTAGTGGTCACCACCAATATACATGTACATGTATCTCATTCATATATTAATTTTAGGTTGATGAACCACACCTACATGTGCCTTCCAGCAATCAGCCACCGCTTTTACCTTTTCCACCGGGTGAAGATCGTATTCCACAGCCAAGTTACAATCAGCCTCCACCTAATGTACCACCGCATAATCAACCTTTATTACCAGATCCATACATGAGTCATCGAATACCTATTTATCCTCATCAACAAGGATCTCACTATGGACCTCCGCGATATGAAAGGCCTCCTTATCAACAACAAGGATACAGACCTTCGCAGCCACCCAGAAATTATAATGGACCGCCACGTCCAATTAGAGGATTACATCATTGTAAGTACTTCTGAAAAAAAGAAACTTTGTGTAACTTCAGTGAACAAATTTTGTTATAAACATTTAAAAAAATGTTTTCAGTAAGTTATCGAGGATTGCAACCACCACCACCTGGATTAGGTAGAAATATTCATAATGGTAATCCACCTGGGTAAGTTAATATACTTTGATAAAAGTTACATGAAAAATACTATGAATGCCAAACACTACAAATTGACATGATTTATAATGCATAAATGATTACATATTATTTTTCAGTATAATCGATGATCCATTAGAAGCATTTGAACGAATGCTTCGAGAGAAAGATGAACGAGACAGAAGGCTTGGTAAACATAGAAGAAGAAGTAGAACACGGTCAAGATCCCGTAGTTATAGTAGATCTAGATCACGTTCGTTTAGTCGTAGATCACCATTTTCAACTCGCTTAAGTCGGTCTAGAAGCCCTCCATCAAAAAGAAGGTCTTCAAGATCACCTTTACCTCTCAGAACACGAAGTCGTACTCCAAAACGTAGATCAAGAAGTGGAAGTTTCTCAATTAGCAGGTGAATAAACATTTCTAAAAATACTATTTCGAAAGGCCTGGTCCACGTCACAAAATATCTTGCAGTAAAATACTTCATATTTTTTGCAGATCTAGATCGTATTCACGTAGTCAATCCCCTAGATTATCTCTGTCACGAGATAGGGACAGAGAAAGGGATCGTGATCGTGAACGTGATCGTGATCGCGACCGTGACCGTGATCGGGATCGGGACCGGGATCGCGAACGTGAACGTGAACGTGAACGTGACCGTGAACGCGAACGTGAACGTGAACGTGAACGCGAACGAGAACGCGAACGAGAACGTGAACGTGAACGCGAACGTGAACGTGATCGGGATCGTGACCGTGATCGTGATCGAGACCGTGATCGTGATCGTGATCGCGAAAGAGAATTACTTTCTAGATACCGATCACCGCCTAGGTCACCTCCGAGGTATGTTCGTTTATTTATATTTGCAGTAAACAGGGTATTTATTGTACTTATAATATTTTCAGATTTCAAAGAGAGAGGGATCGTGATAGAGATCGACCTAGATCACGTGAACCTAGAGAAGGATGTAATAGTTATTACAATGATTCACCAGCGCATGATTACCAATTCAGAGATCGAGAACGGGATTTACCCCCTCGAGATAGGCCAGTACCTAGATATCCCGTAAGGAACCAAGCTGCTCAGCATAACATACCACCTTTGCTGCCACATTTAGTCACTGGAAATCATCCACCACCGCTTATGTCGTTGGGACCTCCACCTACGGACAGGAAAGACTATTATGATTCCTACAACAGGTATTTCCGCCTCAATAGTACTTTAATTCATGTACACGCTAAGCAGACAGTCTACCGTACCTTATGCTGCTGTCCTGGTTAAGACTGTTTTCGGAATTATGGTGAATGTAACGGCGAAACGATACATTTTATAACGTTTAATGAAAATGTGTATAGAAATATATGTATATATAGGTGTGTGTACACAAACATATACATATATATACATATTATATACTCATAAAATGCGCACACATGCACATATACATATATGCAGAAATAGTTGTATAAATTGATAGATCAGAATATGTTAGTTTTAATAGAATAGTATTACAATTTTGAATATATCAGGAATAGATGAAATTATTTTATTAATCAGAATTATACATATTTATACAACTATTATAAACTGTTAAATTTTTTGTGGTATAAGAGTGATATGTTAACAATAGTGTGTTGTGAGGTAACTGTGCTGTGAAATATGTAGCTGAAAAAAAAACTCAAGTCATTTACATTTCAATTAAGTATTTAATTATTATGTTCTATCATTACATAGAGCTGCCATTCAAAGACTGTTACAGTAGAATGATTAAAATTAATTTTTAAAAAATCATTAAGAAATTGTTTCTTTATAAATATAGATTATTTATTGAATTTAAAAATTTTAAATCAAAATGCAAAATCCAACTATTTGATTCCAATGTGATAAGGAGAAATACATGTTACTGCTTTTCTTAATATTTAATATTTATCTATAGTGTTGAAACAAGTTAATAGAAGCGTATGTAAAGGGATGTGTGTGTTTTACACATATAGTATGTGTATTTTCAGTTGTATTATTTTACTGTATTTTTATTAAAAAATACTGTATGTGGTACGAAGAGGTTTCATAAAACTAGTCATTTAATTTTTAAAAGTATTTTATTTATTTGAGCAATTTCAAAAGATTTATACGTGATTCAGGTACAGTAATCTTGATTATCCAAAATAAATTTTTATATTTTCGATTAAACATGAACAAACCTACCAAAATTTGCTCGTTTTTCTTGTTTCTGAAAAATGTTGGATAATTAAGATTAAACAAACTTGAAGCAATTTAAATCTTAGTATGTATAAATAATTTGTAGGGATTAATTTATTTCATAACAAGTTGACACTTTTCTAAATTGATGGATGTCTTTACTTTTTCACATTAATGTATTTTGATTAGGTACTATAGTTTGAAAACATTTAATTTCATATACGCAATAATTATTAATCATGGGAATAGGGAAAAGCCAAATACTTAACATGTTACAGACATTAAAGATAATGAAATTTTGATGATATACATTTTGAAATAAGATATGTTTTTTTATGCTTCAGTAATTCGGTATTTTCATGTAAATTGAAAAACATTTAATTGAAAGGATTTTATATGAACAGTATATTTTAATTATAAACGTTGTACAAATTCACTAGTTCCATAAGTGTAATAAATTAAATTGAACACAGTTTATTATCAGAGATCCTTTCTAATTTTTTGTTCTTCAATATCAATTCTGTAATTATTATTAAATTATTCTGCTATAAATATATTAATTTACAGTAGTACAAATTAGAAAATTGATATAATTTATAATGAAATATTGCATTGTCTGTGATAATTTACAAACTACTGAAGAATTAGTGTGATTAGTTACACTTAATTGTGCTCAGCCTATATTTTTTGTAACATCGAATGATTTGAAACGCGTCTATGGATCTGAAGTATCGCTGCTTGAAGTTTTTAAATGTCAATAATATTAATGCATTGTTAAATTTCTGCAATTTACATTTGAAATTCTCAAGTAGCGTATATGTATTATTAAAAATATGGGAATTAAATATGATTTATAAACGAAGCAATAAGTATAATCAGTTTGTGGAAATATTATTTTAAATTACTTAAAAGAAAACTATTATAATTTTTGTTTAATACTTAAAAATTTGAAACAATTTATTAAAATATTAGAAACTTCTTATCAGTATTTCTAAGAACATTGAGTTTGTTCTTTTATGAAAGAACAGATTATAAACTCTATGTACATGTATTTATTAGACGCGTTAAGCATATTGTTTAAAACCATAAAAATCTCATTGTTTTCATAGCAAAAGCTTTTTGCTTCGAAAATTAAAATAGGCTCGTATTACAAAATAGTTTATATACTTAATAATATACATAATGAATTTTATATTTTCTGTAGTAGGATAAGTATTTTTAATATTACATTCCTTTCAATTATCATTATGATAATAATATTTGCAAAGAAGAACTGTATTTTTGTATACGCGGGTTAAGGAAATATTTTTTATAAAAATGACATAAATATTTATGTTGATTTTTTTTTGTTCATTTGTTGTTATCTCTGTATAGTCATTTACATGCATGTAAAATATTGTTTGTATATACATAATGACATATGCAAATAACAAAAAAAAAAGTGAAAGAAGAAGACAGAAGCAAGGAAAAGTGTTAACTGCAAGGACCAACTTGGAGATTGCTGAAGCTACCCAGCTGATTGACAGATCTACATGGTTTCTGAATCAGGTGAATTCAGGGCCAAATCAACATTTGTAACATATAAAAAAGAAAGTATTTCTTTTTTTTCTTTCTATTTTTAATACTTGAAAAGTATTAGAAAATATTTTTCTAAAAAGAGATCACTGTAATGTTATTAACTGAAAGTTAAAATTAAATTGTGCAATACATTTATTAATTTTTTAATGATAATATAAGAATATATTAGAAGTTATGAATGTTGGTTTATTTACTTTTCGTTTTTATGACATCATAGACAGTAACTAAAACGTATTTGGTAATAGGTAATTTCATCTATTCATCTTTTCAGCTTCAGTGTAACTTCTACGTTAAAACTTTAACTTTTCATAGCAGCTTCACAGTAAGAAAAAAAATGGTAAAATCATTTTTTTTTACAAATAACAACATTTAGCTAAAATACAACTGTAATCCTTTGGTCTAGAATTAAACAACTATATATATATATACATATATATAATTAAACAATTATATATTTTGACATGTATCTTTATTGAAAAGATTCATAAATTTATAGATTGTATGTAACCTGGATTTAGACTTATAGGATAAATAATTAAATGTACAACAGTTTTTAGTTCTATTTTAATATTAAATGATCTATAGATTACAACGTTTACAATGTCAGTGACCTATCAACTGTAAAGTTCAGAGACTGAATGTAATAATTAAAAAAAAATATAAACAGTTTTTATGGATTTTTTGTCAACAGGTATTCTGGACCATCGACGCAACGTTTTGCCAGTCCTTTGCGAGATGTGCCTCATAAAAGATTTGATGATGTTGCACCTCCTGGAACAGAGGGTTACTATGATCTTTCACCTCCAGGTGTTGAAGTTTCTGAAAGATCATTACGCGATGATCGTGACCGACGCGTATTAAGAGATCAAGAAGATCGTGAGCATTCTCTTAAAGATAATGATAACGAAGAACGGGATAGATTATCATTAAGGGATGACAGGTAAAGAAATGATGTAAAATTCACAGTAATTAAAAATATTTACTAATATTAATTTCATATAAATTTTCTTTCTTCAGGGGTCGTGAACGGGATGATCGTTTCCGTGAAAGAGATGAAAGAGACCGAAGAGTTTTAAACAGAGATCGTGAAGATCGCGAAAGGCAAGGATTGTCTAGAGATCATGATGACAGAATACGTGATAAAGATGATCGTGATAGAAGGGAGAAAGAGAAAGAGCGAGATGATAGACATACCCGCGACCGTCGAGACGACGATAGACATATTGATAAAAAGGATTATGATAAAGATCGGTAAGTATGTTTATAACATAATATTCTACGCGTATAATGTGCCATTTTATGTGCCTTTTACCAATAACGATTTGAAATTTAAAAAAATTGATTATTTTAGTTACAGAGACGATAGAGATCGTCATAGACAGGACGATAAGAATCGTTCCCGTGAAAAGGATAGACGCGAACGCGATTACGAATCCGAAAAAGATAGAGATCGTCACGAACGTTACGAGCGACGTTCGGTTGAAAAGAAGAAAACCAGAAAGAGTTTAACACCTTATTCACAGAAATCTAGAACCGATGGAAAGGATGTATCTCCAGAACGTATGAAGAAAAAGGAAAAAGATCACGAGGAAAGGAACGAAGAGAAGAAGAAAGAGAAGAAAATCAAAGAAAAGAAGAAGAAGAAAGACGACGAGAAAGAGAAGAAAAAGAAGAAGAAGAAAGAAAAGAAATCTGGTCAGAAAGATGCGATAAAAGACGAACCTATAAAGTCAATTGAACAGGAAGAATTAATAGTAGAAACTAAACAGGAAACTATGTCGCCAACGAAAGCTGACGTTATCAAATCAACCAATGAAGATGAGAATATTGAAAATAGGATAGTCTGTATTCCTCCTGAACCCAGTATGGAGGAATCCATTAAAGAAGAATTTGAGGATAAATCTTTGGCAATGAATCCGGAACCTCCAGAATTCCACGAGCCTAGCCCAGAAAGAATGGATCACACAGAATTTGGAACGAATCCACCCAATCCGAATTTCAAACCAATTCCAGAATTAAAATCAGAGATCAAACCCATTGACAACCTTTACAGTGGATTGGACGATACAGAAATAAATACGGTAATAACAGAAAAATATTCTTTACTATCAGAGAATGAAACAGAAGAGAAAAGTACATTGTTAGGAGATAAATCTCCTAAGAAGGATGAATTCTTAGCTCCTCTGCCAGAGCTATCTAAATGGGAAAGGGATGACACGGTGGAAAAAGGTGATGAAATATGCGACACTTCTATAGAAAAGATCCAAACGGACGAACCTAAAAGTACTAAAGTAGTAACATCAGAGGTGTTAAAACGAGCTGAAAATGCGATATTCCAAAAAGCGATCAACGCCATTAGGCCAATTGAAATAAAGAAGATAAGCGAAAGTAGAAAGGTACTGTATCAAAATCCAGAACCTAAGGTAATTGAAACTGAACCAAATAGAGAACCCAGAAAGAGCGTGAACGTAACGATAAACGTCGGACGAAATGAGAGGAACGTTGAAATAACGGAACCGGTAAAGAAAGCCAAATTGGACAGAACAAAATTCAAACCGGTACCAGAAACTTATTCACCTACGAGACTTTCAGCTAAGGAAAGGCTGGGTGAGAAGGTAGAGGAGAATAAAGAAAGAAAAATTAGTCCTATTAAAAGTTTCTTAGACAGGCGCGAAGGAAAGGGTGAAAATCAATCTAGAAGTAGATCTCCTAGGATTAGAGATAAAAGAATTTCTCCGCTGTTAGACAGACGCGTCGATTCGTCGTTAAATTTACCAGGAAACGAAAGAAAAGTATTTCTGGATGACAGAAAACGAGAGAACAAGGATCGTTCGAAGGACAGAAACGAGTTTAGGAATGAACGACACGACATGAGATCTGACAGGGATCCAAGGGGAGATTTTAGATCAACGCGAAACGATGTTAAAGATAAAGACAGGGATAAGGAGAGGGATAGAGAAAGAAGAGGTAGAACACCGTCTTGTACATTTAAAAGAAATGATATTTCGAAGATAAGTCTTTTAAAAGGTAGAGACGATGATAGTGATAGAAGGAGGGAGAAGAAGTCTAAAGAGGATAAGAAGAGGAAGAAGGACCATCGAAGTAGGAGTAAATCTAAAGAACACAAAAAACGAAAAGAGAAAAAACACAAGAAGGATAAGGAAAAGAATTCAGAAAAGAAACAGAAGCACAAAGAGAATATTGTTCTGAAAGATAAAGTTGAAACCAGTGAAACGAAAATAAATTATGAAAATCCTGAACCTCCTGTCGTTGAATCGATAAAGAAGCAAAGAAAGAATCCAAGGCTGGTATCTGATCGTAAACGTAGCATACTTGATGAAGCTAATTTCGAGCCTGATTATAGTGCTTCAGATTCTGAATCTGACGGCGAAGATGGTAAAGTAATGCCGTTACCAGCTAAGAAGCTTAAACTAGACGAGCCGGACATGGAAAAAGAAATGGACATAAAACCTCTTAAAAAGCGATCAAAATCAACAAGTAGCGAGGATTCGTCTAGTAGTTCGGACAGTTCAAGCACAGATACTGATAGTTCAGACGAGTCACACAAAAAGAAGAAGAAAAAGCACAAGAAGCATAAGAAGAAGAAGTCTATAAAAAAGGACAGTAGTTCTGATACAGATTCATATTCGGACTCCTCAGATACAAGTAGCGACGAGGAGAAACACAAAAAGAAATCAAAAAAGTCGAAGAATAGAAACAAACAAGCTAAGAAGAAGAAAAAGTCCAAACACAAATGACGTCATTAGATGTCTTAAATGTTTTAAAACTGAATTTTGACAGAAACTTTTCTTTGTGAATGCTTTTTAATTGTAAGATCCTCTACCAGAATTATTTCTAATTATCTGCATCGAATTAAGATTGTTATTCGACATCTATAAAACAACATAGCCAGTTTATGCTATATTTACAATATCATAACAGGGTTCAAAGTTGCTTTGAACAGACATTGATTGATTGATTACTTATTACTGATATCTTTTTAGATAAAAAATTTAACAAAATGATAAGTGAAAAGAAGTGATGCGAGTCGTTTAACTGGTAATATTTAATTTTCAAATATTATTAAGGCCTTTAATGATTGTCTATATTCCAGTTCCATCTTTGAAATATTGTAAGTAAATTCGTTACAATAAGTGATGTACATTATAGCAGTCAGTAGATAGTATCGTTAAGAAATACAATACTTTTAGAGAATAACAGCAGTTATATATTTACAATCCCTAATATTTCAATATTGTATTGTACTTTCATAATGTAATGTCAGTATGTAAAAGACGTCATCAAATAAAAAGACCAAATTCTTTTAACTTATCTTTGTTTTATGAAATATTACAAATGCTTTATTGTACAAAATCTTTTTATTACATTAGATTTTCTTTATAAATCCAAATTTTAATGTTTTCGAAAATTTGAATTTGATCATAGAAAGGATTTCAAACTTTTAATATCCACGAGTTTAATTTTTTTATGTAGTTTTAAAATTTTTATATGTTTCCACTATACTACATAATAACGGTACATTTTGGCTGCTTTCGCTTTCTTCTGTTCCTAAGCTTTGCACGAGCAACGATCTGTCGAGTGGTTGTTTTGATAAATTAGATTCTAAAACAGAAATATAATTTTATCAATGTTAGGTTTTTGAATGTATTATGCTATATACAACTAATACCTGAGATAAATACAGTGGAACTATATTTATATCCCATCCAATCCAAATATTCTCTAATAAGTTCATTTATGAATGCAATGTCTTGAGAAGGTTTTGGAAGTTTCATTTTATTTCCTTTGTTCGAATTATCTAATAGTTTTATTACTTCTGTCCGTACTTTAGCTTTTATACGTCCTAATTCTCCATCGGTTTTAAGCGATTCTCTTACCGCTGTATAAAAAGATATTTTAAAAAAGAAAATGATTTTGGTTTTAAAATAACATATACGTTGTAAATGACTTATTTAATAAATACCATTAATTAAATCCTTTTCTGTTGCCATATTTTATCATTAGGAAAAAAAAGCAAATTCAAGAAGTGCTGTTTGAAATGTTTATTATGATAGTGTATCGCATATACGATTTATAGCTTGAAGCGGCTGTGCTTGAAGCTATTTTCAAGTATTAATCGTTTCAAGATGTAATTAGACTATAGTTTGTTGGATATTGTAGAAGATGCTACTGCTTATTCTTCTGAAGTGCCGTCCTTTGATATCGATGAAAAGCAACAAGCATTGGTATAAAATAGAAAAATATAAACCCTTGATTCATTCAAAGATATACTTTTAACGAAATTGTAGAGAATTCTGAAAAATTTTAATTATTTTCAAATGATAAGAGGAATATTAAAAACAGTTTAATATTCTATGACATAACAAATAATTATACTGTGCTAGCATAAGTATGCAAAATTTGCATTGCATATTTTGAATACTTAGTTATTGATAGACACAAGATATGCAACACATTTGTAAAGAATTAAATTTCAAATTTTAAATGTAAAAGTTCATCGGTAATATTTCATATGTCATTGCATATATTAAAATTTATAGTTAATTTTTCTTTAATAATAACGTATAATTTGTTGCAAACGATGGTTTTTATTAGTAAATTTTCAAACGAACCTTAAACTAAGGACCGCCTGGCCTATTTTATCCCCCTTCTGTTTCCTAGTTCTCCACCGTCATCTTTACTCGTCCTTGCTAAAGTAACGTCTTTCTGCTAGTTTGACGTTTATTAGATAAGCAAGTTTGTTTCGTATTACGAATTTACTTTATTTCGATTAATAAATTACTTGACGATATAGTTGATTTTTTCATCTGTATGCCTTGCGTACGATCACATCTTTTCAAATTTTCCATGAGTAAGTAAGTTGTTTATTGATTTCGATACGATACTTTATAACATGCGTCAATATTCGCGATCACTTATTCGTGAATAAAAGACAAATTTTTAACGAATTTATTAAGTTATATCGGTGAAATTGACAAGCTTCTTAAATTTAACTAGTTATAATTAATTTAGGCCTGGTACCTTTGGTTTAATTGAATTTTGAAGGTTCTTGTTTATTAATTAATTAACATTAATTAAATTACTGTTAGTTTTCATTAAGATGTTTTTATAATAAATGAAGAATGTTTGAATGACCATGTTTTATATTTACATTACAGATGTTTCTATAGTCTTCCTGCAGCTATTGGTAATGCAAATACCCTTCCTTCATTCAAAATCTGCAAGATGGTATTCGTCTTCAAGATTTAATTTTAGCTGAGAATAGAAATGTGAAAAATGACACGATATTTGAAAGTGGCAAATAGCATTCGATTTAACATCTTCTATAAATAAGTACGAAATGTGATAATATTTATTTAAATGATGTCAATATGTAATCTAATTCTACTGGCTCTAATCTTATTTTTAACATTACAGAGTACGACGAAATTGATTTAGTTTTGTGGTGATGCGGGGATGTGGATCTGTCTTGATCCTATAGAAAGCCGAGAAGGCTGGCGTGCTTCTATTTTGTTCTTCGTATTTCTTTATTGGACATCTTTTGGTATTAATGGCAGTCTAACAAATGCATCTAACATTCATAATACCGTTACATCAAAAGTGTTATCGCCAGTTTCAACGCATCATGACGACGACGAATGTAGGAATGTGACCACTGACGATAGAGGGGGTACGTATGCATATGATATTACAATATCGAAAAATAATATTTAGTAATTAATTTAATTGTAATCTAATCTAATATTAATAAACTACTCTGCAGCTACTGGTCTCTCAGTGGTTAGTCAAGGATCTGGTTCTCCTCATTCGCCAATAGTGCCTCCACCTTTTCTCTATGGAGTTCTTACCTGCCAACCCTATCAAGGAATTTCTGTGAATCACATATACTTTCAACTAGCCAATGCCTTCTTTCTCTTGTCACATCTCGCACCGAGTGGCATACATGGCGTACTTTATTTAAGGTGCACTCTGCTCGTGGGCTGTGCCTTTCTTGCTTTGTGGGGCTGGACAATAGCTTGTTGGCTAGACGCTGCTCTTTGGAATGCTCTGTTTGTTGCCATCAACTTCGTCCATGTATGCACGCTTCTTTATAAGCTCAGGCCTATCAAGTTTTCAAGGGAAGTTGAAGAGGTAAGTTAGGAGAGGAATTGAAATTGTTTAATCTGATATTATAGGATACTTATTTATTTGTTAGTAAACAAGATGTCTCAAAAAATAAAGAGTAAGCCAAAACGTGCAAATTCTTCATATATGGTAAAGAATATTACAAAGTCTTTTAATTTTTATAGGTATATGTTGCAGTGTTCCAGCCACTGAGAGTGTCACGTCATCAGTTTAAAAAAGTATTAAATTGTATGAAGATTATTCGGCAATTGAAATATCAAGAGGTTTATGCCCAAGAAAAAGTGACCAAAGTTGATTCTTTATCATTAGTACTTTCTGGAAAGTAAGTTAGCACTATAAATAATAATCGATATTTGTTTATCAGGTAGCTTTTCTTTTTCAATTAAAAATTAATTAATGTTTAAACAACAATAATTTAATAATTTTTGTTGCATATACTTCTTCAGGTTAGTAGTATCACAAAATGGAAGAGCATTACATATTGTCTTCCCACATCAGTTCCTGGATTCTCCAGAATGGTTTGGTGTATCAACGGACGAGTACTTTCAGGTTTATATACTTGTAACAATTTTATGCATTCGTTGTATGTGTGTACTTGAATAATATGGGGTGATTTCCTTGCTGATTAACATACATGTAAATCCAAATATAATTGTGAAAATAAATTGATACTTTTTATATACTTAGGTATCAATAACAGCTATGGAAGAATCAAGGATATTATTATGGCATAGAGACAAGTTAAAATTAAGCATAATTAGTGATCAATTTCTGCAGGCAGTGTTTGATCATATTTTGGGAAGAGATGTAGTCAAAAAATTGATGCAAGTATGTTTATATTTATAAATATTCTTGTATTGACTGATCATTTTAAATTTCTTTAATAATGCTGTTCACGATATATGTTATATAAAAATTATTTTCTATTAGGTTAGTGAAACAATGGCTGCTAGCAGTCATCAGCAACAAAATGGACAAGTAATTGGTTTAGGTGGTATTGGCGCCTTAGAAAATGATCCTGATACTAAACTTTTTGTTGTGAAAAAGACGGGCGATAGTCAAGGTATTACTGCTCTCATCAGTCGTCAACTTCAAGGTAAGTACTTTTCAACCAATAGCTTTTTCTTGATAAAATGTGTGAAATTAAAAAAAAACGATAACTTACAATAAAGTATAATAAAGAGTATAATTTAAATGTTAATAAATTATTAGACCGTTTAATTATGTCATTTGTAAATTGTTGACATGTACTTATGTATTAAAACACTTAAAAGATGTGTATAGGATAATATGTATATAGATAATTAACTTATAATATACAAATGTGTGTAAGTTAACTCTGTAATTAATTATTTATATACACATTACCTAAAACTGTAAGAAATTTTTATAATACACTACATTTACGTAGAATAGTGGGGTAAGCACACGCATGTGTGTTGTATATTTACATTGAATACCGTTTTGTATCTTTGTTGATATTTATAAATTTATCATGTATAATGGGAATTTATTATATGCAGTATATTTAATTCTAAAAATGTACAATCTTCTTTATTGTTTATGTGACAAGTATATTTTCAAATTGTTTATATTTTGCATGATTGGTGGCATGTTACTTGCATGAAATTTGATACTAATGATATACATTTGCAAATTTATTATATCATGCAGAACACCCTTTTTATAATTTTGCAAAAATTTTAATTTTGCTTTGGATAGAAGAGAGAATGCCGCTGCTGTACACAACTCAGGAAGTGCTGAACAACACTTTGCATCACATCAATCACTTATGTACACCTACCTTACATCCTGTGCAACACAGCAATGTTCAGTCCTCCTTGTAACATTCCTGTGACACAAATTGTGCAATTACTTTGCACAAATTTATGTTATATTTCTACAATGGATGTCCATAGATTTATACAAATATCATTGGGTAACTTCATTTATTTTCTTCTGGTTATTGTTTCCAGGTGAGTTGTCTTTGCGTTTATGTATTTTTATTTTATATTCTGTTTATTTTACAATTGTAGTTACAATGTTGTATTATTATTATTATCAAACTTATAGTCTTTCTGGAATATCCTGTATTGTAAAGAATCGTGAACATTTTCAGATGAAAAGTCTTTTTAGTACGCAGTAGAAAATTATTAGAGTTTTATAATTCTTTAACTGGTACTTCCCTCTGTGTATGTATTATATTACGTAATACATATTATTATTATTATTGTTATTATAATTCCGATAATAATGTATTTTCTTATTTATATGTAGATATCGTGATTGTATATATACACACAATTTATATATTACAAATATATTACTATTTTAAATACCTTAATTAATGTTATGGAAAATAAATAAAAAAAATGTTTATATTATTTCGTTGCAGCAGCAGGCGATCCAAATGCATGGAGATTGGGAAGAATTGAAGAGACTGATCATGAAACACCTGTTTAATGAAATGATCATTAGACGAATGTCATCCTTAGCAGTCAATATAAAGCGACACCGGTCTTTTTACATAATGTAAAATATTTATCATTTCTGGAAACATAGTATGGTGTGCTGTGTGTGGAACAATTGAACATTCTCTTGCCAATTGATCATTTTTCCCACAACTAGTCAAGCATAATTAATACTGAAAGGAAAGATTTGATTGTTCATAGTTATATAATGGTTCCATCCTAGTTTATAAAACGATGTACAATTATATATTTCTTTATGCTTCCAATATATTATTGAATACCACTAAAACTGGTTTAAAAGTGGCTATTTATAATTCACACTGATTTATTTCTTAACATATGCATATGTTTAATATTGAATGAATACGATTTTATGTATGTATATTGAAATGGAATGGAATAGAATGGAAGTTGTTCATTCACAACGGCGTAACTTCTTTAGTGAGAGATCTGTGATTTATTGGAACTGATAGAGGAAAAGAAATTAGGGAGGCCTAAATACCTGATTGTTTCCCATACTCAGATATAGTGCCTTTTTACTTGCATTTCATTTATTAATTTATCAAGGAAAAACATATACAGTACTATTGTACACTAATTTACATATGTATTCAATATATTTTTAAAAAAGTTCCTGGCGGAAATCCATATATTGCAGTAAATAATATTAAATTTAATATAAATAATACTGTTGAAAAATGAAAATTATAAAAGTGTAATATGATCAATCCTCTGTCATTATGTTTGTAATAATTCATTCACAAATTCAATAATCTATGTTATTTCTAAAATCATTTGATGAAACAAATAATACAGCAAAACAGTTTAGAAAATTTAATGGAACAATTAAGATGTAACAAATATAATGGCGAAGGTATAGTTAGATTTTAGACAATTTCCTTCATAGATGTTATTGTTGATGATTAAAATAATTAAATGTAATGAAGCACTTATAATGTTTACTGTTTCAGTTGGCGATTTCCGCTAGCAACTGGTCATTACATTACAATCAAAACTGTTTTTTAAATAAAATTCATACAGAGAAATGTTGCGTGAGTCATAATATCATAGCACTATTAGGAAAACGGCGTTCAAATTAGAAGTACAGGAAGTTACGCCAGAAAGCGCTGAATGGTAATAAAACCACAACATGAGCTATATTGATAGAATATTTATATTGATATACATTGCTGATAGAAAAATAAAAAAATGCATATAACTTTTAATGTTTAATATCGTAAATTTATCAGAAATTGATACAATAATATTATAATCATAATTATTGGTTTTTTGCTTGAAGAAGAAAACAATGTTAATGTTGAACCTAATTTATTTGTAAGTGATAATTACAATAAAAATCACTTATTCGTGAAAGAGATAACAAAAAATTAATACGCACAGAGGAATATAGAAGAAAACATTCGAATGAAAAGCGAAATTTGAAGTAAAAAATCTCAGGTTTCAATAATTGGATACACTTTTAGGAGGAAAAAAAACAAAGAAAATTCTGGAAGACAATTTTGTCTAGTCTGTAATATAATGTATTAAAAAAATAATACTTTCAAATGTTGCTAATTGAATTCAATGCCCAGTTAAGGTTGTAATACATACTTTAAGAAAACTTTTTATATGTAAAATTATACTCCTAAACATACTTTATTCCAAATATTATAACTAGTTTAAAGGTTGGATAATAATCACTCCATCATGATTGTAAAAATAATTTTCTCTTTATTCTATGAAAAAGAATCAAATTACTTTTTGTATAATGTTAAATTGAAAATGATATTCGTATCTGTGTAAGAGACATTAACTGTTTATTTGAATGGATGTAAATTGTTCATTATTAATCTTTATTGTTTATTATTTCTTATTGTTATAATTATGTGTAACCGTTTTTAGCATATAATTAGGTATACACAGAGGTATCAATGAAAGAAGAAAATTTAAGCCATATTGAATACAATAATGAAAAGTTTAAAGAGAGGAATAAAAAAATTAGTTTTAGAAAAAGATATTTATAAATCAATCCTTTTCTCCTTTTTGTTTAAGTATATTCAATATGTTTCGAACGTATGTATATTTTGTTATATTGACAATTTTTTAAACATTATGTATAAAACATATTTTAGTTTATTACTGATGAAGATAAAAAATTATTGAATTAATTGATAAATTTATATTTTAAAAAACCCGCGAAAAACAATTCTTTTAAATTCGATCTTAGCGCCATCTCTTCGAAAACGGCGCAAACTACTCGACAAATAGTTTCCGCGATTGCCCGACAGGTGGCACTAGCGTCGATGCTTTCGGGGTCCTTGGAACCCCGGGTGGTGAGTCGGTGTACAGAGTCAATTGATGCTCCGGGGTCCTTGGCACCCCAAGAACAATCTTGAAGTCGACTGTAGCGCCATCTATACGTGAACGGCTGAAACTACTCGACAAGTCGTTTCCGCGATTTCCCGATAGGTGGCGGCAGTGTAGATGCATTCGGGGTCCTCGGAACCCCGGCGGTAGGTCAGTATGCAGAGTCAACCAAGGCTCCGGGGTCCCTGACACCCCAAGAACAATCTCGAAGTCGACTATAGCGCCATCTATACGCGAACGGCTGAAACTACTCGACAAGTAGTTTCCGCAATTTCCCGATAGGTGGTGCTAGTGTCGATGCCTCCGGGGTCCTTGGAACCCCGGTGGTAGGTCCGTATGCAGTCAACCGATGCTTCGGGTTCCTTGGCACCCCATATGATATTAAATTTATATGCAAATTTATCAAACAATTCAATAATTTTTTGATCTTTTGCTAATTTTTACTGATTTAAGAAGAAAGAATAGAATCAAAGGAAGCCAAAATCGAGATAAAGATCTTCATCTTTAATTGCATAATTATTCTTTAATCAGGAGGAAAATACATCGTATTAGAACATGTAGCGTACAAAATAAATTAACTTTTCTTTATTCATTTTTTATTACACGTGCGGGAAGCAGCTTCTTTCTGGTTGAAAAAATGACTCAGTTAACATATTGAATTACATACTTGCTCTGATATTATTTAACACTCAACTGATGAGACACGTAAACCTATGTCTTAGTGAAAAATAATTATTGAATACGCGATAGGATTTGCAATTTTTAAAATATAAAATTTTATGTATGCGTTTAATTAAATAGTTAAGAAAATAGTTAATTTTGCTATAGGTCAAATTAACAATGCTTTAGCTCTCATCGATTAAGCGTTAAGAACAGTAAATAATTTTGACAGTTTGTCATCCATCACAGATTCTTCCTATCAACATAACTACATTTTTCAAAGTGACATTTTCCTAGCTAATTTTCTCTTCTTCGATCCCTTCTACCATTTTCTTGTATCGCTTTTTCAGGGTTTGGTACGTTTTATTTTCCCTTGCATTCTTCAAACCTTCAACTTTTTCATTCTCTTGTACTTGTCTCAACATTATGGAAAATTCAAAAGTATACATTGGTCACAGAAATTTTCGCAGGACAGGAACCGTACATTAACGTTCGTTTCGTGTACCATCATTTATGCGAACTTGTATAAAGCATAAAAATTACTGTAACGATTTAAGTGTTAAATATTAGGTTTGTGCAAAAGCTTTATCGTATCGATGTAATGCTCTATCGAAATAAAACTACGGATGTTTATTTATATATAGGTCTTGGAAACATAGATTCAGAAGGCTCATATATGAACGTTAACATTGACCATTTCAATTGATAAATAATATTTTGGATTCAATTGTACGTCAAATCTTTCACACCAACCTAATTAAACGCATGATAATGAACCGAGTAGATAATTTAAATACGTATCTATTATCACAATGAAAGAAGAAATACATTACAAGTCTCCTTGATGTATTAGAATGTTTAACGTTGATAGTGTTATGTACGCGAACGCGTAAAGTACCTTTCAGTTTCCTTTAACATGAAGAATTTGCATGTTTCAACTTGCTACTTACTTTAGGAACACCCTGCCTTACATATACATATCTTAATATATGTATAATTTTTGTCAAGTTCAGTACATTAAGTAATTAAGTACTCTCGATATCGGCTTCTTTACTTTCGTTAAAGAATTATTTTCTAAAACATAAGATGATCAGTTAATTTAACAATATATCTAGAGCTTTGTCTCAAAAATATTTTTAATCCTATTTAAGGAAAAAGATCTATAGTAAAAACAGAAACACCAAATGGAAATAATCGTTGCCCCTCACTTGTCTTATGGCACTTTTCAACTTTTTCACGTTAACACATTTTTTACACGTTTAAAAACGAGAAGAACAATGTACATAATCTATATTTCATTTAAACAAACTTCATTAATAGGGTAAAAATTATTTTTTTTTCGTTAAAAAATCATGATTTTCCAAAAGAAGAAACGAGGTTCATGCGTGCAACGGATAGTCGTTAATTATATTTTGAAAAACCAAAAGTGTACCTAACAAAAAACAAAGAAAAAAAAAAAAAAGAAAGAAATGAACTTTAAGACATAACTTCAATCTTCTTCTTCATCGTTACGTCAAAAATGGAGAATGTTCGTGTCTCCCCGCAATCATTCAACAACTGACATAACGCTATAACAATTGGCAATATCATATAACTTTACATATATCGTTATTTCCGTGTTGCTTCGTGAAACGGCTATCATAAATATTATTCTATCCTCTTTTCATTAATGCAAAAGCACCTCATGCGTGCCCTACACGAACGTGGACCATCAATGCTTACACGTTGTCGTCGTACCCTTACAAGAGTAGTTTACGATAAACGCTTGACTTGTTTGCATGTACATTACTAGACAATGCGTAATACTAGACAATAGCGTAATACATATTCGACTCTAAAAAGTTCAACATCTTTTGCTTAAGTACCATGTGCGTGTGTGGGGGAGATTCGACGCGTAGGCGTCATCATTTTTCTGTGGAATATATTCACGTATAATTATCCTGCTGGTTAACGAATGATATAGTTTGTGCTACCCAAGCTCATAAACCAGGCATACACAGCAAATAGTAAAACGGGCACGGGTACCCGTCAAACAATTTTCTGTTCATGCCAATCATAAACGCTTCCATCGTTTTCCTAAGTAATTCGTAACAATCATTCAGTTTCATTTTCACGTTTAAGTACTGGCCACCTTCTTGACACGTTTCTCATTAACGTTTCAGTCGTTTTTTTCTTTTCTAATTCTTTTCGTGTATCCTTATATCTACGGAATTCATTAATTTAGGTTTTTTGCTTTTTTCATTTTTGCTCTTTTTCGGCGATATGTTATAGGCGGCTGAATAATCTTGGGTGCATGATAATTTTGGTTTATTCGTGCAGGAATGATATTAATCTTGTCTAATCTATACTACTCAATATTAGTTGTATACTTTCTTTTAAGTACATCATAATAGACATTTAAGTGTGAGCCTCTTAGAAGTCGAACTGATTAACCTTAATTAATATAATTAACTTACTAAGTTTAGCTTGAACATTAAGAACGAACAAATATACAGTAAATTATTTAAATTGTAAATTGTACATTACAAATTGTAAACGCATACAAATAAATACATTTAGAAAATTCTTCACGCTAAAAAATAAAATTGATCAGCTCAACTTCTGAGAGGGTCAAGCGGGTTATCAACAACGTCTAGTTTGCTCCGCGAATAAGTGCATTCATATCTAGAACATTGTATATTTGATTAACCGATGAAATTTCGTTCCTAATGATCAACATAGGATCCCAACGATTTTTTTTTTTCTTTCATTCCTATATTTTCATGCTGTGTGCGTAAACTACCTAACATGTCAGGGGATTACACGCGTTTTGTGCACGCTCATTGTTATACATCGTCATCAGTATGTATTAAACATCTCTTTAAGATGGCCTCTCCTTCATTTGAAACGAAGTCTTCTCTTACGAAGATATTACTATGCAACAACAACTATACAATTTATGTATAGTATTTCAATTCAAGGAAGTTTTATCGGTACGTATTCTAATCAAAAGATGTGAGATTTCCTTGCTTGACTTACTCCGTATAAACGCTTGATACTACCCCTCGTTTCACAAAAATTTAACCAAGTAATTTTAGGAACTATATCTAGCGATATACCAAATTTCATGAAAACTTGTTCGATAATTCCCTTACCGATAGAACTCCCTTAACAAATTCCTGCCGCTACAACTGCACCTGAAACGCTTGCGTCGCGTTTGGCATAACGAAGGGATTCGTTGCGTTCGACTGTTGCAGATTTTTCGCGGCAATTTCGGCCCATTCGGCATCGAACGGATCCGACGGGCCGGTCCTGGCGATTGGTCCCATCGCGGCTGATCCCAGAGACAGAGCTCTTGCGTGAAGCGATGGTGCTCGTCGGGGACTCGTTTGTCCTTGCGAAGAAGATTGCACTGATGATGGTACCGAGCTGGTTATACTACCCAGCCATTGCTCTGGTTTTGGCAATGGTGTTGTTGTTGAAACTGGTTGAACCTGAAATAATAAAGTATTATAGAATTTCATAAATATAGATTAGTTTTTAGTATCAATAACAGGATAGAAATCATGATCGTATGCACCACCTCACCGATTAAGGGTTAAGTTTGAAAAAGAAAAAAAAAAAATTTTAAAACCACTTACCGGCGGAGTGGAAATAGTATTCGAAACTGCAATCTGACTAATCTGACTAACATCAGCAGCCACGGTACTAGAAATAGCCGGCAAAATGGGCGTAGTAGTGGGTGCTGATGCTATGGATGCGATCCCAGAATTAACCAGTACTGATGTATTTGCAGGTGACGTGGATGTACTTCCTAGAGAGGATGTCGATACTGAACTAAAGGCGGAATTTGCTAAAGACGGTGTACCGAATACACCAACAGCATTGGCAACTGCTGAAACGTTCATCATGACTGGAGTGGGTGCATTTGTTCTTGGAGGAACGGGACTTTGATTAGTAGCTTTGTTTCTAGTCGGTGTGATACGATTCGAAGACGACGGAGATTCTTGCCAGCTGGAACCTTCGTTTAAATTATTGAGATCATCGTTCTTATCATTATTATTATTGTTGTTATTATGGTTGTTGTTGTTGTTATTGAAACTGGGACCATTTTGTAGTTTTAATTCATCCAGCGAACTACTGATCGTTACTGTAATGGTACGGTAATAATTATTTTTTTAAAATTCTCAATAAATTGTAACGTTTAAATATGTTTTAACATACCAGGCGGAGTGTCACTGGTGGAACCTGTAAAGAGTTGCTTAGCCACTGAGCTTGCGCTACCACGGCTAGGCACTGGACCAAAATCATCGCTACTCGAAAGAAGAGAAAGTCCTCGTGAAAGCTGCTGACACATAGCTGAAACGCTATCTTGACCGCCAGGCGATATTTCCGGTATTGGACTCACTGTAAAAAAATAGGAATCACCATAAAGAAACTTACAGTAATTCGACGATTAATTCGGTGCTTTGAACTGGTGTTGAAAACTACTAACAGTAAGTGCATGCTTTTAACACGTGTTACAGATTTGACAGAGATTGTAGAAGGTATTTAAAAAATCGTCTGAACGATAAAAGAAAAACATTAATGGCTACTCTGATTAAGTTTTTCTTTCATTTGTATTTACTAGGCTTGTCTATTACTAAGAATCTACGGATATTTTAATTACTTTTATATGTATATGTTATTTTTTGTATGTAGTGGTAATGGTGTACTTTCTTTGAGATAGTATACAGGCTGGTACATGTGTCGGTAAAAGATGAAAATGTATTCTAACACAAGTACATTCGAGAAAGACTACAAAACTAATACAGCAAAGAACATTGTTTCTCGTTTTCTGTATCTTCTATTATTTTAATTCCGTCTAACGAGCGTACATGAAATGTAACTGTATATTTAAACACGGAGAAGAAAACGTCATTCAGCACGAAAAGAGAAGGAAAGGAAGGGGGCAAGCAATAAGAACAAGTGACGGAATAGAAAATAATGACCTTCGTCGTCTCCTTCGAACTCTGTTGCAAAAGTAAAGAAAGATATTATTCAGTATTGGGAACTGAAATATTTATGTAAAAGAAGACAGAGTAGAGGATGTGCTTTGTTCAAAAGAATTACTCTACAAGACACAAAATGTACAAACAATTTATCAAAAGTGACTCGTTTGCAACACAAAGTTCATTTTACAATTAATCTCCACTTGTCGATCAAAGGAATATTAAGGTAAACTAAGGTAATATTAAGGTAAACGTTTCCTGGGAAATTCTTAATTAGAATAATTACCTGATGGTTTCGAAGGTACGACTTGAGACATAGTGGATGGCATTCTCGATAAATCTGTTGGCTCGAGGCTGTGGCTACGGGCTCGTTCAAGATTACTAGGAAGATCATTGATCCGTAAACTAAGTTGCCTCTTAAATGGAGAAGCTTGATTCAATTGCGTGAAACCACGGAAGGAACCTTGTCGTTCGAGCATCGACAAGGTGGCGTGTGGTCTCTCGATCGCAAATGGGTTGTAAACTTGTTTCACCGGAGGTACATCTGCGGAAAAACATCTTGCACATTTTAGACAATGATCAAAAGTTCAAGAATAATATAAAGGAGAGACGATATCGAAGAAATAACTGACCTACAGCACGTTCACGCGAATCCTGCAATCGTTCGGTAAGACTTGGCTGTCTAAAGCTGCCGCTCCTCGTGAACGTTGAAGTTTTTGAATCAAACGTCATTGTGACACCGCATTCCTTGTCCCTCCGCTGTTTTCTCTCCAAACACGCGGCGAAAGCACAGCCTACCGCGTGACTCAAACGTTCTCCCTGAAAGAAGAAAATAAATCAATAACCTTTCATACCTTATATACGATAGAAATAGAAAGATTGTAATTAACCCTGATTACCCAGGTTAACAACTTATGGGATTTACGTTTACCGATTCTTTTAACGCCAAAAACCCATGACACATCCATCGCCTAGTCGTTCCGTCTCTACAAATATAACTAAATCCCTTTTCATGATTTCGATCCGGCGCGCAAAATGAAACCTTTTCTATCGTTTGATCAACAATTAATCCCTTTGTTTCGTCTTCAACAACCCTCAAACCGTCGCCTGATACGTGTAGCACGGCTCGTACTGGCCGACGTCTTGAATTCTATAAAGAATTTTCATTCATTTTTCAGGTATTCATAATTAAGTTTCATCGTTACTTACCCTAAGTACTTTTAAAGCTTCTTCGCATACTTGCATGCCCCTTGACTCGAACACTTCTACACATCCCAGGTACTGTACAATTGAAAGTGAAATATTAATCGACATCCCTGATAATAAATACGTACAAGGAATCGGACAATTGCCCTGTTGAATATTAAAATAGTTATGTTAATTGCAGGATTCATACCTTAACATGGAAAGCGCATGTAGCTGAACGAACAGCAGTTTCATCCGCCTGCCATTGATGGGGTTTGCTGGATTCCGGTACATGAGGATCTTTCCGTCGTCGGAAGCTATCTCGGAAGCTTCGTCGCAGCCGATCCATTCTTTTCCCCGGTGACCTCTCACGCTGAAAATCAAGAAAAGAGTAATTTATTATCTTCGTTACAATTTAAACAGACTCTCTGATCCCACGAAGCACACCGTTTTAAGATAAACCACATGGGACCAGGGTGAACCACCAGCAGAACGTGGACTGTCCCCTCGCGATTTTAAGATCCTTACGATGGTACCCACAGGTAGTTTTACGAGTGGTAATTCCTACCTTGCTAACTATACTTTATACTTTTCAGGTATTCCCAACTTACCGAATGGAGTTTTAATAAAGGAGTCAAGGTAATAGGAGGAACTGGCAATGGTAGCGTTAGATACTTTCAAATGGCACCTGGTTCGGACAGGGGACCCTGAAGAGAATTTTGAAATTTGCCAATTTACCTGAAATCTATCTTTAGATTTTTGCCAAGAAAAAGAAGAACGTACGGAGAGTATGAGATGTACATTGAAGGGAAAAGTTATACTGGAGAAAAAGAGGAGAATACAAGAGAGCCACTGAGCCGTGCAGAAGAGGAGGACGAGGCAGACATTCGAGGACGAATGTTAGAACAAAAGGATGGTTTCAAGGAAAATTGGAACGGGGACTTTTTCCATATTTCAAGACATTGCCGTAATTATGTAAGTTAAGGGTCAGGGTGGGTCTGTCCGTCCATCCTTCTAAATATGAACTAGCACCCTCGCTATTTTAAAATTCTAGAGTTAGTATTATTTGGCTATTAGCGATCGTGAAGAAAAAGATTGAGAAACACTGGTCTAATGAAATAATTACCATTAGAATGCCACATCTTTTCCGATGGCAATTTTCCTATTCGTGGTATTTCATGCAACAGTTTCGCATGTTGGTTTGGTCTTACACTAATCATCAGGTACGACCTTGAAGAGTGAAAGAAAATATGACGGTAAAGAATCCATGTGTTGTTATTTACGCATGCAGAGACAACTCGTGCGTATCGAAACATAAAGAGATAGATCCGGTATCGCAATTTTCACCAAGGGAACAGCGGGTAGATACTACTCTCAACATGATAAATAAATAATCGTGTATAACTTTGAATGCTAAGCCGAGTAAAGCTATAACTTGTCCGCGGTGAAATGGTTAAATATTTAGAAAGCACTTTGGGGGATTTTATTGTCTAGCCGCGCCTGTGGATGATAACACGGTATGCATCGATGCCACGGTAAAGAAGGGTACAAGGTGCATGGTGTCAAAAAACACCGTCAGTACCGACCATTGGTCGAAATATAAATTTATATAAATGCTAGTATTTTTACCAACAAAAATATAAATTTATAATTTCGAAAGTAATCTGCTAATGAGCGTTTCGTGTATCACAATTGCCCGACTTTTAAAGTATACTACTTTTATAGGTCAAGCCTCTGTTAAAGTAGAGTTGCATTCATTGCAACAATAAATCACATTTGTACACGCGTGATCCATCATAATCATATCAAACTCGCTTTATTAAGTTCGTCCCATACATTCCACTTGAGAATGAACTCTGCTGGCTTCAATTCAGCATACCTTGCACTTAACTCAACTTTCATCCGTGATCATTTATCAACGGAACGCGACGAGAGTACCTACGTACATTTCATTTTTAATTCAGTTTTCAAACAATTTTAACTTAATCAATGTTAGGATGTCCATAGATTTTGGGGAAAATTAGGAACTTCAAATTTCTAACCCCTTAAGTTAGGCAACCCGCCTTACACCGGTGTATCACCGGCCCGCCGCCGGACCTGTCACAGGGGCTATTCCATATCTATACATGTGTCATGGCTATGATTCAGTTTTATTAAAAATCGATTCCATGTCATTGCTAAGGAGGCGTGTAATGAATGGTATTTTTTTATCGAACGTAAAAATCGTAAGTCTCTAACAGAAAATTGTAAATCTTTTGAAAAAAAAAATATGTATCACGTCAGTAGTTACGAATACGTTAATTAGGGTCACGGAACAATTAAATGCGTAGACATTTAAATTTATTCATTTACCCTGTAATGTCACGCTCGAGGTTTAAAGCAAACACAGATATTTACTCGTAATTACACTTGTACACGATAAAATATCAGTCGTTTACGTCAAAAACGAGTAGGTAAGAAAAAAAACCTAAAAAATGGATTTTTAATAGTTATTCCTGGAACTGTTCCAATTTCTCTACAGGTGTCCCTCTTCTTGGAGGACCCTTTTATTATTCCTTTCCTATTTGTGATCCTTATCAGCCCAGGTGATAGTAGCAAAACCAGTTATACACTTAATTGTGTAATATCCGTCTAGTGCAAGCACTTATGTGAAGACACATGACTTTGCACAGTAAATACAGTAAATACAGTAAAATCTGTTTATAGGCTGGTTGAATATCTTCTTTATGCACTACCGCTTAAGGGTACAGTACGTTTCAAAAATATACCAACCAATGTTTGAATGCTTTATCCTTTCAGTCGGCGGCGCAACCGGGTGCAGGGGGGTCAGAAGGGTCAGTTACCCCTAAATCTCGATTTGATTTATATAGAGTAAATTAACATTTATGAAGAAAAGAATATTACTGAAATTCAAGAATATAGATGTTCAGGAAAAACGTATGACTCATACATACATGCATAACAGCTAGAATTTATTAGGTATCAATTTTTTATGCAATCATGAAATTAGTAATAACAGTTTCTTACAAGATTTCTTGAATTGTTTTAAATTAAACGAGTTATCTCCAGGCTGCGTTCAATCAAAATCGATAAATACGAACAAAGAAGTAGCGAGGTGTATTCTCCCAGGTAGAATCATCACCTTTCCTCCTGTACCTCAAGTCACGTGACCCCCCTCGTACATTCTACAGATTCCTACCACATTTTATCCTTATTCCGTTACACGATAGAAAGGAAATTTTTCAACTGATTTTCTCATTTACAAACGTGCTCCTAAGATTCGTAACGCGATTGATTAATTAAAACCTCGATAATCGAGGGTCAAGCCTTGAAAGGCCGATTGCTTCAACTAACGCTCCATTTAACGGTACTGCATCGAGAAACAAGCCTCGACACGTGGGCATCTGTTAACGAGAGTTATCGTTGATGTAAAACAAGATTGCAACGTACCGAGAGTCGAATACCATTTCCAGCATGGCTGGTAGCTCTTTCGAGCGGTTGGTGGGCGGATGGATGGTTTCCCATTTCTTTCCACACGCGGATGTTTTCAGAACGCGCTATAGCGGCCGCATCAACAATTCAAACACCCCTGGGTCCTTCCCTTGATCCTTATTTCCTTTGGTACACCATGCGCAGTGACACTACCACCGAACGTTCCTCCACTTTTCGGACACTTTAAACGATAATCCTTCGAAACAACACTATTTTATTTTATGCACCCTCGATACACTTGGGCCCAACATTATATCGTGTTATTCCATTAAGGACACTTTCACGGGTACAACGACTCTGTATAGCATTGGTCATTCGTTTGAAAGGTTTTTTAAATCTCCTTTATTCGAGAATTGTATACACAACGATCGAAAACGACACTGAGAACGCGAATAACTGTGAGAACTTCCTGATCGACCACTGTGTTGTATCATCTCCGACAGACTGAGTTTCATCGTGAGCTTCCAATACACTGAACAACTTGTCGCTTCCTCTATTTTCCACTGTTTCCTAATAGATTCTGTCTAATCGACAATCAAATCAGAGCCGTAAAGTTTCAAACAATCTCGATTTTCTCACGGGCAGTGAATGTTTTAAATAGGCATGGCAGCGCGACGTTGCCAGAAGCCGGCCGGTAAAAATGTACACCTATCGGGACGGATCGACGAACGGGTAAAGAGACCTCTTCTTTTTCTTTCTTTCTTTCTTTCTTTCTTGTCAGAAGCAAACAGTTCAAACTGGTCGTACGACTTGGCCCTAGAGGTTGACGTCATGGACCCTACCTAGAGTGGGATTCCAACTATCCTCTCTTAGTTGTCTCTGTTCTAGCTCACCTTACAAAACAGTAGTGGGGATCTCTTGTATCCTGTTACCCGCTTCTAGGCATCTTCGCCACGCGAAATCCTCGGCTTTTGCTTCTTAATCATCGTCGCTTGGTAATCTCTCTCTGTGCCTAGTTATTTTTAATCGATGACGATTCCAGTCTCTGATTTACCTGGAACTTGACGTTCCTTTTCTAACGTTTCGTATTAGTCTCTTTTCACCTGGCTGGAAATGCTGTCGAGACTTCGTAAGGAAAACATTGACTCTTTTGTTCAATTTCTTTTACGTATGTACACTTTTGGTTTCTTTTTACGAAGATATTTACAAATTGTATTAAAATAGTGAAAATCCCTTTCTTTCATTTATACTCCTTTTTTCTTTAACATTTAAACAATACGCAAATGGTTCGTCAGATTGTCGAAACAATATCTTTCATTTTATTTACAGATTATTAACATTGTTAGTTACAGTGTTAAGTAGAAAATGAAAATGTTTATTCGTTGATGGATATTTAAATTATATTATGTTGTTAACGAAATGACGAAACAGCCACAGTACGAATTCCCACGTTTTTCCGTTAGGACTATTGTCGTCACGCTCAGTCACTTCCGGCGATTTCACCGGAACTAAAAGCTTACGTTTGATTTTTCGCGTCGGTGCAGAATCCATAAACGATGATACGCGAAATTGATTTTCTTCGTAAAATATTACCAATCAATTGAACATTTTTCAAAATTAAAACGTAAAAATATTTTACTGTTCAACTTTGCGATCAATGTTCTATTTAGAAAGTTGATAGATTTTAAATAATTTGATAAAATTATCAACAAAGATTGAATAAATATATGACCGCACAGAAGTATTTGACAATGTTTAAATAAAATTGCTGTTTTTTCTTCGACAAGCTTCCGCGCCATCTGGTGAAGGTATTAATTCGTATACCGAACGAAACTTTCGATAGCTAATGCGTGTAGCAGGAATTATACTGTTCACTGTTTATCGTCGAAGGAAAGTTGTTGAGAACACTGCACATTGTCAATCACATTTGGCATCACTTCAATGCGGCCATAAGACGGAGTAAATGTATTCACTTTCACTTTGAACAGAAAAGAGTCCGACGAGGCTTCGTCTTCCAATAATGTGGCAAAGTAACGTACAACAACCCCCCCCTGTAACACTCGGAAAGCGAATGCCATGGTTGAAACTGGCCCAGGTCTCTTTACCCCAGGTCCTACGGTGTGGCAGGGATGCACCTTCTTTCATTGGTGCCCTGTCCCCACTTTAATATTTTACTGATGTCATCTTCTATGCATCAGTAATTGATTAGTACATATCTTGTACCGATTTGTGCATTACTTCTGGTATTGTGCAGGGGCTTGAAAGCTTACTCCAGTCAACTTTAAGGGGCATGCATTGTAACAGTTACAAATAATTACCATCATTAAGTCTTCGCTTATTTAAAAATTATAATAAATCTGAACTCCAGATGATCATCGTGAAAATGATTAAAGAACGTTTCATGTATTTTTCCAATAATTCCTATCGTCTTTGCTTTCCATCCATTCAAGTATGAAATCAATCCCCTCTTTTACATGGGACCCGTGGATGTTACAATCAATCCCATGTGCCTTATTTCCTATTGTAAAACAAACTTGCTTTGCTATGCTTGTTTTCATCTCCTCTGAACATCTCGCTGTCCAACAAAGCCGAGTTTTAACGCGAAAAACCGGTTTCTCGCTTGCATTTATGCAACCCAAAAAGCAAGCTCGATCAACATCGAGGAAACTCTAACGAAATAATACGATGGAATTATTTTAGCATCTATCGAATTGTACGTTTGGGAAAGATTTCGATGGTTCGAAGTTTCAGGTAAGGTTAGATCGGGGTTGGTGCTAGAAGTTTACGGCGGTGAGTGCAGCTGCTGCTGCGAATGATCGTACATCTGCTAAGACAGGACTAAAAGAGAGGTTCACTGTGAAACCAAGTGGTCTTTTCCTACATCTTTTTTTTTTTAATTATTAAATAATCTATTTCATAGTTATATCCAAATGTTTAGCAACAGAAAGTTAATTTTCAATAAACAAATTTTTCATGAGACCACACATCAAACAACCGCACTTTTTTATCAAATGAAATGCTTTTATATTTAGAGGAGGTATCCCTCTTATAGCGAGAAGAAATGTACGTGGTTGTAACTGAATGGGGTACCGCCACATTCCGGAAGAGATGTGTCAGCTTTTTTAAATAGCCGTTTAAAATTCCTATCGGTGTGTATACATATCCAATATCCGAATGTAAATACAATATTTTTATTGACAAAAATTGATTCGCAATAAGAAATTTGATAAGAATTCCTGAGAACTATAGTCGCCTATAGTAGAGAAAGGGTTAAGCCTTAAATGGTCTAGTCGACTTGAATGAAGGTACTATGTCCTGATGGTTTAGGTGATTCTTTTTTTCTCCTACCATATGCACGTATAACATGGGTGCATCTTCGGATGCAGCTTTTATTTTATAGCGAATGAGGTAACATCTTCAATGTTCCTTTTCTGTTAGGATTTTCTTCTATGGCAGGTCAGGTCCTTTAACTTGATTAACAGTGCCAAGTGTTTAATATCTTGCCAAGTTGTTTGCTTGATTAATAATCAAACAGCTATAAATCAATATCTGTGCTGGATTTGTTTTTGATTTTTTTTTGTATATTTTCTGATACACCATATGGTCTCAGATAAAAACCACATGTCAGTACATTCCCATGAACTTCAAACCGGCAGGTAGCTTCGTATAAAGGTACCTGTACTATAATACAAATGTAAATGTACATGTAAATGTAGTGAGAGTTACATAATTCTTTTTACTATTCTTCAATTTGGTAATCGATCCAATAAGTAGCAAGCTGTTTTCTTGGGAAATACTAGGAACAGTCTGAAAATAGTGCTTCCGTGTTTTTTTTAAAGTTCAAGGGAGCCTTTTACGTGATGTACGAAGCACTGCTGCTACGTTCACTTTGAGGGTGAAGACGATGCACCCCTATATTTTTTTAAAATAGAACGCTATTTTTTATCGAATATTTATTATACAAATTTTTATCGAAATCTCGTAGCGAAAGTCGTAAGGATTAGGGCAACTAACGCCGCACTCGAGAATCCTTCGGGTCAATACTTGGCCAGAAGAATCGTTGATTCATTACAAAGGAGTGTATAAGCTACTTGGATGTCTACGTGCCCTATAAAAATGCACATGGTGCCTTATATCGGGCGAGACGGTTCCCACGATACTCCGTGCGTCACCTTTCTATGAGAACATTTCGCTAGGGTGAAATATACGTGTCTGTACATACACGCTTACGGGATACCTACCCCCTCCGTTGACAGAGTTAATCGTAACGAAAAACGTTGGAATTCTTGCACTGGACGTGTTATAAAATAATTATTATTTTATGGATGATAATTTTGAATTTTCTCAATTTTCATTTTGTTACCGCAACCCCTTCAATTATGTTATTTTTTGACATAATAAATCCGGGACAGCGCGAACGCTGGTCCCGACTACCAAAAATTGTGCGCTCGACATACCCACATTAGGAGTATTCGCAAGGTTCAGCCCCACCGCAGTGCAATGGAAGGGCCTCGCCCAGAAGGAACCGCCTTCCTGATCACGGTGTCCTCCGCGCCAAGTAAGTTATAACAAAATATCAATACCGATTAATTATATTACATGCACTATTCTTTTTCCTCGCGAGAATTTTCCTCAAAACGAATGTCATCTGGTGGTCAACAGTCAATTGTGATTGAAATCAATAGGCGCTTTCTAATCTCTGTTCAATATATCCGTTGATCTTTTGTCTAAAGTTGATTGGTTGTATATCTAGTGTTTTATAACGTTGAAAATATGCCTGAATAATAAAAGAAGAACAGCCGAATCGATTGTACTCTATACTTCTTTTTAAATTAGAAAGAACGTGATAATCAATTTTAGGTACATAATGTATATAACTTTAGTGGAAAGAAATCAATTGTCATTTTTCAACCCCTAATTAGTGATGCGTTATTTTCGTTAACTAAATTAATTCTGAATATCAGAATCTTCAAAATTAGAATCTCCTTCCCCTACATTGCTATTTTTTCTAGACTTTAGGACCTAGAGAAGTTTACTATGCTCGGTACTATACCATCGTATGACAAGGAGAATGAGTCAAAGACAAGTCTGTCATCATGAATGATGATGTTAACGCAGAGTAGATATTTGAAATTTTGTTATGAAAGTAACTAGTCGTTCTTTTGGGTAGAAAAATTTGACAACTAATCTTTCAAATGTCGCGCGTAAAAAAGCTGCGCCGGAAAATACTTATGTGCGTCTGCGCATGCGCACCAGTTGGAGGGAACATTGGTCGTAGGTAATGTGTCCTCGCGTTATTTTTTTTAATTTTAGAATGATGAAGGGACCAATATACAATAATTAATCAACATTTAACGAATCAATATTTACAGACATACTAAGGTGTACAAAGACAAATAAATTCTTGACACCAAGTTCCAGTATGCCTACTTCTAAAAGTGACGCTTGTTTATTGGAAAACAGCTTCTATTTAACTGTCAGTCTCCACAGTCCGTGTAATTAATTCGTATTACAAGAGCGTTACCTTTTACTCGCGGGTTGCGATATACAGTGTTACGCTCGAATCTCAGATAACCATTTATGAACGCGAGAGGAAAATGAAAGAAATCTTTTTTTCTTTTCTTCTGCACAATGACAATGTGCGCAATCGATGTTTAGCGCGATATTGATCGTTCAAAGAAGTTGATCCCGCAAGAATAAACGTGCGCGAGAAGGACGAGCGAGTAAAGCCGTGGTCGAGAAAGGTCGCATTTACATCGAAATCGATAACTTGAGAAGCAACCGCAGGAGGGGGCTATGTCTATGATCGCAACGATATATTATGATCATTACAATACCTGTTTTAGTTGACTCACACAGTGACAGGTACACATTGTTAACGACACCAGTTTTTTAAATAAATACCCATTGACAATTAGAATTATTCGACTCACCTGTCGAACCGCCGGTGGAGCTCCGTGGCCGACGATTACAAAACTCCCGCGGCACTTCTACAGCGACGAGATCTTCAAGTGTCAAATCTTCGCGTAAACTGGCGTTCGAAAAGGAGGACAGAAAAGAGGAATCAACGGTGGTGAGTGGAAGAATAGAGAGCGGTGAAAGAGCAAGCGAGAGAATGATAGTGGGATGAGATGGGGTGGGGGAAGGACGAGACCGTGAGGGAAAGAGAGGAACAGAGGGAGTGACAGGAGCCGCGAGAAAGATAATAATGCCGCAATCAGCGAAACCAGTAATGTGAAAATCCGCGAGCGACAGTTAACGCTGTTTCCTCGTGCCGCAGCTAGCTCGTAAAGAGCACACGGCGCACAGGTTTCTCTTTCACAGCGGCATTTTCACCGTGGTAGCCGAAACCGGACAGCGAGATCCGCAACGCAGCGAAAAACCCCCAGCCGGGGCCCGTTTTCGTAAACACTTGACTCCAACTATCCGCGTATCGGGAGCGACCGTAGCTTAAAACGCATGCGCATTATTACGGTAACGCGCACGCGTCACCGTTCACTACTGCTTCTCTTATCAGTATACTGTTCTATTACCGCTGGAAACGTCGGAAACCTGTATGGTGACACCCTCCATTTCCGTCCCCTCCCCGATATTCTTCGATCACGACATAGGATTTTTTTCGAAAGAGGAACACGCGTGCATGATAAGAAAATTTTGCAAACATTTTTTAAATCATTTATTTTTTTCTCTTTAAAGATATCTTCGTATGGATACGTTCAGGTATACAAATACATTATCCATAACACGATAGTTTTTATTGGTTATGAATATGTAAAAAGAGAATTCATAAATTATTAATTTTTTCATAGAAGGGATTATAGATTATAATTACACTCTGGATAAATTAATCGCATTGTTCGAAGAACTGCATTGTTCGTGTTATGCATTGATAACATATCATGGTAACTGCATTATGAAAAGATTTGTGAAATTTCTTAACGATTTTATTAATAACATATTGAATTTTAGTTATAATATTTTCATAAATCTGTAATTCATTTTTGAACATTCTTTTTAGCTTTTGCAAAATCAAATATACGCGATAAGTATCATTTCCCCAATGTCCGCAGGTGTTATTCCCATCTACGATGGATCTGGGATAAGAATTTGCGGTGTTCGGCCTTCCAGCATATCGTGGAGTAGAATACCAATTTCCTTAAAACAATTTTTTCATTATTAGAAAGAGAAAGTTGTACATTAATAACACATCGAAAGTATTTCAACAGGGACTGAAAATAACTTAATCGATAAAACATTCGCAAAGTGAACGAGAGTTCTGTATTTTTCTACGACGTACAAGGTGCCTCTGAAAAAATGACCTTCAAAAATGTTCCATCAACGTCTGCATATCAAACACAATTTTGATATTCATTATTTCGATAGGTCATTAACACTTATGTCATCGCCGATGAAAGAAGTAGATAACACAGCACTCGGCGAGCTCGAAGTTTCGAACCTCCGCTTCCAGAAACCTAGGGGGATGATTTAGCGAAAAAGGAATCCCCGAGGGGGGATGATTTCAAAACTACCTTCGAGGACTGGAGAAAATCGAGCGTCGGATTTTTGATCGCGATGTAACAATGTCGTGAATTAAATCATTCGGAAGGGGCGCCGATTAATCTCGGGACGTCCAGAACCGTGTACCGCTAATTAAACCAGCATCGTATCATTTTACGACGATAACGACACCCGTTCGTTACGTTTATGAAAGTGTTAAGAAAATCATCTTTTGTTTCAGGGACACCCTGTATAAGTAAAGCAATGTAATAGCGTACCTCTTCTCTCTGAGCTCGTAATCTATCAATGATTGGCTCGTTAAAATTAGAGTCGTTACTAGGATCTTTTAAGATATCGTTATTCTTCGACTGCTGCGGGATACGAGCAATGTAAACGTGTTTGATGGCGTCCAATATAGCTGCAGGACGCGTTGGAGGAAATTGTAAATCGATTGACGAGAAACAATCCGTACCGGTTGGTATTGCTAACGGTTTCTCGAAATCTGTGCACCTGCTATTACTGATTTGTAATTGTTCGAAAGGAACGCACGTGTTAATATCACAATATTATTATCGATAGCAAGATATCTAAGACGGAAACTCACGAAAGTTGGGTGTCAAATCCATGATGAGATAATACGTCTTTAGTTTGTCGTACGAGGGTCTTATCTTTAGAAGAATGATAATAGAGACCTGCTCCTAAAGTATGAGCTATAGCTCTCAACGTTTTCCCGATTAATTCTTTGGTACCCGTGTCTAAACCCTTTTGAAAATTACCAAACGTTTGTCATTTGTAACATCATTTTTTAGCGAAAAAATAGAGCATGTCGATACCTTAAACTGATCGTATTTTCCTCCGATAATGCATAACTTCAATGGAAATGGATCAACTTCTTTTTCCAATGCTTTTTTCCGTTCATTAATTCGTCGTTGTTTAAGTTCCTGAATCGTTTTATCATCGTAACTCATTTTCATAGCGCTATGAATTACTGAGAAAATTTCTTCGAATGTGATCCACAAAGATTCTGGTTGCGACAAGTCCAACATTATTAATAACGTGGTATGAGCAGGAGAATGAGTCAAAGACAAGCCAGTCATTGCAGCTGATACTAACGAAGAAGTCGAGTATCCTATTTCCCAAATGTGAACGATATTTTTCATCTGCACCGATGAGAAAAGGTTGAGAGTTGAACATTTTTCTTAATAATCATAACAGATGCGGGTACTTATTTGTGTAAGCAAATTTACTTTCATATTTTTAATATAATTTCTTTACAGTTTGTTAGGTATTTTTTTAGATAAAAATAACAATTGCTAACAGTTGTTTGGCTTTGACATTTCCGGAACTATATTTTCATCATAAATTGATTATCTTCCTGTTATTAATATATCAAGGTAACTAATTAGACTGTACACCCCAGTGAACAATAGAAATATATACAATTTACTACCGACAATTAAAACGTGTTAATCCATCATTATAGTTTCTTCACTTGGAGTAACTTGTTTTATTCAATTTGTAGTTTACAACGAAATTGTTATAAAAACTTACTAAACTCTTTCCGATTTTACGACCGTAGGAGTAATCAATCGCGATAGTTGGCTTTGGTGTCTCGTCCTTTTCAAGAAACCGATGTACGATCGTCGTTTTACCCTAAGAATTCATATTTCTTTTTTCGTATACACAAGGCATATAAGTGTTTGAAAACATTATTTAGTATTTTTTACTTATAACATTACGTACAACATTCTTGCTACCAACAATGATGATTGAACGTTCGTGTGATTCGTTTCCGTCGGTTTTACGTCGTTGTTCTTCTTCAAAACAAAGGGATAATGCGGTGTTCCTAATATTTTCATCTCTAGAACATAATCATATAATATTTTGATATTTCCATCGGTTCAGCTACAACATAATTACTGCATTTCACAGTTACAGTTAACAATTGAAATGAAAAAAAAAAAAGTAACGTGTAGATCAATGTGCAACTGTACATACATATAATGCAAGGTATTAAAAGTGTTTTAACAAATGAATTTCAAATTCAATAAAGAAATTTTGATAATAAGGAGTTTTTAGAAATTAGAATTCCTAACAATAAATGTAGATAAATACGTACAAATTTTGATCTGCCATTGAGTTCAATGTTATTAAACGTGATTAAATGTTATAATTGATACACAATAACACTTTCCTGGGTGTGCACAGGTTATGAGAATGTTTATACACTGGGTGCCATGGCAACACGAAAAGGTTTACTTATAAAATTGTTGCAGATTTGTGTTCAATAATAAATCATTTTTACTGTTAATAATCTATTAATGAAAATAAATTAATGAAAACAGTACATATTATATAAAAATGTTCAGGTGGTTATTGCCAGAATTAATCTGGCAGTACATTTGCAATGATTCTTTATTCTTTCCCCAAAAATTCTAATTTTAAAAAGATTGAATCTTTCACGAAAAAGAAGAAATAAATAAATAAGTTGATAATGAAAAGTTGGTCCTTCTATTATACAATTTCTGCGCATCACGCAAAATTATATTAATTTGAGATATATTACAAGTGCTAAAATATCTAATATAAAAAATGCTTTTTCTGAATTCCTTAATATGTATAAACTCAGCTTATGTTTCATAAAACCTTACAAGTAAAATAATTGCAAATATTTATATGAATAGTACCATTACACACCATATGTTTTAAAAATTCAACAAAATTATTGAGATATGAATTTATATAAGGGAAGACGACAGTAAAGATTAGTCACCTTTTTCTACAATATTTCATCGCTTCTATTATGCAATATATCACACGCTCTGCATGTTATCTGGTCCATATGTCACTCATCCAATTATCATCCAACTCGTTAGTCGGTAACACTTTCAATTTTCGTAATGCTTCAAGATAAAATGTAAGTTCAGATGTAACAACACCGTGTTGTGGCCCGCCATTATTTACTATATTCATTTTGACTAATTGCTCTCTAAGTTTTTCTTTGAAAGATGTGTTTACTGTACGATACAGAGTTTGTACTTCAACGGGTGGGAGAATTCCAGAAACTGCTTCGTGAAGTTTTATTAAATAACTGTGATAAATAATCAATATTTATTATTAATTCAGATTAATGTTCATGGTCGTATAACGTGAACGAATGAAACGATATTTACCTAGAAATCTTTCTAAACGATTTCGATGGTACCGGTGGCCTAGCTGTCCATTTTGATATTTGACCACCCAATAGATTGTCAACGATAGTAAGAATCTTACTCTCAATTTCCTTTATGTGAGCATGAATATCTCTTTCGACGCTATCCAACAAAGCAACACCACCACTTATACTAGATGCACCATATCCGCGACTAGGATTTTGCTCCGCAAGATCTATTTACACAGATCGATAAATTAATATCTTGCTAGTCATCTTAATGCTGTATACGTAAAATTGAACTTACTCTGAAAATGCGACTTTACGAAAGGCATAAACCACAGAATCAATTTTAAACTACGCGCTGCTAACACAAGTATCGTACTAGTAATGCTCTTTAAACCAGCAACTTGCATTGCTTCTGCCCCGAGAACAAGTTGACAACAACGAGAATTATAATGCCGTAATAATTCGGCTAAATGCCTTCCGATTGTTCCGGACAAAGCAATCAATTCACTGCCAGTTCTAAACATATAAATATAATTTAGTACATCATGAAAGATATAGAATTTAGTTACAATATTTAAACGTTACCTGCAATATTCCTGAATCATTTGAATAAGCATTAAAGCTGTACCTACAACAGCATATTTCTCGTCCCCTACTACAATGAAGGTTTGAATACCACCTTTTTTCACTCTGTCCTCTACTTTCAATAAAGTTAGCGGAAAACATTTATTTTCGTACACGTATGTTACCAACGATTGAAATTCTTCTGGCACATCAGCTCGTTTCCATCTTTCGGATTCCAATAAAAGAGTGAGCTTTGTTTTAAGTTCGATGTGAAATCTTTGAATAAACTTACTAGCTTGAGCCTGTAACATAGAAAATTTAGGTGAAAGAACCCCAGGTTCACTCTAATAGTAGACAAATACATGATTCATAAATTAAAATGTACCTTAAACGCGGATCGTAATCCCGTACATTGTTTTCCACAAAGTTTCTCACAAGTTTCAGTAAATTCTTCTACCAAATTGGCTAACTGACATACTTGATTTGTTGTCGCCCTCTTACTTAACCAAGAAGATTTATCATTCCAATTTTGACTTTCCTTCTCTTCTACTTTATTATTTTGATTTTCATTATTTCCTTTATCTTTCTCGTTTTGTGATTTCTCTTTGTCATTTGTACCTGCGGAAAGCAGATTTCCCATTCGCTCGTGACAATAATCACAAATGGAAATTATCATGTCATTGAGTTTGGTCGTTACTCGCGAATGTTCTGCCGGAGTTAATAAACGATCAGGTATAGCGTCATCGAACGAGCCGTCGCATACTCGACCAGCAGCAAGATCTACTGTATCTTGCATTACACTATGAACAGCCTATAAATGTCCATTACGTTAAATATCGATGACTTCTTTAAATCATTTTCTTACATACAGTATTATCAGATCTTATACATGTACCTTAATTCGCATGAGAAGGAACGTTAAGGATTGTATAGCATTATGAAGTAACGTTAATCTTTCCGCGAGCGAAAGTCCACCAACTTCTAAGGCCGCAGCTTGTTGATCGCTGCAACAATCGCTTGCTGCTAAAGCTTCTATCACTCGTTGCTTAGTTACAGCTCGTACTGTTGTCACGGCTTCTTCTTTATACGTATCCACAAATTGAAATTGTTTTTGTCGTAGGAGACCAGAAATGATGGAAACAAGTTTATCCTGTTTGTTGAGGATGTATGTACAAATGATCTCACTGGGAAGAGATGGACGACGGTTTGTTTGCTACGAACTAGGTTTATAAGACGTACAAAATTATACGTATACTTACACCATCCAGGACAGTATTTTCTCCTCCTAAAGGTCTATTTAAATCTGCGGTCGCGTATCTTTGGAATTCGGTAGATAACATTTTATCTACGAGTTTCTCCATTTCGGTTAACTGAGAACTCAAATGCCTAAACATAAAAAATACTGTACGTGTTCACGTTCTTTTTTTTTTTTTCAAATTACTTCTATTTTATGTAAATACCTAAAACTATGCACCCCATTCAATTCTTGTAAAAGTATTTCTTGTGTTGTAGCAATGAGATCTAATGCCGCGACATAGTCTGGTGTAGATAACAATAACTGTATCATTGGCTGACTTTGATGCACAGTAGCCATTAGCTTTAATTTTTTTTGAACCAGTAAACGATTGGATCTTGCTCGTTCCAAACTGAAAAATTTATCTTGAAATTAAATATTATATTCAATATGCATAATACGCGTTTGTTACTTACCGTAAAATTTCTAAAGAATCGTTGACTAGATGTTTATCAACTTGATGAATATTTTTCCTAAGAGCTTTTAAAACTGTAATCGTTTGCGTAAGTTGTTCCATTAGAGCATCATGAGATGTCATAGCATGAAAAAATGCCTGAGACTTGGAAGCGACTTGTTCCGCTATTCTAACTTCCACAACATCTAAATAATGACTTAACTATTATAAAAATGAATTTAATATCTATTAGTTGTCTTATTTTTTAAACCTGATGTAACGTTAATAACCATTAATATACCTTTTCTTGCATCTGTTTTACATGCATAACAATATTAGAATCTTCGTTTAACAATCCGCTTTTCGCAAATGGAAATACGGCGTAAAAATTATCTTTCTGCGAAAGATCTAGATTAGGCGTTAAAAAAATTTTTGGAATACTTGATAAATCAAACTGCACTCGATCTGAAATTAATATTCGTTACGATAAAAATAATAACTCGTAAGTATAACAATGCTATTCGTACCTAAAGATTTAACTTTTCTTAAATTTGGAAAAGTCTGTAGCAGTTCGTTAGGTGTAGTCGGCGCGTTAACGCTTGAATTCATACGAAAATGTTTTCGATATCTCTGTAAATAAAACGTTCATTCTTTTTCGTATCAAACTTAATTCTTATCAAACAATAAATCACTTACCCTTGCAATCTTTTTTAAATACGATTCAAAATGTTGTAATGTGATTTCAGGAAGGTATGGACTTTTAGGTATATCAACTTTTTCTACAAAACTATCTCCCCAAGTACGAGTTAAAAAGTTACTTTGTTTTCCTTTAAATGGATCATTTAGAACAGCTGGTAAATTTTGAGCTGCTGAATAAACAGTCCATGAGGATGAAGGTTCTAATAAATGCCCATTCCTTTTACGCTGTTGTTGCATTATTGCGTGTTTAGTAGCATGTGCTACATAATCTTTGTCTGAGACACCCTCCACAGGAAGACTGGTACACACTCCATTATAACCATATAGACAGACGAATGAACCTCCTTCTCTAGAGCAATGCTGATCCCTTAAATGTCTGAAAAAATATTGCATTATAATATAATAATAACTGATAACAGTGCAAAATATTGTATTACGTTTCACAGACTATAGCATATTAGGAAATATGTTATCACCAATAGCTACAATTGTACACACAAATTAGATAAATACGAATAAAACATTCGTTAACGTAAAATCGAGAATTTTAAATAATTCGATCTGTATTAAAAAACTGCTTAATATAAAAGCAAATTTATATTTATATTTCATTGTAGGTAGACTTTGAACGCACAGACCCACCTTACAAAATCTTCAATTTGCTTGAACGTAAGGTTAGCGCAATATTCGCAAATTAGAATCGAAGAAAACGATTCGGATTCTTTTATAATTTTCGCCATTTTCTAATTTCAACATTACTTCACCATTCTGTTAATGTTTCTTTAAATTTATACTTCATAGAAATCTATCAAAAATGTAAGGGAGCTTGTAACGTCTATCAATTATGTTTCACAGTGCAGTGACTACAGATTTAACAAGACTGGGCATGCCTTTACCAGTGGTTACACAGGCAGAAAATTGGACGTGCCTTTATTTTCGTGTGTGGTGCGGTAAAAGAAGGACTGGTAAAACAGCCACGATTATCATACCGGCTGTGCTTACTGAAATAAAATTGCTAATTACAAAAGAACTAATTTGTCACAAACGTTAAAAATAGACTCACAATCCATCACAAACGATTTACAAACGAAATACACTAAGAAAAATTAAAAATAATCATATTTCATTATTCCTTCTGGCCAGCTTCATGTAGGTGTATGCAAATAGTGTTACTGGTGCTTCGGGGTCCTAGACACCCCAGGATCAAACCAGGTCAAACCCATCACTATCCCGAACAAGTGAGTTTCACGATTTGTTCGTTTTTCGTTCTTATATTTCGCTAGATCCAGTCAAACCCATCACTATCCCGAACAAGTGAGTTTCACGATTTGTTCGTTTTTCGTTCTTATATTTCGCTAGATCCGCTCTAACCCATCACTATTCCGAACAAGTGAGTTTCACGATTTGTTTGTTTTTCGTTCTTATATTTCGCTAGATTCGCTCTAACCCATCACTATTCCGAACAAGTGAGTTTCACGATTTGTTCGTTTTTAGGTCTTATATTTCGCTACTTACTTGGGGTCCTTAGAACCCCGAGACATTATAATTTAGATATACAGAATCGTCGGTGCTTGGGGTCCTTAGAACCCCGAGACAATGTAATTTAGATATACAGAATCGTCTGTGCTTGGGGTCTTTAGAACCCCGAAACAATATAATTTCGGTATACAGAATCGCCAATGCTTGGGGTCTTTAGAACCCCCAGAGTATATAATTTAGGTATACAGAATCGTCGGTGCTTGGGGTCCTTAGAACCCCAAGACAATATAATTTAGGCATGCAGAATGGTCGGTGCTCGGGGTTCTTAGAACCCCACGACAATATAATTTAGGTATACGGAATCGTCGGTGCTCGGGGTTCTTAGAACCCCAATACAGTATTGTTTTAGTATGCAGCATCCACAGAGCTTCGGGGTCCTCAGAACCCCGCGACGATATTATTTTAGTAACCTACATGCAGCTAACCGTAAGGAATTATAAAATATGATTATTTTTAATGTTTCTTAGTGTATTTCGTTTGTAAATCGTTTGTAATTGATTGTGTGTCTATTTTTAACATTTGTAACAAATTAATTCTTTTGTAATTAGCAATTTTATTTAAATCATGATGTGAGCCGAAACAATTTAGTAATTTTTAATAATAAACAGATTTTGTGACAACTGATAACTGTAATTGATTGGAAATCGTTTGTGATTTACAAATATATTATTTTCATTGTTTGTGAGTGAATAACATCTTAATTATTTACAAGTTTGTTTTTAATAAATAATTGTAGCTGCTTAATATCCGAATATGATATCAGGTCCGTATGAAGAGGGCACAATAAGTATAATTTTTTTCCAGAGTTTATTTAATTTACTTTATTTACTTTTTTTACTTATTTTTGCATATTAAATAAGCCGATCGAAGAGGAATAACATTTATGATTATATTCCTCTTTAGGGTCTTATAGTCGAGGACCCCATTTATTTTACTTTTTCTAGTTATTTATATAATTTTATCCCTCATTATAGGCCAAGGCCATCTCAGTATCCCTTACATCCCTGCATTCCTGCAACCCTTAAATACCCCTTTTTTTTTTTTTTTTTTTTTTTAACGTGGTGGAAATCTTCAGAAAGACACCTTCAGCCCCCCTGGGGAGGGGCCGGAGGTAGTGTGGGATTTTTACCCACTAAAACCACCACGGCGGCCTGCACTAGGGCGGCAGGGAGGATCCTTTGACTCTCCACCATGGGCCAAACTCCGCCGACATCGGGGGCCACACCCGATGCCGGCACTTCTCGGACCGCGTGCAGTGGAAACCGAGGCCCCAGCCCCGGGCCCCTACGGTATTCCTTTACATCCCTCGTTCCGTTACATCTCTGCATCCCTTACATCTCTGCATTCTTTTCATCCCTGCATTCTTTTCAAACCTACATTCTTTTCAAACCTACATTCTTTCCATCCCTACATTCTTTTCATCCCAATATTCTTTTCATCCCAATATTCTTTTCATCCCTATATTCTTTTCATCCCTACATTCTTTTCATCCCTACATTCTTTTCATCTCTACATTCTTTTCATCCCTACATTCCTTACATCTCTTCATCCCTACATTCTGTTCATCCCTACATTCTGTTCATCCCTACATTCCTTACATCTCTTCATCCCTACATTCTGTTCATCCCTACATCCCTTATAATAAATATATTACAAAGACTGCTTCCAGTAAAGGTAAGTAAAGGTAAGTAAAGGCAAGTTAGTTCCTTTTTTCGCCACCAGAGGGCGCTGATTCGACATCGAAATTTTAGTTCACATTTTTGCCGCCAGAGGGCAAAAAATGGAGCATGATTTAGTTCCTTTTTCCAAAACCAGATGGCGCTGATTCGACATCGAAATTTTAGTTCACATTTTTGCCGCCAGAGGGCCAAAAATGGAGCACGATTTAGTTCCTTTTTCCAAAACCAGATGGCGCTGACTCGACATCGAAAATTTAGTTCACATTTTTGTCGCCAGAGGGCCAGAAATGGAGCAAGATTTAGTTCCCTTTTCCAAAACCAGAGGGCGCTGATTCGACATCGAAATTTTAGTTCGCATTTTTGCCGCTAGGGGGCGCTGTTTTTCGAAATTTTCGCGAAATTCTCGAAAATTTCAACTTCATTTCAGGGAGGTACTGGGATGTATGGAATGCAGGAATATAAGTGATACAAGGATGTAAAGCATACAGGCATGTAAGGGATGCAGGGATGTAAGGGTTGCAGGGATGTAAGGAATGCAGGGATGTAAGGGATGCAGGGATGTAAGGAATGCAGGGATGTAAGGGATGCAGGGATGTTAGGATATAAAGAAGGCAGGAATGTGAGGAATGCAGAGATATGAGGAATGCAGGGATATAAGGGAAGCAGAGATGTAATGAATGTCGGGATGTAAGGGATAAAGAGATGCAAGGAATGTAGGAATATAAGGGATGAAGCGATGTAAGGAATGAAAGGAATGTAGGGATGGAAAGAATGTATGGATGAGAAGAATGTAAGGATGAAAGAATGCAGAGGTGTAAGGGATGCAGAGATATCAGGGTTGCTGGGATGTAAGGAATGCAGTGATATGAGGATGCAGAGATGTAGTGGAATAAGAGATATAATGGGTGCAGACGGAAGTAAAAAAATTAAGAAAAATTAAAAATAATCATGTTTTATTATTCCTTCCGGCTAGTTTCATGTAGGTGTGCTCTCTGCATGCATACCTAATTTCATCCGGCGGTGTCCTGGACCCCATAAAACATGACCCCTCGAAAACAGAGACGTCCAGTCTTTCGCATCTGTAGTCACTGTATTATGTAAGGCATTGAATGAAGTATGCATATATGTTATTGAGTGACTTTTACTTACTTCAGATTGTAGACTTTGCAAGGTAAAGTCTAGTTACTGTATTATTGTAAAGTAATAAATACAATTTTTTAATATATTAATCAACAAATGAAAATAGAAATATATAATATAGATGATAATAATTTTCAGGTGCAAAATATATGTTAAGCTAACCTTCATTTTAATGACTTAAGTCTTTAGTTGCATAGGTTTTCAATGCAATAAATATTGAAAAGAAATGTATACATATTTTATTATTGACTGACATCTGTTCAATGAAATAGCTTACTTATTAAGGTTTATACTCTACATGCAATAATGTATACTTAGATATTAAACTATTAAAGTAAATTATTTGCAGATTTAAATTTCTCTGTAAAAATGGGAGGCCATGGTCATGGTCATAAACCACCGTATCTAGTTCCAAGTCCTGATATATACAAAGTGGAGGATGTACCAGAACTGATGCGTGTTAGAGAAAAATTGGCTGAAAAAGGACTGAAGGATCCTTGGTTGAGAAATGAAGTGTGGCGTTATACAACTTTGCCAGGACCTCCTATACGTACAGCACTGGTACCATTTTTGAGGGGTGCTATATTTGGAATTCCAGCATTTTTAATAACCATAGCTGTAGAAAAATATCTTGGAGTTGATGGCCATGGACATGAAAATGGTGATCATCATTAAGATTATTCAGAAAAACAGTTTATATATATAGTAAGATAAAATAGTACTTTTACCCTTGTATCAGTTATACATTAAAAATAAACTATGATTTTAAATTTAAATAGATGTTTGTAACAGTTATTATTTATTATTTATTTTGATTTGAAAACTGTTTGTTTAATGCATATAATACAATACTTGAAGCACTTAAATATTAAGTGTTAGTAAAAAATGTATAAAATATCATATATATATAATTACATGATAGCATTCAAGTCATTATATAAGAAATGTTTTATCTAACAGCATATTATTATCTAAATTTCTTTTATTATTATGTTGCGCTAATGAAATTAATAATACAGATATTAATATTGTGATTGTAATAGCTAATGTACAATCTTCACATAATACTATGATAAAAGTGAATATGGAAATTTCAAATGTTGCTAACAACCACTCATTTCCACATAATAATACTTGATCAAAGGAGTTCTTAGTATCTGTAAATATTACGAATTAAGTGTAGTTTCATGTATATCTTTTCTTTTTTGGTTTATATTAAAAATTATTACCAATATAAAAAATTGACTTTTCATCATTGTGGGGAAGTAAAATGTTAAGTAACTTTTCAAAGAAAAGTTGTTCTTTAATAATGTAATCTTCTTTAGAACAGTGATCCACAAATTTGTATAGAAATTGTTTTAATTTAAACTGACTATTAAAGGTTTGCTCCCAATTTATAGTAGCAACAGAATATGGTTCCAGAAAATTGTTTTGTTTCTGGAAAAAAAAATAAAAGTAATGAGTTTTTGAACTTCTTATACAAAATTATGTTATACATACAATTTTTGTTGCTATAAAAATTTTCTGAAAGATATTTTTAAAAGTTGGTGTTAAGGAAAGTATGAAAGTTTGTTGGGTTGTTCCTGGTACAAGACCTTTATGTGCACATAAATTGTTTTTTTCTTTTTCTAAATTATTCATTAAAGTAGGCAAATCTATATCCGCAAATCCATGCACTGATCTGTTATAAAGTAATAATATTTAATTACAAATATTATGTATCTTCATGCATTGCTGTTATGTACATTACCTTCCATGAATATAGAAGCCATAATAATTAAATGGTAAAATAAATACACTGATATTTGCAACTGAACATAGTTTTACAAATTCTTGCATCCTATTTGGAATAAATAATTGGTAGGTAACAGTAGATACCACCCACTGAATACAATATATCGAAATATATATTAAAATGCATATTGTATAATACAGAATGAAATTGTAATTACTGTCTGAAGAATTAGATGTTAATTCTGGTATTGCAAGAATCCAAGGATACAGTTGTATGACCTACTTAAAATTTTGTATGTAATTTCTATTATACACTTTGCTTTCAAACTATTATTTCAAAACTTGTAAATTTACCTGAAAAGTACATAAAACAGCAACTAATTGTATTATTACGCTTATCTTTCTTTGTGTTTGAAGGTTCAACCATTGATTTGCAATAAAATATGTTCTCCAGATACTGATAGGCAAATTATGAAAATTACCCTTTTCTTGGACAGAAATGTTTGATTCTGAGTACTGAGGTGAAAAATCAGTTTTATATTTGTCAACTATAGAAGATTTATCGATATAGGCAGAATTACTTTGCTTATGTAATTGATGTATTATTTTCTTTCTTTTAGCTGCTATTATTTCTGATGGTGTTTGTAACACTTTGTATTTATCTTTTGAAAATTTATTTACATGTAATTTGTTCATAGTATTATCTAGAGAATCATGTTTAAATTGATTATCTATTGCTTTTGGTTGTTCCCAATCAAGAAAAACTATATCAATATTCCAATACTGACAAATAAATCCAAGTATCTCTATAAACTAAATCAAAAACCATTTGTGTAGTGGATTTATAACAATTACGTATTTTCATTTTACAGTTAAATATACTTACTTTAAAAGAAAATGCTAGTATAGTGCACATTTTAATGGTTTCATCATTTATATCTCCAGGAAGTAGAATATACGGTATTGTTTGTCCCTTGTAAAACGTAAATAAATATATGCAAAATATGATTAAACTCAAAATAATTACGCTTCCTATAGTACCCGCAGCGTAAACGAAAGCCCAAAGTAGTATGTATATGTTAAAAAATGAAATATGATGACGTTTACTATAATTCCAAGTTTTTATACCAGAAAGTATAAAAGCTAATCCTGAGAATACTCCAATGATTATCTAAAAAAATACTTCAATATAATTGAATTCCAAAAGGATGTAATGATAATGCCTGAGAAGTTTCTTTACCTGAAGATTTCTATCAATAGTACTGTCGTTTAAAATAAATTCAATTCTGTAATCTAATGTAACTTCAGTGGTTTTACTAATTTGTTCATATGTTAACTCAGCATATTCAATAATCAATAAAGGTGGAAATATTTTATTTCTATCCTTTGAAATTTGAATATTGATCCTGGAAAAATATTTTTTAATACTGTTTTAATGGATGATGTCACAACATTTATGAGAAAAAATGAAATCTACTCACATAACATTTAAAGATCTTATATAACGAAGCACAGATAATTCATTAGCTCTTTTAACTTCATCAGTTGAAAAATTTGAGAGTGTTTTAAAGCCACTAACATTATCGACAAAGAAAAATTTTCTTACCAATTGCCAAGTTGATACTTCATTATCATTCTGTGAAATAGTTTAAAAATTGTATTGTAAGTACATTTTAAAATAATTTTGTATAATAACTTATTCAGTGTTATATTCTTTACCTTATTAATATTCTTAATAAGTATGGGCAATGCATGCATCAAACTTTTGTTATTCTCCACAAATGTTAAATAAGGAGTCAGTAACTCTACTTTTGCAGTCAATAAGTTTTTAAGGATAAGTTTGCACCTTTTTTCCAAGTTTATACCAAATCTAATATTCTGCAATAAATTACATGGCATATCTGGTGTACCAATAAATTTTAATGTACCGTGCAAAGAAAATGTAGCAACTGTAAAATTCAGTATATTATCCTAAAAGAAAATATACTTTAATTATAAAAATGTACAACATTTAATAGAGTATGTGAACAGAAATACACATTACATACATTGTTGTACCTTAACTTATACTTATGTGTGATTTGTGTGCTTTTTAACACTGCTGCAGTCTTATTTTTATCATAAAATAACCATACAGGAGCTTTTAGTGGTTGCATAAATAGTATACATGCAATATTATTAGCATAAAGACTCAAGGCACACATATTTGATAAATGTTCACATGCTAATTCATTCTTTCTCTGAAAGAAATATTTGCATTATGGTTTTTTCTTATACTTTGTTACTTTATTTTCTTACTCACCTTACAAAAATACATAGCAATTTCTAATTCATTTCTAAAATAATAGCTGTCTACATTTTCTGTTTCAAATTTCACTTGATATACAACTACTGAATCTTGTTTATCCAAAGAGGTGTCTTTAAAAGGGCAATAATCTTGTATTTTTGTGTAATAGTAATTTGTTGAATATATATAATCTATATAATAATTGTAGTCAAGATTCTTGCATTGAAAACATTTAGATCTATCTACAGATGGATAATGATTATCAGGACATGTACTGTAACATACAATATCTACTGATGTATTGTTTAAGTTTCTGTCTACTGTAAAAATAATTGTAATATTATTAATAATAGTACTTTTATAATACAACATATTCTAATAATGTTAATTACCTTGTATTTCATCAGTGGTACATTCACAGGTTGCATTATTACATGAAGTGCAATTGCTTTCATGTGCAGTAATTGTTGCATTTAAGGAATAAAAAGCATCATCCTTTAAGGTCCTCTTATTAAATTTATCACATGTACATCTTAATCCTATAAAATAAAGTATTTAAGTAGTTATTTTAAATATTTATGTATTTTTAACTTACTATCTGGAGATGGTTTTAGGTTTTTATTAATATCACATTGTGTGCAAGAAAATGAAGCTGTATTAAAATATTCATTATTTTTACATTTTGATGGTTGAGAAAATTCAACTACTTCTTTATTTGCAGCAAGTGGTTGAAGAAAATTGAAATAACACATTAAAAAATAAGAAATAATATTTTTTTCTTTCAGATGATTCATTTTCATGGAGTACTTTTATTTGTTTGCTCTTTCCATCACTATAGCAACTGGGGATTTAAGTTCAGGAAAATCAAACCTCAATTGTAATTTTCCACATTATAAAATGAATAAAAACAGTCTGATGCTATATTCTCTAAACTTTGAACAACAAGATTTTACATAGAACCTCTATAATAAATTATGACTTTGCGTATTTAACGCGGCTTGTGATTTATAGTAACTAAACCAGGGTACGGTGTCAATGATTCTGTTTCGAAATAAAATTGTATCAATCGATACGCGTTTAAATTTTTATAGCTGGTTATCTATAAATAAATAGAAGTTGTAATGTAAATCATAACTGTATTTACGTTTGTCAAACGTTTTAAAAAATGATTCGAAAAAAGAACGTATAAATAGCAAAAAATTATTTTATTCAATCATACGATTAACATATAAATAAAATATTAGATAATATGCAACTGGATCAAGGTTAAATCTAAAATGACAGAGGAGAGAGAAAATTTCATGTGGCAAAATCAAATGATGCCGAATGGAGCATCATGTGATGCATGTGTCAATTCCGGAAGTGGATGCGCTTCAAAGATTTTAAGGTCACTTTCGTTCTTTTTTTTTTTTTTTTTAAATAGAACTGTATATTTCTTTTTAACTAGATTAATTCTTCAGTACATTCTTCTTAAAAAAGTAAAACAGTTCGTGAAATATGTATTCCAAATTTAAATCACAGTGAAATCTTAGAGGCCCCTGCACATAGGCAACCCTTTTCTCTCCCTTGAAATAAAATAAAATGTGTTTTAAAATAATTAAACTTGAACACTTTGTATATTCCATTTCAAGTTCATTATAAATATAGTACAGATATTTAAACGCTCGAAATCGAAAATATTTGTTAATATTATCAATAGTTTCCAGGGTACCAAGTTAACTCGGTGAATACCGCGTGGGCCACGGGTGACCCACGGTGTTTAACAAGCATGCATCTATGGTTTCTTCGATTAAACTTAAAAAAGTGAAAACGAAAATGTAACAAATATAATATACTCACAATTTTGTATAATTAAGCATTGGAATTGAACATTTGTCGCAAAGCTGTCGCGGTACTGAATGCATCTAAATGGGACACCGTGTATAATAAAATACTAAATTACTTGTTGCCTTGTGCGGTAACAATCATCACAGTGCTATCAGTGCCAAAAATCCTCCTCTTTCATTCCCCTTCCTCCCTCTCTGCCTTGTTTCTTTACTACACCTCTGGGGTAGAGGGGCAGTGTTTTACTTAAGGGGAAGACCGGAGGGAAGGTAAGGAAAATCTTATAAGCTAAAATAAAAGCGATACAAGGCAAAGTCCGCGGGAGTAGTTTTTTTTCAGTCTGAAGAAGTACTTTGAGGAGTGGCCATCGTATCACAGGTATTATCTTCTATGTCTATTAAACAGTGCTTTGTGATTTAGTTCTGGAATATCGTAAGTTTCAAAGTGACAGTGAACAGATGCTATTGTGATCGTTTAGCAGTGAATTACATTTCGAATTTAATTAATTAAATGACAGTATATGATATAATCAAGTGTCAGAGTTTTTCATTAACAATCAATGTAATTAAAATTTTCTCCATCAAAATTTAAACTCCAAATAATTATCTCCATTTAAAATTTATTATATAAACTTTTAAATAAATTTGAAATGCAATACAAGTTTACTCTCTAACTCGGTGAGCGTCTTGGACGAATAATAGAATTAAATTGTTTACCATTATTTCGTTCTAATCACCAATCGATGTGTCACAATCATACACGTTGTTGTATCTTAACGTGACCCATTTTCGTTCTTTAAATATATCTCATTAGCTAATTATATCAATTGAGAGTAGTAGCTGTAACATTTTATTTAAAAAGAAGGCTATAAGAACTGATCTGGAACGAATGAGTTAGGGGGAGGAGATGTGGAACAGTTCTGTCAGTCTGGTCTCTATAGAAGTAAAAATAGGAAGGATAGAAGGATATGATTTGTACGGGTTTTAGGGTCATTTAAAGTTTGGAAAATATGTGGGACGACGAGCCAGCGCCATGGGACATCGAGGATACTCCAGCGGAAGAGACCGCGGAGGGTGCAGCTGAAGGGGCTGCCGAAGGCGCAGCACCTGCCGCAGCACCTGGGGAAAAACCAAAAATAAAATTAGAAAAGATTGAACCCCCGCATTACAATCATCATTGGGTTCGTCCTCTCTTCCTCAATTACGATTATATTTATGAATATAGGTAAGTTGTTACGGACCAAAGTGAGCCTGTATCGTACTACCGCGTCAATTATACAGTATTCTTAACGAAGGTTAAATTCTTGATCGCGATTACTATTGCAAGGTGGTTTATTTATATTTTTCAGGAAAAATTACTATGACGACGTGATTGATTATCTGAATCAAAGGCAAAGAGGAATATTCCGTGAACCACCGCGTGCCCAAGAATGGGCTGAACGAGCAATGAGGACCTACGACGAGATGAACACTGATAAGAGTTTCAAACGATCAGCGGATATGAGAGAGATCATTAATATGAGACACGAACCTAGATACTACAGTTATCACACTCGGGCATATTATAGTTTGAAGTATCAAAAAATCTTGTGATTTTATTTTCTTTATTGTATATTAAAATCGACCCATGTGGCATAGATATAAATTTTATTGTAATATATTTACACATTAATCTTCGTTTTTAAACCGAATTTTTATGTTATGGAAATAAAACTGATGGTTCGAATTATTTTTCTTCAAAGAAACAATGTTTTATAAAAATTAAATATTTATTTAATATCAATGTATTACGAGAAAAACTCATCCGTTATGCATGGTATCAGCAATTCTGTTTCTGTATATAGAATAATAAAATTGGAAAAGGTATCACTATACATAATCTGTATTTCAAACAGGAAATATACAATATAATACATACATTATATATATATATATAAAAAAATAGTAATAGTAGTAGTAATAATAATATCTCTGCTACATTACTATTTTAGGATAAATCAAAAGGTGCACTCAAATTAAAACAAAGTAGATATTCAATAATATTTCTCTTCAGGTATGAGATTTTAAATATTAACTTAACGCTCTTATTTAATTCTAAAATATTATTAAATAATTTTCTTTGACAGATTTATTAAAATAATAAAATTGGATAAGAGTGTACATACGAATGACATGGTAGCGAAAGTGTCAAGATGTTCGTTTTAGTTCGAAAGTTTTAAAACGAAACGCTTTTCTTTCTTTTCAAGAATTTCTTTTTCAATGGTTGTAAAGCATAACTGTTCATTGGATTTACAATCTCAGCCGATTCTATTAACGAACTGATTCTGTCGTGTCTTGGTATTATAGACTGCGGTATGCAAGATTCCATATCGACGTTCGGTACTTTGACAAATTTAATCGTTTTTGGCGGTGCTTTTTCTGCACTTTCCATGCTCAGTACTTTTCTCGATGACACGTCATCGTAATCGTAGGTGTTATCAAATTTCGTGGCGTGTCGTTGGAATGCAACGTCCGCTGCCTCCAATGTGCTCTTGGCTTTCTCGATTTCAGCGTTTAAATCAATTACATCGAATATACGATCCTGAAAATGCAAAATATTAGAAAACGTAAAAGGGATTCACGACAAGTTTCAGCACACAAATATGTTTTATTATTTCCTTTCGTACACTTTGTGATATTTATAGTATTTTTTTCTCCCTTCATCCTCGAACGATGCTTTCAGACTCACTTGTTTAAGTTAAAGTATTTAAATATTAAACATTATCGAGCGAGAGGTTCAGTCTTGATTAATAGCGACTGGTTATCATCGTTCGAGGATTGAATAAATATCTTTTAAGTTTTCGTGAAACCTGCATATCTCTTCGTTTGCGTCTTATATCAGCCATATCTTCGGCAAAAGCAGCGGCAGCGCGTTCCTTATAACGTCGATGAGTTGAAACAAATTCATCTTCGATATCATCTTGAAAGTCTCGGTCGTATATAAAATCCAAATCGTCATAGAAATCATTACGGTTTCCTGATAGATTACGAGATCCTAAAATATGCGGATGATATTGTTAATTAGTTAGAAAATGTCTATCAATGGTTTTATAGTTAATTGTTTCTATAGAATGTCAAAATTATATCAGGCAATTATAATGTTCGAACGAAATTCAAAGAAAATGATATGATACTTGTTAACAAAATGAGATTGATCATTTTTTTACTAACACGTTGATTGCTATGATGGGTCATTAATAATTAATTATTATTATATCAAATAATTAATAATTGAAGGTTTTTTAACTATTACCGTGACAGTCAACGTGTTAATGTAACAAAGCTGTTATAAAAAAAGTATATTCCAAGGGGATGTTTCATTATTCTTAATTTAAAAATTAATTAAATCTGCAGTCGTGTAATTTCATTCTTTTCCTTAAAAATAAAAACAAAGAAAATTATAATATTGACGATGAGTATGAATAATTTGGATAAAAGTATCATGCTAAACAAATATTCTTATGCATTCATGCATGGAAAGAAAATAACAGGTACTCACATCATGAACAAGGAACCTATTTCATAAAAGGGAGAGTAGGTTTCACTCCTGTACATTATACATTTCTGACATATTTACAGTGAAATTTATTTATAAATAAAAGAGGAGAGAGATACATACAATAATATCGAGAAATATTTTTCTTCAGCACACATTTCCCTTAAAATATTAATACTTTACTGATAATTTGAAGTGTGACGATTAAATAGATCAATGGAAATAATGTAATTCTGTATGCAACTTGAAATGGTAAAGTGTATTTGAAAGTTAAACGATGTATTTACTATAAATTACGTCTTTTTTAATTAATTAGGAACTATTGTTAGAAGTATAAGAACATCAAGTATTCTTTGATATCAAAGAGAGTACCATTTTTCGCGACCATTTCAACTGATACCGTTGAAATGATTCAATAAAATTTTTTTTAGAAAAGAATTTTTTTTCAATGTTTCATTAAAAAATAAATGTTAACATTAATCTAACTAAACGATAGTCTTTGAATTATCTACTGCTATGATCAGCTTTGATAAAAATTATAAAATGATTAAGTACGCGTGTCAAATAGCGTTGCACCTTTCTTTTTTCTTTTAATACTGTACAGTAACAAGATATACAAAATATGCAATATAAAGAATTTACATATTTCCAGATATCTTTAGGCATCAATCAAATGACGTTTACCAATTTTTATTATATCATTAATGTCTTTCTATTAGGTGTGTGCAAAATTTCTATTCGCATTTACAGATTCCAATTAGAAATCATTAATTTTTCATAACAGTCTTTCAATCCGGAAATGTAAATTTTACGCTTGAATGCCTAAAATAAGAAATAATCTTTCATAGTTCCTGAACGTATTCATAGAATTGGCTAAAAATTCTCCAATGTCGTGATAGAAACACACGTGTATGTATAATGGGACCGTCGAAATGAAATCAAAGTGACAGGGTATCCTTGAAGAACGAAAATAAAACTTCAGCTTCTGTCATTATACTGTGCTCAGATTTCTATGGTTGCTTAAAATATCTTCTCAGAGCGTTCGCTACGAATCGACACCTTTTTGCTTAGATGAGACTGTTGTTGTTGATGGATACTTTCCGATTCGTTAGCAGTTTCGTTGATCATCGCCCTGAGGGCAGCTGCCCTTTTTTCTCTTTTCGCTTGTCTCTCAGCGAGCTCCTCCATTTCAGATTCCAAATCGTTCAGACGATTCTTCGTCTGTCTGGCTCTGGTTGCAGCTGCGCTGACCGGTACCAAATTATCGTCCTCGTTGACAAGTTTCGACCATTTTAAGATCGACGGTTTAGTTTCCTCGATACGATCAACCTCGTCGAATAATTTTGACCTTCTTTTGAAGGATGACTCGGCCTCCTCGCTGAGGGATTTCACGTCGTGCATGTTCCTTCTGGCGCTTAGGACGCTGTCCAGAGGATCCAGTTCCGGACGAGGACGCGATAGTTTACCCAGTGCTGCGTCGACTTCGTCTTCCAATCCGATCGAGGCAAATTTCGCTTTGAGATGTTGAGTAGTCGCGGCGACGTCGCTGGCAAAATTATCGGCAAATCGACGTCTGCGTTGGCCACGGCTGTCGTATACGACCTCCTCGTCTTCGGGGAACAGGTTGTCCGTGGCCAAGGATGATAAGCGAGGGGTACGGATAGGGGGATCTAGTTCAAGGTCAAGGTCATGTCCGAAGGATGTGTTGCGAGGACCGGAGAGGTCACGCGTGCCTGTAAAAACCGATACCTCAAGATATGTACACTGTTGGGATACTTGGTTTTTTGGGATCTTTTTTTAATGATAATTACTGGAAACCCTTCTGGTCAAAAATGGTACGAAATGGTCAAGTCTTGTTATCGTCTGCTTCGCTATAACCATTTATTTCTCTGCTTCCAATATAAAAAAAAAAAGAAAGAGATTTCGTTCTAAAAGTTCACCGTTTGTACCCAGTACTTTTTATCTTTTTAAACAGCGCGGCATGCGGATTGAAATTCAAACTGAAATTACGTGAAATAATTGAAGCAAAAATCAAGAAATTACAGTTTGGAGAGTGAGAGTATTTTCTTTATAAAAAATGTAATTCTGTTTGTAAGGTGTTTCAAAAAACAACACTCTCAAACTGTGTATACGTATTGCATATGTTACTGTTCGTGTTACAGGATACAATAAATCATTAGACGATGCGATTTTATTTCATTTTTTTTTTTATTATTACTTAATGCTGAAATCTTGTTTCTTTATGGAGAGTAAAACTTGTCGTGTCTGTAACGCTAAATGTATGTATATATGAAACAGTACATTCAATTCGTTTCACAAGAAGGAATTGGATTTGAACATGCCACTCACGAATGACCAGTAAAATGAAAAATAATTCAGCATTTTTCTTACGGTGATTTAACTAACTACGGTTTATCGTAATAGTTAAGGGAAGAGGGAATAGGGATATGTCCACCCTTTAAAACCATTTTGGAAAACGATTGAAGATGTTACCGATGTCATTTCGTCGAGCGGCGATCTCATCGGCCAACGATGTTCTTGGTTCAGAGAACAGTGGTCGACCGCTGTATTTTCGATCTAAATGATCAACCATCGGTTTATAATACGATTCTCCTTTGTCATAGTTACATCCGTACACACGTGTACGCGGCCTGCTAAGAATTGGCCTTGACATCTTGACTGATTAGACTGCTCCTCCGTTACCTAAAAATTAGAAAATTTTGTTAGAAAGATTCTTCAAATAATAATAATGTTATTTTAGAAAAAAAAAGAATTTCGAGATAAACAGGGAACTGTAAAAGCGAGTCATTGATATTTTTAGCCATCTAAATTGAAATGAAATTGAATTTCATGAAAGAAGTTCAACGAAAATAATTGTATTAAATAAAGTAGTACACTTTTTAATTTACAGCATTAATCAATGATAGTTAGTCAGAATATATTGATTGGAAATTTCCAAAAGTTTTCAATGTCCCTATTCTTAACACTAATTTTTCGAATTTCAAGGATTCATGTATCTATTGTTTTTGTTACGTTCCTTTAAATGGACATGAATGAAGTTAATGCAGAGCCCCAAATATCCCCCCATCTGGTTCACTGTAGGGTTTCTACTATGAGTAACCAGTAAATTGGAACGAGCAACTATAAGTTGCTCAAAAATAGACCATGTCTAATTTGGTGTCCGTGAACTGAACTGGCACACAGCACTCTCAGTCCCGGACAACCGCCTCACATTACAAAATACGTGTACATTTCACTTTCCTATTCTTTTCTCCATTGTTATACTCTATCATTTATCCATTCGTTTTTCATTATTTCAATTAATTATTTCATTTCTTCCTACAACACGAAATATTAACAGAATAATTTAAATATAAAGAATGTACTTCATCATCCACGAATAATTATTACACTTTCACTTTATCACGCTTGGAACATCCCCAAATAATGATATCATTATTATTCTATTTGCATATAGGTTAAAAATTCTGATACCCGATAATTTTTAATTTATATTCATACTGGAAACAATCAAATGATTAATTAATTATATAGAATTATGTAATTTAATTAACACGTTGATTGCTACAGTAGAAATAGACATGTATAGTCAGACTAAATACGATTAGTTAATTTTCAAATTTATGCTTGCAATTTCTTATTGTATATTATTAGAATAGTATAAATTTCAATAGAAAATCAATTAAAGTTTAATTTAAAACGAATAATATAAGTTTTCATGGTATGACACTGCGTTCGTTAACATGTTACGTAAGATCTACCAAATTTAGCTGGCAAACATAGTTTTAAAACGATGATATCAATTTCAATATTACTTTAGTTAAATTATTGTACAATTTTATATCATCATTACCCTTTCATTATTTAATAATGAGTATAAATTGTTAACGTTCACGAGAAATAATAGTTACAGATTTATACCACTTAAATAAAACAATATTATTATCTAAGCAAAATATATAAGTGGAATGTATTTTCTTCTAAAGTTACATACACTATAATTAACTAAATCGTTTTAAACAGGTTTGATTAAATAAAAAGCAGAATATAGAGAAAGTTTAAAAAAAGAAATAAGAGAAGTAGTTCTTTTCCCTGTACCATTTCACTGTAACTTTAATGATATACTAATTTTTTCTTAAATTGTAGTTAACTCAAATTAACGTTATATAATTATAAGTTATATTTCCACTGACGTTAGAAAAATATTTTACAATATTTAATTTCTTCAACAAGAATGGTTAGCGGAAGTTCTCCTTGATAATATTTAATTTTCAGACGCACTAAATTTTATGATAAATATCTATGCAGTGTGTTAATTGTTGCTCGATTAAAATTATTTCTTTTTCCAATAAACGCACAAGCATGTATGTAAACAGTGTTAAAATGATTGCAATATTTGTACCTGAACTTACAAGGTATCCTTCAAGATGCTATTTCCTCGGAAGTAGCGACACGACTCCCTCAGACGCTGCAACCTCTGTTATTTCCCACTCCTTTGAGTTTTACCCCTTCTCTTTTATAGTTCCTCATTTGTAATCTATATTTCCTACTGATTTATTCACCTATCGAGTGTTTACCGTTATAATTATAAATTTGTTAAACGAATACAATCATAAGATGAATCATTCTCTTTAAATGCATGCAAATTCTGAAAATATCCTTGTCCAACTTATATTAATTTTTTTTTTTTTACATGTATTCACAACAATTAATAATGTAAATAAAACTGCAACATTTAGTTAATTATTTCGTATAATTATATAGATATTGTGTGGTAAAAAATTGATTAAACATTAATTCCGTACAGTTGAATGTATCTCTGCTATTTTTAACAAGTCGAAAAAGTAACGCGAAGTTCGAAACAGTATTATAGTAGATGAGTCGTACCGAAATTATTCCTGTTATTGGTAAACGTTCCAAACCTATCTTACGTTTAGTTATTTTAATTTGAACAACATCGGAAAGAACCTATACAAATTTATTTACACATGGCACCTATCGCATTACGCTCTTGCACATTTTCTTGAATTAGTAGATGACTAATACTACATAGTATATGCAACACGTGTATTATTAAAATTATTGACATGTTTTAGTTTATGATGAGGTGTTATTATTGTGCGATGCAATATTAAAAAGAAAATATGATATCTGTGCCTAAATTGGAAAGTAGAGGACTTCCGAGTTTTCCAAAGTTTATTTATCTGTTTATAATTACTTTTTTTACAAACCTTTAAAATGATAGTTTAATTTGAAATTGGCTCGCTACTATACTTCCTGGAAATAACATAGCTATGAGAATCAGGCATAAGCAGTGCACTCTTGCAAAATGAAGGCTTCACAAATGTAATTTGTTTCGCGCGGAAGCGCGTCAGTAACCCTTCGGACGTCGTAAAGAAAGGAGAGTTTTCGAGTTCTTCCGCAGCGCCATCTATACAAAAATGGCTCAAACTACTCAACGATTTACCGACCCGTGCGGCGCTCACTGGCGCCCTCTATCGGGAAAGGGCGGAAACTACTCGCAGATTAGTTCCTGTTATCTACCAACAGGTGGCGGCAGTGTTGCAAATCGATCGGTAAGTCGTTGAGTAGTTTGAGCCGTTTTTGTATAGATGGCGCTGCGGAAGAACTCGGAAGACGTCCTACCCGCGCGACGTTTGAAGAGATACTGATGCGCCACCGTACCCCGCGCCGGTAATTATTGCGCGCGTCTGCAAAAATATCTAACCTAAATAACTGCGGTGCTACCTTCCTATTAAAATATGTAATAACTTTATATTAACATAGCAAAACATTAATAAATTATAAAGAGCAATTGGTAAATATAAAAAATTCCATATCTGAAACTATGTTATTTATTTAAATTTATTATTTCTGTAATATAGTACGTATCAAAATAATATATTTGTATACCTGTACATAGTTCGCATGCGTAGATTTCATAAGATTTGTCTCCCTTCTTAAACGAATACTTTTTAATTTCATGTAAGTTAATCAGAATGCTTAGACAAATATCATTTAAAAAGGTATTGCCTCGTTTACCAAGATGTTGTTGGTTAAATCAATTCAATCAAGCCTCCAATGATACAAAGAAAGATGAGGGTAATACGCATGATGCACTAAATGTAAAAGAATCTTCAAAAGATCCTTCTCAAAATGAATATAATGAAAAGGAAGTATCACGTTTGCTTGAAGAATCTGTAACATTCAATGAAGTCAAAAATAAAAGTTGGTCTACCAGTCCATATCCTGAGGATATTCCATTGAAACAAGAAGAAATTAAAAAGAAAGTTGACCCAAGTGAAAGAACTGTATTTTTGTTTCCTGGACAAGGTACTATCAAAGTTGGTACAATTAAAAGATATATACAAATACCTCTTGCTAAGGAACTATTTCAAATAGCTAATGAAATTCTTGATTACAATCTGTTGAAACTTTGTTTGGATGGTCCACAAGAAAAGCTAAACAGAACTGAGTACAATCAAGCTGCTACAGTAATTTCATCTCTAGCAGCATTAGAAAAAATTCGTAAAGAAACACCTGAAGCATTTGAGAAATGTATTGGTACAGCAGGATACAGTGTAGGAGAAATAACTTCTTTAATTTTTTCTGGTGTTTTTACATTTGAGGATGGAATAAGATTAGCATGGGCAAGAGGAAAAGCAATGCAATTAGCTTCTGATAGAGTACCTCAAGGAATGTTGTCTGTATTTTGTTTGCCAAGTGCTGAACTTTCAGAAGCCTGTAAAGCTGCAGAAGAATGGGCAAGGGATGTAGGTATTGAGAATCCAATATGCAGGTAAAATTTTTCTCTTCAGTCTTAAGAATTGATAGTTCTTGATTAGTTGATTATTCATTTATTGATTTCAGAACTGCTATCTTTTTATGTACACAAAGAAAAATACTTGGGGGAAATGCAGAAACATTAAAATATATTGAAAAGCACCAAGCAAAGTATGGTTTAACTAATGTAAATAAATTGCCTGTATCAGGAGCTTTTCACACACCACTGATGGAACCAGCTTTGAAGCAGGTGTTTAACACTTTATCTGCAATAGAAATTAATGAACCCAGATGTCAAGTATATTCTAATTATAAAGCTGAACCCTATAGAAACTTGAGATTTCTAAAAAAATATGTATTAAAACAAATGGTTTCACCAGTCAGGTGGGAACAATGTGTACAGAAATTATATAGTAGACCTGATGGAGTACCATTTCCACAAACATATGATGTAGGATCAGAAGGACGAATGAAAACTGTTTTAAAATTAATTAATGCAAAAGCATCTAATTCATGTATTGTTGTCTGATTTACTATTAAAAATTCGATAAAATTGTACAGTTAATAATTCTTTATCATCATACTTTCTTATTAGAACTAATTCATAAATAGATGAAAACGTTTAATAAGCTAAGAGTAGTACAGAAAACAATAAATTCAATTTATTTATACAATATTTTAATATTACTATTAATTTTCCTTGAAAGAAATTGTAATTAACTTATCACTCAAAATTTCAAAAATTATATGTCTAAATATAAATTATATTATATTTATATTTCTTCTAATTTTCATATTTTTTAAAATAGTGCTAATTGTCTGTACTAAATTTTAAGTTTTTTTAAAAAATAAAAGTAACAAGTGTATCGATAAAAAAAATTTGTTTTGAACACGAAAAACAAGGTTTTGGAACACATAGCGTTGTATAGAATTGTAAGCAAGAAAGAAGGCATGATATAATTGAAATCGTAATTTTGTTTATAGCGTAGATATAACATTTGACAGCATTATGAAGCTGGTAAGGTATGTATATTAGAAAAGCAATAAATAGTTTAAATTTATATTAATATTTATGTAAAATCGGACATGTGAATGACCGGTAATGTTGAGAGGTTTGGTAGTAATAATACATGAATTAAACTTTTCTCTTTGTGCAAGATAAATTTAATATTATGATTTCAGATTTTTGATGAAGCTCAGTCATGAGACTGTGACAATAGAATTGAAAAATGGTACTCAGGTACACGGAACTATTACCGGTATGTCAACGTAACCTATAAAAATTTCTATAATTGTATTTTTCATACAATATAATATATTGATTATTTTTAGGAGTTGACGTAGCAATGAACACACATTTAAAGACTGTAAAGATGACTATAAAGAATAGGGACCCAGTACAACTAGATACATTAAGTTTACGTGGCAATAATATAAGATATTATATATTGCCAGATTCATTACCGCTTGAAACTTTACTTATAGATGATACACCAAAAGCAAAAGCTAAGAAAAAGGAGGCTGCACGAGGTTTGTACTTTATAAATTTCTTTATATTATATATCAAATTAAGAAGCTGTTAAATATAATCTTTTCATTCTGAGTGTAAATAATTTATTGCTTCTTTTATAATTATTAGGGGCAGTGCGCGGTCGAGGACGAGGTGGACGTGGTACCAGAGGTGGTCGAGGTGGACGAGGTAGAGGAAGAGGTAGACGATAATCGTACATATTATTTAAATAAAAAAATTCCAATCAAACTTTTGCTTATTAAAAAAAAAAAATTTACTACTGTAATGTACTATCGTATAGGGTTCACGATTCAATAAATTGTATTGCTTTTTTTAATTTTCCACGATTTCTAATTTTGTCCCTCCTCTACAATACTTTGAATTAAAAAAGGTGTAGCAAGTTCAAGTATTACAAGAAAAATTAAGAAAATTCAATTCTGTTATTTTGGATAATCTACCATTAAAAGACTACAGTGTTTCAAAATCTTTGATTAAAACTACACAACATCTACAGTTGTATTTCTTACACGAAAGTACTATGTTAGTTTAGTCATCCAGTTGACACAAAGAAGCTACACCTCTCTTAATCCAATGAGCTTCTTCCTTGTGTGATGGAAGTAAAATATATAGTACAAAGTTGGAGGAATGACCGGTCGTAGCCAAAACGCCACGTCTTTCACTTGTTTTGTATACTGGGCAATTATATAGGAAATCTGTTACAAATTCAGTTTTTATACCTGGCTTTAACCATATTATAGGAAGAATATCAAACATTATCTTTGGCCTTGATTCATCAATTTCTTTTATCTCTCTGTTCCATCTTGCACCTTCCAAAAACAGACCCTAAAATTTGAAATTTTATTGTTAGAGATTAATGATCTATAAAAATTTGTATACATATAACTTACTTTTATGTAAACTCCATAAGAAGGTGCACCTCTTGGGCTAGATTCAAATGAAGTTACTTCAAATTCAAAATCTAATCTGTCAATTGGTATTTTATGTTTACGCGCATAATTTTGTAAAACACCGGTAAGAAAAGACTGGGTGAAAAAGAATCCCGATACCCAAAAAACAATCGGCGCATCTTTATCTATCCAATTTTGAAAAAATTCTAATCTAAGTAATAAATCATTAATATAACTTCCCAGGGGTTTTAAAGATGGATATGACTTTTTACTCCAAGATGCGGGTATTCTGCCGATACTCATACTAGTGAAAACTTCTTCCAATTCCGGAGACATTAGTACCAATCCTTTGATAGCTTTCTGTACATTCACTAATGTTCTTTTAATCACACTAATCAGATCATTAAATCTAATAAGTTCTTGACGGAGAACTGTGTTCATACTGTTCATATACAACACTGGATATTTGTTAGAAACTTCCAAAATATCAAATTCCGATCGCATTTTTAATAAAATATCAGCGCACAAATTAAAAACAATTTCATCCATGTTTCTCTCAACTCCTACACCTGTGATCTGTGGTTGTGTTAATAAAGCACCTTCAAGTAATTGCGTTGATTCTTGATTATCTTTTGTAATATCTGCATTTTCATGCAAACCATAAACTTCTGGTTGTTGATCCATTGGCAAATTACGAATGTACTTTAAACATCCCTCATAATCAGTATCTTCTGGTAATTGATATATACAACTCGGCGAGAAACAGTACCTACAATAAAAATTATGAACAGATGTTCTTCTACCTTGCAAATATTACTTACTGATTGTTATCGATAACTTGAGGATTATAAAATTGCTGAAGCAACGAATTTAACAGACGTCTATCCTTATCATCAGTTACTCGACCACCGTAATTGCATTCGCCCGTTAAATAAAGAAGGGCATCAAATGGTACTTCTTCATAGTCATTTAAGAAAAGCTAAAACATATTAAATAATGGGACAAATTCGAAAATTCATAGGTTTCACTTGATCTCACCTGTAATTGTAAAGTACTGATACGTAAGTCTGATTCATTGAATTCATAAGGAATATTCCAGCCCAATGGTCCAAAATTACGTCTTTCTTGAATAACCGCATGAAAGAAGCATAAAGCAAAAAGGAGGTGTCTCCACTCGAGTATTTTTTTGCAATTTTCATAGAATTTTATATCCGAGATCGGATCGTTCAGATAGCTTCTGAGTAAATTATTTTTCAAACCCTTCGGTGGTTCGTTAGTCATCTTAACTCCATTTTGTAAAATAGAGATTGGAAAATCCTTTGATGGGTAACTAGTTAACCATAATCGAAATTTCAGATGAGTGTTTTCAGGTACGATTACTTCATCGCAGATTCTGTCTAATTCTTTCATCCAGGATACTGCTAGATGACAATTTTGAAGTACCACCCATTCTCCGCTCTTTATTCCTTTATCAATCATGCCTGCTGCTATGGGTCCTTGACCTTGTCCCAGTGATATAGTCATAAGATCTCCTTTCGACATTCCATAATCTTCAGAGAATCTTATCAAAGCAGCCATTGGATCAGATCCAGGTGAAAGAATAAAAATCAAAGGAGTTACATTACTAGAATCATTGTAACATGCTTGGAGATCAAACGGCGGAGGTTCTACAAAAGATTGTCCCATGTGGTGTATGATAAACATTCTCACAGCAGCCACGATTTTGTCTGGTCTTATACATTTAAGTATTAGTAGTTTCTTCAAACCTTCACCCTCCGCTTGGAATGGACGTGGAAATGGTTGTTCCTGAGGATTGGATAAATCATAATAAGCCTTCCATTGCGAAGTTTGCGTTTCAAGAGAGTGTTTTAGTTTCTCAAGTCCAAGTAAATTTGTAGCTCCAACAATTCCAGACCAAGATCTATCAGACAACCAAGATGGAGCAGGATTTGGATAAGGATTATCCAATGCTACACCACCTGTCAACAAGAATGTCCAATATTCTTCGTTTAAATGTCCAGCAGCACGTAACAAACCAACGCAGAGGACAAGCGAGAATATTATTTTATCCTTTTCGAACAGAGAACGACACACGTTTCTGTAAATACTAGCAGTGAAATAAGTATTTAAACTATGAATCCGATCAGTCAGAACTTTGGTTTGTTCACTGTTAATTATGGACATTTCGTAAAGATGTATAAACCATGGTAGAGAGTATTGATACATAGGATCAATGTTTGTCAATTCAGAAATGCAAAAGAATAAAACAGAGCCGTGCTCTGAGGCAGGCTTGTATTCATTACGAGCATTGTCAATTTGTATGGATGTTTTAACAGCTACAGCCTGTTTCGCTTGTATATCTTCAGACAAACTCTTCGAGGTCGATAATATTGTAATAGCCGTTTCATCTTCAAGAATATTACCTTCTGACGCGGATAAAACATGCAATATCTTATCCTCTATCTCTTTCAACATTTTCTGATTGTTTGCACCTTCGACTATCAATTGATTTTTTCTCTCCTCCAGAACAGGCAATTCTTTGGCAACAACTATACCTAACAATTGATCTTGAAGCCCTTGAGGAGTGATCATGAAGTTTAATAAAGTCACTTTAACAACCACCTCTGGTAAATAATGTGGATTTCTTAAACGTGTTGTAAGATAAAATCGAAAATTGGTATTATACTCGATAACGTTTTCTCCAAATCTTATGTACAAAACACCTCGTTCTTTGTAAATATTTTTAAGTAGCACAGGCTCTAATATCGCATCTATTTCCTCTAAAATATTCTCCAGCAAAACTGGTGTTCCAAGCTGTATACAAGTGTCCACTACTTGAACGTAATTTGGATCAGAAAGTTTAATAACAATTAGCTTGTTCTGTTTCTCCATATTCTTTATCCATTTATTAGCCTGATTTTGAGGGTCGATCATGAGTGGCCATCGATCAGCATTTTTTACAATTATACCATTTTCAACAGAAAAACTGTCCGCTGGTAAACCATAGATTATCCAAGCTCTAATTTCTACCTGTTCACCTAAAATATCAATCAAACTAAACTTCTCTCCGCATGGAATAGCGAATTTTGAACAAGATAGATACCACTCTGCGATTAATTTATTCCTGTATTCAACCGTGAATGCCCCCAAATAAGCAACCACAGCTGAAGACAATAAAACGTCTCCGATAACGTTATTAAGACTAGCACCTAATAGAAAAGCTGTTTCACTCCATCGATCTTTTTCACCGCTTAAACCACCGAGCAACTTTTCAGCTCTATCTAATTTCTTTCTACAATAATCAATCTGATCCTCGAGCTTCTTCTTCTCCCTCATGCACTCGGCAAACTCATCGTTCAAAGTTTGTAACTTCTGACTGACTTCTTGTAAAAGAGCTCTCTTAGCATTCAACGCCTCCATTTGACCCGCCAGAGCAGCTTCCGCTTCTGCCAGCATAGCTTGTTTCGGTGCGACCACCTTGATTACTCTATCATAGACTTCCATGGCTCTTACCCATTTGCATAAACCTTCACAGGCAGTGGATACCTTCTTGATAGCTTCAGGTTGAAAGCTTCTATCATTTATAAATTTCTCGCGGATCCTCTTCATGTATGCCGGTGGTACATTATCCTTGTCGAAATTTTTCAAACTTTCCAAGAATCTCATATCGCCAAGCATCTTTATAGAGGCTGGCCAGTAGTCTTCCGTCATTTGACCAGTTGCTGGGTCTTGAACTTTCTCAGGTTTCACACCCTTCAATACACATACAGCCTCCATCACCAGTCGTACACCTGCTGGAGGACTCTTCATGGATCGTACAATACTGATGTCAGCAGGTTTCAGTGTGTCCAGTGCCATCAAAGCAGCCTCCAATGCTGGAGTAGCCTCTGCCAAGTCGCTTTCGCAGTCGTCTTTTATAGCTTGTGCAGCTGCAGCTGCTTCATTGGCTAACGCTTCTTCAGCGCCTACGATTTCCTTCCTTGCTTCTATATTGATGGTGTCTTGCTCTATTCGAATCATAAGTTTGTTGCTTAGCTCAGACTGTGCTAACAATTTCGGTTGTAGAGCTTGCAGTTCTTCCTTCATTACAGCTATCTGACCCGCTGCAAAGTCTAATTTTTCTAATCCTGTTTCATAACGAAGTTGTTGCAAAGTAATCTCTTCTATTTTGCGATCATACAACTTGCAGAATGATTTAATCAGTTGTAGAAAACTTGTAGGAGTCACATAATATCTCCTACCTTGGGTTCTGTAATAATCTTCGCTAGCTGTAATTATGCTTGTATGAAACTGTTTGGACAAATGAACGCAGTTCTCTCTTAATTTGTTATTAATATTGACATTTTGTAAGAACATTCTAGCTAC